AAATAGAGTTGCCATATCTTGAAGAGCAAAAAAAAAAAAAAGAGGACAGCCGAAGCTGCTGCCAGCCTGAGCCAGGGAAAGAGGCGCAGGGGTGCGCAGGGCCACCATCGCCACGTCCGCACGCCTCTTTCCCTGGCTCAGGCTGGCAGCGGCTACGGTGTGCAGAACAGCCTGCGCCTACCCCCGCACCGCTGCCAACCTGAGCAGAGTCAGGACCCTAGCTCCTAAATAATAATAATAATAATAATAATAATAATAATAATAATAATTTATTTGTACTCTGCCCATCTGGCTGCGTCTTCCCAGCCACTCTGGGTGGCTTCCAACAAAGATTAAAAATACATTAACATGTCACACATTAAAAACTTCCCTAAACAGGGCTGCCTTCAGGTGCCTTCTAAAAGTCTGGTACAGTGGTGCCCCGCAAGACGAATGCCTCGCAAGACGAAAAACTCGCTAGACGAAAGGGTTTTGCGTTTTTTGAGTCGTTCCGCAAGACGAATTTCCCTATGGGCTTGCTTCGCAAGACTAAACGTCTTGCGAGTTCTTGCGAGTTTGTTTCCTTTTTCTTAAAGCCGCTAAGCCGTTAATAGCCGCTAAGCCGCTAAGCCGTTTATAGCCGCTAAGCCGCTAATAGCCGTGCTTCGCAAGACGAAAAAACCGCAAGACGAAGAGACTCACGGAAAGGATTAATTTCGTCTTGCGAGGCACTACTGTAGTTGTTTTTCTCTTTGACATATGGTGGGAGGGTGTTGCACAGGGAGGGTGCCACTGTCAATAAGGCCCTCTGCCTGGTTCCCTGTAACTTGGCTTCTCGCAGCGAGGGAACCACCAGAAGGCCCTCGGCGCTGGACCTCAGTGTCCGGGCAGAATGATGGGGGTGGAGATGCTCCTTCGGGTATACTGGACCGAGGCCGTTTAGGGCTTTAAAGGTCAGCACCAACACTTTGAATTGTGCTCGGAAACATACTGGGAGCCAATGTAGGTCTTTCAAGACCAGTGTTATGTGGTCTTGGCGGCCACTCCCAGTCATCAGTCTAGCTACCTCATTCTGGATTAGTTGTAGTTTCCGGGTCACTTTCAAAGGTAGCCCCAATTCCTCCAATGTGGCACTTCTGCTTCCAGGGCACACTGCCCTCTCACACATGCACATCCCCTCCCCCCAAAACCCCAATTTATTTATTTTTTTATTTTAAACCTAACCCTGGACATTTCCTTTAAAATGTAAAAATCCCCCTGGGTGGGCATGTTGGCACCCCAAAAGAGGACATGTCCAGGTTTTTCCCGGATGTATGGCAACCGTACTTTTAAATGCACACATTGAATTTCATTTTTTTAAAAAAAAAACTTGACCCACCAACAGCCAACATCTGAAAATTACCAGTTATATGGTGCAACAATGCCAGATTAATTCTGTTGGGCAGCTTTATGAAATCTGAACCGTGACAGAGGGCAAAGGAAGGAACAGTTTCATGCCCACCATCCCCAATTGAAAAACCTTATTTACATTGCATGCATATCCCACCTTGGCTTATGACACTGTACACAGTCCTCCCAATTTCTTCCTCACAGCATCCTGTGAAGTAAATTAGACTAAGAGATAGAAACGGACCAAAATTCAGCCCACAAACTTCATGTTTAAGGGGGATGGGGTTTGACTCTGATCTCTCCAGCTCTAATCAAACATTGCACCTCAGAATGAACACCTTGTTAGGATATAGTTCCGTTCTACCTTAAAAGGGAACAGGCATGACTGTTGTGTGTCACATGCCTGTTTACTTCCAGCACTTGCTGGGAACTTGTATATAGCTTTTGCATTCCTGCTGTTTTGCTGGACACGAAGGGAAGCAGACATGTTTTTTCCTTTGTTCCTGAACTATGCTAAATAAATGCTGTAAACATGCTTACACATTTCTCTGTCCACCACTTCTGCTTTGAGAAGATTTATTCACTCTGCTGATAGAGCGTGCACAGGTCTCTAAACGTATCTGAGGCTCGTGTCGCTGATTGATGCTGTTCCAAGGGAGACTGGTGATCGTCCGGCTGCCAGTCGGAGGCTGGAGCCAGCTGGGGGCCTGCCTGATGCCCCCGTCTCTCTGGCAGTATCCCAACACACCTTTGGGGAACTCCTCCCCTCCTCGCTCTTACAAACTCACTCTGAAACTTTGCAGCTAGACTGATATAAAGTTTATTTACACATGTGTACAACCTGAGCCTAGATGGAGGCAGTTCAGAGCATTTACACCTCAAGAGAGTCCTATTCCTGCCATTGAGGCAGCCTCAGATTCCAAGAGGCTCCAAACATCGTGTTTGAATCTCTCCGCACTATAAAGCAGACAGATTGTAGAATTATAAGTTTATCTATTTTTCATTTTTGAGTCAATCACATTTATCAGCTTCTTTCTCTAGTAGCATTGCTCAGCAGCAGCCTCATCAGAGGAGATGAAGCTCTTTTTGTGGTTGCTTTAATTAGGTTTTGATAGTACATTTTGAATTTATTTGATTATTATGTGAGAAGGCACAGAAGAAACCTGGCAAGACAAAAGGACATTTGTGTTTGGGTGGGTGCATACATTATTTACAATGTGGAATGGCTGAGCAATTGCCTTGAATACTGATAGCTCACCACTTTAAAGTGGCTCTATCTTTTTTTCCTCCTTTAGCTTAGCCTGAGACAGGCTGAAGGATTACAAATAATTTTATATGTATGACTTAGTGCAAATTACAGGAAAGCAAATGTAAATGATGATGTATCAGGATTAACCCTTCATGCATCAAATTGCTCTGCAAACCAGGTGGTTATTGGCAGAGCAGCTCATATTTTTTTCCATATAGTTTCAAGGTCACAAAGCTTGGTGGGAGAATAACAGACTTGCTCTTTTGGAAATCATTGCTATTTGTAGAATCTTATTTCTCTCGCAATGCAGCGGCCATCAGGTGAATCAAACTTCTCTCTCACAGACATGATGACCTCTGAACCACTTTATATAAGGAACATATAGATAAGGATACAACTCCAAGGATACTTGTAGTCAAAAGCATTTTTGTAAGCATGTCATTATGTGGTTCTGCTAGGTGATGGCTGCTGTGTGTGTGGTTTAAGGCTGCTTTTAGCTCGTGATGAGAGGGAGGTGGGTCTATCACCTATGGACATTGGTGAAAGGAGTCATATGGTAAGCAGGACGTGTGGTGGTGCAAAAGGGCCCCAAAGGACCTCACAAAACCCAGTAATATTCTTAAGGAATCATAAATGATTATTTTTTACATACATGATTGTTATATGCTCATCTTGGTTATATTCTCCAACAAAAACATGGCAGGTCTAAATATTCCAATCAGGGAAACCCATAATGGGAATGTCCTTTACTTGTTAATATTTTTATTAAAAGTAACGAAAAATTGAGCCAACAGCAAGACAGACCGCCTGCCATTTCCTCCTCTGGAAGTTCCATAATGGGAATTTCCCAGAGGCCAAGACATGCACTGACCTAGTGATGTCACTGCGCATGTGTTATGTCATATTGACTTTCTGCTGCCTCTGCCATGGAGATCCCCAGTAGTCTCTCTTTCTCCATCTACTGTTTAAGATCAGAGTGGCAACGTAAAGGCTCTTCTACAACTGGTCTGCTCCATTTTTTCTTTATCACTTTTTTTTGAATGAGCACCAAAGCTTTCCAAAGTGTGGAACTGTGTAGATGTTTCTGGAAATGCTGTGTTGCTGTATACATCTATACATGCTGCTGTCCATGGAGCAGAGCGAGTGGAGATAAGATTTGCTTTGCTCTGTGTGTGCGGTCTCTTGCATGTGTTTGGGACATACGTCTTGACATAGGGTATAAGCAGTAAGTTGAAATATGATGTAATGATAAATTTAAGCAGTAAAAATAAAATACTAGCAATGATGTAATATGAAAGGTGCACACTTACATTTACCTTATCTCATATGACATTATTGCTAGTATTTTATATTTATTCTTGCTGCATTATGTGAAGCAAGTAACTTTCATTCTAGTGGTGTTATGAAGTGTAAAAATAACTCATAGACTGAGAGGCACATGACTAAATTCCCAAAAGTCACTGGGGGTTTTCTTTACAACCAAAGGGAAAACATGACCGTGAGAAATTTGCCATTAATGGTGGGTGCAAAAAATGGCAAGAGGAAAGTGGACCACAAATCTTGTACCCATGATATCCATAGTGCTGCTTGTGAAGAATCAAAATGGCAAAATGCAGCGGCAACTGACACTGACTAAGCAAATTTTCATTTTTAAGAGACTGGCACTATACCAACGACTGTTGTGGAAATGGCCCATTTTAGGCAACAAACAACTAGCTACAGGCTTTCTGAAAGCTACTATGAAATGACAACAAAATGTGCAGCCAAAATTGTTATTTGCTGGGCTACACTCTCTCTTTCAACAAAATTTACTGTAAACCTTTCGTTTTGGGAAAGGATGTGGATCTTTAATTACCGGAAAAAAGCACTCAAGAATCAAAGGCAAACATTAAAACACGTAAAGTTTAAGAAATATGGTCTGCACACGGAACTGTTGATATTATGCTGGATGCTTCAGCAGGTCCGTAGAGACAGGTCCGTAAACATATTGCCAGTGTGACCCTGACCTTTGCCACGCAGGACAGAGCATTTAGAGGCCATGCAGAAACTGCTTCAGTTGAGGGAGGGAACATGGACATTTTTTAATCAGTCACTCAATTGCTCTCAAAACATGATCCTCTGACTGAGGATGTTTATTGTAAACCAGGAGGAACAGTCAAGCACTTGCATCATCGTGCTGAGCCAAAGGTGGACTGTTCCGGAAGGTTTGCTAACGCCATCTTGGTAGTCAAGATAACCTCACAATTAATTATAGAATCATAGAAGGGATCCCAAGGGTCATCTAGTCCAACCCTGTGCAATGCAGGAATCTCAGCTAAAGCATCCATGACAGATGGTCATCCAACCTCTGCTTAAAAAGCTCCAAGGAAGGAGAGTCCACAACCTTCCAACTACATGACCCTTAGGATCCCTTCCAATTCTAGGATTGCTCCAATCAAGACTGGAGCTAGAGTATAGTTTTAAAGAGATATAAAGGTGATATCACAAGCAAGTATTTTGTCACACTTGTTTATTTTATTCTGCTGGCACCGCTGATCAAAAAGGGTCTTGCATCAGTGTAGAAAACGGTGAAACCTTTTTACCCGGTGTGACAGTGAGAGGAACTGGCACACCACAATCAACACTGCTTCTTTCACAGCACCTTTAATTCTCTAAAAAAGAAAGTACTATACCTTGCCAGCCTCATTTGTACAAAACTGAGATAAGTATGACACATAAAACTTGTGTTTCTTTTATTTGTGGCACTAAATTCAATTAGTATTTTACGTTATACAATATGTAGCCACAGGATTGCAGATGGCTAACAGTACACTTTGAAAGGTTAGCAACATTACACAGTGCCTTTAAAAATCATTTTGGACTACGCCCAGTGCTGTAATTATTATTAAACCAAAAACATGTATTAAGGTGCATTTTAAAAACTCTTACAACATACAACAAATGTGTAAAACCCAGACAATAATAATTCTTTATGCTAATTTTCTTATAAGAAAATATTTTCAAAATATGTACATCATCTATGAAAGTAGCTTAATTTGTTTAAAAACATGCCATTTAAAAATGTTTGGGGCTTAACTGATGAGAAATCAGGCTTGATATATGAGATGAACATAAGCCCATTGAAGGAGGCTGGAATCCTGACCCACTAGCAGCAGTTCTGGAAACAAATTATAGCCAGTAGTTCCCAGGAAGCAGTATTAATAGCACTTTTAATTGCACTTTGACGTGGGGCACATCTACTGGAAAGTTATCTCTTCAAGTCCCACTAAAATAAATGGGAGCTGTGCAAGATAAGAATAAGAACCAAGTAATGATAATCTTGTAATTAATAATAATTACCCACCCTTCACCCTAAGGTCCCAGGGTGGGATACACAACAAAATACAATACTAATAAAAGTTCAAAACAACTACAAAGATAAGGTGGGTCTTAAAAATATACACATCAAGTGTCAAACGCCAGGATAGAGCGCTGTTGCCTTCAACATTTGCCAGAACCTGTGCAGGGAATGTGCCAGGCACAGCTCTGTGAGGAATTCCCCTACTAAGGCAGCCCCACATGCCCTCTGCTGGGCTGGCACCTGTCCTTGGGGCTCAGCGTATCTGCAGATGTTAGTACAGTGGTACCTTGGGTTACATACGCTTCAGGTTACAGACTCCGCTAACCCAGAAATAGTACCTCGGGTTCTTTGCTTCAGGATGAGAACAGAAATCGTGCGGCGGCAGCAGGAGGCCTCATTAGCTAAAGTGGTGCTTCAGGTTAAGAACAGTTTCAGGTTAAGAACGGACCTCCAGAACGAATTAAGTACATAACCAGAGGTACCACTGTATTATGTACTTTAGGTAAAGGTAAAGGGAGCCCTGACCGTTAGGTCCAGTCGCGGACGACTCTGGGGTTGTGGTGCTCATCTCGCTTTACTGGCCGAGGGAGCCAGCGTTTGTCCACAGACAGTTTTTTCGGGTCATGTGGCCAGCATGGCGAACCAGAGCACTGCACAGAAACACCATTTACCTTTCTGCTGGAGCGGTACCTATTTATCTACTTGCACTTTGACGTGCTTTTGAACTGCTAGGTTGGCAGGAGCAGGGACTGAGCAACGGGAGCTCACGCCGTCATGGGGATTCGAACCGCTAACCTTCTGATCAGCAAGTCCAAGGCTCAGTGGTTTAGACCACAGCGCCACCCGTGTCCCATTATGTACTTTATATCCCCTTAAATAGCCTGTCAAATGGATCCCTAGTGATCTCTGAATCTCTAGTGATAACTAGCTTGGTCAAATCTTGCTTGATTGTAACAAGCAGTGACTTCAGCATGTGGTAATTTGAACCACTGAGTTTCTGTCATAATCCCTCCATTCCATTTTAACAGATCTATAGTCTGTATACTCTGAGGTTTTAAACTGCTTTTGTTTTAAAAAAGAAATTAACTAAATGGTCCAGAACAGCTACGCATTTTTAACTGTGAACAAGCAAAAATATGTTGGTGCTGAGCACACACAGCAAAAAGTGTTCGCCAGCTAATTAACCTGCCATTGAGAATAGTGTTATTGGCACGGTTTGACTATTTGGGGACAAGGGACCCACAAATCCTTGGCACAGAAGCTGTGTAGCAACCTGTGAACCAAATAAAAAATAGAGAGAAACACAGAAAATGCAGCTTATTTTTGGCCTGTAAACTTCTTGGAATCCTTTTGCCATGGGTGTCCATTCAAACCAGTAAGAAATGCATGAGAAACTGCATACGAAACGGATGACTGGAGCATTTAGTATTCAAACAAGCAGAGGGACCTGAAATAAAATAAATATATACTGTATTTTATATTTTCAGTCTCAAAAATGACATTATTATGTTATCCTATCTTTGTATGTCTAGTTGTCAGACTCTGTGTTCCTTGGCCAGGGAGAGCGGGATACAAAATAATAATAATAATAATAATAATAATAATAATAATAATAATAGTAATAATAAAAAATTTATTACACCCTCATTATATTTATTAAAAACTGCATACACCCCAATTTGAAGCAAGTTTAAATGTGGCCTCAATTTCACACACAAATTGTTATCTGTCGCATTTGATCACATTTTTCCTTGCTAAAATATTGAGCAGAAGCGCAACAAATGTACTTAATTAGGAAATCTGATTTAAAATTATTTCTCTCTCTCTTCAATAACTCCATCTCCTTCCACACTCCTTTCTATTGTTCAGTATGGACTCTTTTACCATCTGGGAACTAAACATGAAGGATTTTAAATATTGCAGTAAATAAATAAGGGTGGTATTCATTCAAGTTCTACTCAGAATAGACCTATTGAAATTAATGAACCTAACTTAGCCATGTTCATTAACTTCAATGGGTCTACTCAGAAATAAACTTAGTTGAATACCATCCTATGTACAATCAAACTTTCCATGGGTGAGGAGCACCTTTATAGAAGAACACAGCAGGAAGAGAATTTTTAGTTTAGTTTATTATGTTTATTTATCTCTTCATACACCCAGAAGTGTACTGAAGTGATGTATAATAATAAAATATGAAATATATAAACAATTTCATTGATCAATGCAAATACTGTTTTCCCCCTGTTGTCCATTCCACACCTTTTATTGAATTCTGAGGTCTCCAATACAGGACCACCATATTTGACCTTAACAGATGAGGGAAAACATACAAAGAGGCCCATGATGAACAAGAAACCAACCTCACCAACGACAGCATTATTTCCCCGTGACCTTTGACGTCATGGTTTGTACAGCGTTGTTGTTTACAGAAATACAATAGACTTTGAAAGCTACAGATTTCTTCTCCAATGACTAATGATTTTCTGTGGTTTGTACTGTCTCACGAAATGACTTGAAAGCTGTAACATTTCGTTTATAACTTTTGTGGGTTTGTTTTCCTTTAGAGGGCAAGCAGATAAGTTTACATATTTGCATGCTTGTGGTAAGGTCTGAGGTGGGAAAATTCCATCTGCATTTGCAAACGCACCCGTGATCACTTTCTGGGGCGGTGACCCTGGCCTTAATCTGAAGTGGCTCCTGGGACCTGGTGTGAGCCAACTGAGAGCAGTGACTATACTTCTATGGAATAACAATGTCGTGTAAATGGCCAATTACCAAGAAAATTCAACACGAACATATTAAACTCTGAAATAGGAAGCTTTCCCCAAAATGAGGAGATTGGGGAAAAGGAAGCTGAAAGGCAAAGGCAAAAGGGTCAAATCACTCTAAAAATCACTGGGAATAGCATCTGGTGTGCAGCTGCACGGGAGGCACCAGTGTTTAAGTTGGCCCTAAGATTTGGACCACAAAGGGGAGTCTTCCTGTGACAGAAGGAGAACAGAAGGCCCAAAGTCTTACCAGTTATGGTATGCAATTTGTAAGAGTTGCTTCTAATCGATATGAGAATACTGTCTGTATGAAAGCCTAATTTTATTGTCCCATAAGACTGAACACAGGATGCTCCAGATTTTCTGAGGAGCCACACTAAGTTGCATGACAAACACTCACAGAAATCACGTAATAGGTCATTTAGCCTGCTTTATGACCCTAGGCTATCTTGATTTCGCAGAAATCTGAATTATTTCACTTCTACTCCTTTCCTACTTGTGCCAAACAAGCACACCTGCTTCCCTATCTTGCATTCAACCACAGGCCCCAAACCATGCCTCCTCCTGTTCATATTCCGCCTTAGAAAGATGATTACCTTTCTCAAACGCGCCGCCCCAGTTCCTGAGCGGATTGCTTCCATTAGTGCCTGCCTTGCATCCCCTGGGCTGTCTGTTCTTGGACTTGCAATGTACCTAGGAGTTTTCATTGTCACTTGAGGTGGTGGTGGTGGAGGAGGAGGCGGCAGTGGCAGCAGCTGATTCCCCCGTTGCTCTGTTGTAGAGGCCTCTCTGTTTTGAAAGGCTGCTTCTGCTTTTTGGAAACTCTGAAGCTCTTCAGAAGCAGATGAAGAAATCTACCATGGAGAAAAATGAAGTTGCGGGGAGGTTATAGTAGGCTTAAAGGAACAATGATACTGGGTGCATATTGCTAACAAACCTCCCCAGTCTCCAAGCGGTGTGAGATTCCAGGTGTTCCGGGCGCTTACACAGGGTCCACGTTTCCTTTTGGGAATGAGGCACAGTGGAGACGGGGGTGTCTTTAGGATATATGGTTTATTTACAGATATATACAACCCGAGCCTATGATGGAGGGATTCAGAGCATCAACAGCCCAAGAGGTTCTTGCTTAAGCTTACCAGATGTCCCCGTTTCCCAGGGACAGTCCCCGGATTTACAAATCAGCTCCCATACAAAATCTATTGAAGTTGAAAAGTGTCCCCGGATTCATTGAAAAAAATCTGGTAACCTTATTCTTGCTTCTCCCACAGTCACAGCCTGGGATTCAATCAGAAATCAGCCATGGCTTTTCATTTCACAGCAAACCCTGCGCTCAAACTCCAGCTTTGTCTAAGAGCTAGAGGAGGGATCCTACCCATTTGTCTTCTGTCACAGAGCCCTGTCTCTTTTGCTCTATTAATGGCCCATCACCTTTTCTTTGTTTTCTTAATGCCCAACACCTGAACACAGGAAGCTAGCCCGGCTTATGTTTTAACACTTGCTGTATCCATGGGTTAGAAGGTCTGGCATGCGCAAACTCATAACAATGTTTTAATCTCTTCCCTTCTGGACAATTTTGCCTTGTTCCATAGATGTAAACCTTGTGACAGCTCTAATTTCCCTATTAAATCACAGAATTGTAGAGTTGGAAGGGACTTCCAAGCGTCATCTAGTCTAACTCCCTGCAACGCAGGAACATCTGTTCCCCTCTCACTTCATTTAAAGGAACTGATGATTAAGATTTGGCCTTGAAGCAGGCTCAGAAATTCAATCCTGATTTATTTGCTTGAACTGTGGGATCCTGGAATTTATTTTGGCACATAAGGGAAAAATGTTGCCAGTTGGCCACTAAGTTAGGTTGAAAATGACAACAAGGAGTTGGGAATTAACATGATTTATTAGCCTTCCCCGGAAGCTTTATCAGAAACTAGTAACGGTGATAATTACTCTGTGCCTTCAAACTTTGCTTGATTATATTTTTTATCTCAAAAAAGTATCATTTGAATCCTATTTTAAAAGGGAAAAAGGACTACGCAAATCAATGAGGGTTTCTTCCAGAATACAGTGGTACCTCGCAAGACGAATGCCTCGCAAGACAAAAAACTTGCTAGACGAAAGGGTTTTTTGTTTTTTGAGCTGCTTCGCAAGACGATTTTCCCTATGGGCTTGCTTCACAAGACGGAAACGCCTTGCAAGTTTGTTTCCTTTTTCTTAACACCGTTAATACAGTTGCGACTTGACTTCGAGGAGCAACTCATAGAACGCGGTGTGGTAGCCTTTTTTGAGGTTTTTTAAGACTTTGGTGATTTTTGAAGCTTTTCCAAAACTTTCCCGACACCGTGCTTCGCAAGACGAAAAAAATCGCAAGACGACAAAACTCGCGGAACGAATTTCGTCTTGCGAGGCACCACTGTAATTAGATTTTTAAAGTGCATACACCTGCATTTCACTCTCAAACTGCAGTCATCCAAATTAAAAATTAAATATTCATGCAATGGTTGACAGAAGCATAAGTACTGAGTTCTTCCTCAGTTTATAATTGCTAGATGCCATATCTGGGCAGCTCTATTTCCTATACTGCAAAGGCAGAGTGCAGGAACTGCTGAAGTCTCAGACCACTCTCAGGTACCAACCGTAGATGATTTCCTCTCAGCAGCTGAGGACAACCATCTCATACGAACAGAACAAAGGAACGTAAGTGATTACTTTTTACCAGGTTTGCACATCTAGCCTCGTGTTGCACACTGACTGAGAGCAGCTATCCAGTCTCAGCTAGAGGTCGTTCATGTTTTCTACCACAGAGCTAATGTCCCATCCCTCAAAAACGTTTAGATCGATTTTTAAGGAAATATATGTTTATTATCAGCTGCTAGAGGTACTACTCTGTCAGTGAACATAAGTGATACATTCTGCTAGGAACATACATGGCTCCCAGTACGTTTCTGAACACAATTCAAAGTGTTGGTGCTGAGCTTTAACGCCCTAAATGGCCTCGGCCCAGTATACCTGAAGGAGCGTCTCCACCCCCATCGTTCTGCCCGGACACTGAGGTCCAGTGCTGAGGGCCCTCTGGTGGTTCCCTCACTGCGAGAAGCAAAGCTACAGGGAACCAGGCAGAGGGCCTTCTCGGTAGTGGCACCCGCCTTGTGGAACACCCTCCCATCAGAAGTCAAAGACATAAACAACTACCTGACATTTAGAAGACATCTGAAGGCAGCCCTGTTTAGGGAAGCTTTTAATCTTTAATAGACTATTGTATTTTAATGTTCTGTTGGAAGCCGCCCAGAGTGGCTGGGGAAACCCAGCCAGATGGGACGGATATAAATAATAAATGATGATGATGATGATGATGACATGTCTACTCTGGCTTATTTTTTTACTTACGGTTTGCTAATTGAAGCAGAGCTTCATCTATAGCATTTCTAGGACAGGGATGACATAGTGCGAAGGATGAACAAGCTACTGAAAAGATGCAAGGTCTCTGTTCTTACCTTTCTCAACTTTGAGGCTCCACTGTGACCTCTAATGGCTGCCAGAAGGGCAGATCGCTCATTCTCTTGTTCTGTGAACAGTGCCTTCTTCTGAGGTCCATTCGCCATGCTGGGTGAAATCTAGCATGTGACAAAACAGATATAAACAATTTATTTCTACCTAGTTAGGAAACAAGGTAATTTGAGCATCCGGAATGTCACTCAGTTGGATGTCGGCTTACCTGACTTTGGCCTTTATCCAGCCTGAGTACACTGAAAATTAAATGGGATTTGTAGGAGTAGGCCTTATTTATCAGAGATGGAAAAATCAATCTTGCCATCTGTATTATGTTCAACTAGATCTTATTACTTTTAATGAGTACAGTATTAGTTTCATACTATATGCCATTCATAATTAGCTTCAATAGACACTTCTGCACTTTCTGCTGCTTTAAAGAAGCGAAACATTAAGTTGCACAAAAAACACACAGTGCAGAAGTGATAGTAGCAGCACCTTGCCACTATATATTTTTTAAAAATTAGAAACACCAACTGATGCCTGCTAAGGTTGAAAGGCAGGGCTCACTATTTAATAAATAATAATAATAATAATAATAATAATAATAATAATAATTTATTTCTACCCCGCCCATCCGGCTGGGTTTTCCCAGCCACTCTACTTTTAAGAAGTCTAAGAGCTGTTCCTGATGTTACAAGAAACTTCATGCATCCAGTAAGAGGCATTTCCTATAACATCCAGATATGCTTTCAGCTAAGTTTTTTTGGTTTTGTTTTCTTACCTTTCGGAGATTTTCTCTTCCTCCTGCATTCTGGATGGCTTCCATTAAAGCACTGTGTAGAGACGTATCTTTTGGAAGCGGCTTCTGGATGACTGGCTTAAACTTCTTCTTTGGCCCAAAAACTTTATTATCACCTCCCACATCAGACCCTACCCTTTTGCTTTCACATGCACTGCCAAGTTTTTCATCTTTTTCTGAAACTACATGATTAACAATAGTTGTTCCATCTAACTCTGATGGTGTACTGTTGATAGGATGCCCCTCGGCTGACTTCACAGAAGAGCTGGAAGTGATGGGAGATGAGAAATTGTTGGATGATCTAAGGAAGAAGGGACAGTGAGCCTCATCTCTTTGCTCCCTCCTTTGATTAAATATAGAAGGTGTCTCTCTAACAACTACATTTTCTATTGAACCCCAGCGGGGCTTCTCTCCTGTGAGACCACCATCTTTAGAAGGTATGGTGGTAAATGGCTCCCTGTAGCAATGAGTGCTATTTCTTATCTTGGAATGAGCACCAAGTGGTAGAGTGTTTGATGCATTTTGGCTGCAACTGAAGATATCTACGTAGGATTTTTTTGTTTCTGCTGGCTGCCTTTCTACTGGGCAGGTTTTGGCCAAAATAATGCATCTTTTGGGAAGTGGTTCTGTTTCAGTTTTTCCCACTTCTCCATCCCTCATCTCTTCTACTTTGTCATGCCTTTCTTGATTGGTTTTAAACTGGAGTGGATCGATGCATTTTGCAATGGCAGAGGCTACATAATGGCTTGATGTTCTTCTTTGGGGCTTCTGAAATGGGAGCTCCATCTTATCTGTCTTGACCACTGGAGTCGTTAGCATTTTAACTGAAGACTGTGTGGCATAAATGAGGGGCTTCCCCCCGCAAGGCCCAACATTATTGTCAACTGTCGTGGAACCAGCTAGTGGTGCTGTTGCTGCCTTCAGACTTGCAAGGGAGTCAGGCTTTGTTTCACCTATTTTACTGAGGGGTTTGAAATTGGTGCTAACTGCTGGCTTGGTGGGAAAGCCTACTGGAGACTCCCCCAATGGTGTTTTCAGAGAATTAGATCTCCAGTATGCTTTGGCTCTCCCAGTGAGAGTTTCCTCTGGTTCACTTGAAGTCGTATTTACTGTGACCTTTTTTATAATACCAGCATTTGGAGCCACCATGTTGCCCAATTCATCTATTTTAATGGCACCAGTAGAAAGGGAGGCATCTCTGTCAAAATATTTCACTTCAGGTTTGGGAGGTACAACTTTAAAGGTGGTCAGACCTATTTTAGGTTCATAGTTTGTGGTTCCATTGCGAACACGGTGACACCATAAAGATGGCGTAGAGATACTTTGCTGCTCATCTGGGTCTTTTGTTGATGCATATCTGAATTCCAATTCAGATTTTATTTTGCTTGGAAGTCCTTCCTTGGTATTATCCTCTTTCGATTGTTTTACTTTCTCCTTTGTTCTATTTCTTTCACTCATAACAGTAAAGTTGGAAGAAATCACTTTGGATCTTTCAGACTCAGTACCATTTTTTGTGAGGATTTCCAGGGACACATCCTTCATGTTCGTTTTTTCACAGGAAGGTGTGTGTGTCTCCGATATATATATCTGCTCTTTCTCAGTTTGGCGTCCAAACTCTTCTTTAGGTGACTGTTGTTGTGATAAGCTCTTGGATAAATTGGAGGATATACAATCTACAGATCCCTTGCTCAAAGAACCAGCATTACTATTTTCATTAGTAAGCTTCCCTAGGATAATGGGATCAGCTGAAATATGTTCATTAGCCCCTGACTCAGAAAACAAAGGTTCTCCTTCCTCTCTAGTGGGGTGGATTATAATGTCAGTTTCGGGAATTTCATCTATTATCGTCACTGGCACAGGAACTGGAACATCTTGGGCAGTCTCAGCATCCCGTGAAAAAGGGAGGGGTGAGCCATTCGTCTCACTAGATACAGATCCGCTTTCAGAATCGTCCTGCATACTCTCCATTGCTGCAAAGAATACCAACAACATCTTTCAAAACTATGAACCATGACATTATCCCAAAATATTATCACAATCAGGGGATAATAAACCAAGGGGTTTTAACAGCAGCAACCCTTATATTACAAACCCCAGCTGCAACAGCTGCTTCAGATGCAGTGTAGAGGTTTGCGGTTAGAAAATAAATATAATAAAATAATAAAATCTCCACTGGGTGTGTTGAGTTGGTTGTATTATATGAACACATCCATAATCTTGTAAGCACTTTTTAATTTATACACATTCATGCTAAACATTTGCCAATATGTCTTTTGCTTACTGTGCAGTGTATCCCAGCAAATGGAGCTACACTGATATCTGGTTAATCATGAAAATGTACTATGAGAATGTGCCAGCTTCACAGTTTACATTACTGGGTAGTGAGTATAAAACAGAGAACATAGTCCTCATGAAAGCAAATTGTGTGTATTATGCATTTGCACATTATGTTTTCCCAGATATCAACACAAAGAAAATTACTGATAATAATTTATAAACTGGAAAATACAGCATTCCTCAAGCAGGCTGTGAGACACATTTGTGAGACGCTATTAGAGAAAATTCCACTTGTCTGAAACATATAAAATACTGAATATCTATCCTAGTAACTGAATAGGAATGATACTGTAGTCCTCTCCCCCCAGCTCTGTATAAGATATATTTTTTACAATCACCAGATAAAACAATAAGAGTATGCTCTCTCCATCAATGCTGTAGATAACTAGACTTGTTTTTAAAACAGCAACAATCTGCTGAACTGAATTTCTTCAGCACATAGTTCCATGAAAAGTATGATAACAGAAAATCTGCGTAGCCAGTACTACTGGATTTATTAATTATTATTATTTTAGTATCAAGGGCTACTCAACATCCTTTCAATGTAATGACCAAAGTAAATAACAATATTAAGAAATTCATGGGCTTGTTTCAGTTTTTCACTATACCCTCATAATATTTAGTAACAGATTGTTGTCTACTGTGAATAACCTCCCACAACAGTGTCCCAAAAAGGTAAGACAATTTGGCAATGGAAGCTGAACAATCTGATAAGGTATTTGCTGCTACTAGATAGAGCCTGAGATCTGTCCCACCTCCATGGAGTTTCCCAGTTTGACTGCTCTCTCATCTGCCTAACTGATGGATTGTTACCATTTGCCTTTTTCCTGCATTCTTTTTGCAATACAGATGTGCAAATTTAAACTTCAACCTACCCATTAGGTCTTTGTCCAATGCAGCCAAGGTCTGAGTAGCTATGAACACATCTGCGTTTTCAAACTTAGCTTCCATCATTTCGTCCTCATCCCTGCTGCTGACAACAAAAGAAAAGAAAAGGAATGAAAAGGTTGTTCCTTATTTTCTAATGATACTGCATAACCAAATTTAATCAATTTAACATCAACTTGTGTGTGTGTATAAACGCTGACTGTTTCTTTTAACAGCGGGGAAAACCAGATTACATTTGTTTAGATAATGTTTGCACACCTATCTTGCTCTCAATGAAAATTTACCTGCAGCTTCTGTAATGAAATTCTTTGTACAGTGGTGCCTCGCAAGACGAAAAGAATCCGTTCCGCGAGTCTCTTCGTCTTGCGGGTTTTTTTGTCTTGCGAAGCAAGCCCATTAGCGGTTTAGCGGATTAGCGCTACAGTATTAGCGGCTTAGCGGATCAGCTGATAAGCGGCTTAGCGATCAGCTGTTAAGCGGCTTAACGATCAGCTGATAAGCGGCTTAACGATCAGCTGATAAGCGGCTTAGCAATCAGCTGTTAAGCGGCTTAGCCGATCAGCTGATAAGCGGTTTAGCGGCTTGGGAAAAAGGGGGGGGAAAGGAAAAAAACCCCACAGGAACTCGCAAGACATTTCCGTCTTGCGAAGCAAGCACATAGGAAATTTGTTTTGCGAAGCACCTCCAAAACGGAAAACCCTTTCGTCTAGCGGGTTTTCCGTCTTGCGAGGCATTCGTCTTGCGGGGCACCACTGTACTGGAGAGAAAAATAATAGCATAATGTTCAAATTATTTTCCAGAATACAAAGTAGCTACTTGATTAATCACTTTCCAGACATCTCAATAAAATTTAGAAAATAGTAAGACATGGCAAACTGTTTCAATTTCTTCTGAAACGCAAGGACTTAACCTGTAAGGTATCTGAATCTGGCTGTAATCCTGGGAGTAAACCCCACTAAATGCAACAGTATTTACTTCTGAGTAGGCATGGTCAGGATTGTGCTGTCAATCTCCTATCAAAGACCTGAAAGTGTCTCATTAAAACGTGCAAGAGAGAATGCTTTCCTGTATTTTGAAATGCTTAAATTCTGTAAATATTTTGTTCTGCCTGACCATGTTCGCTTGTCACTGGCTCACATCATGCTCCTCCTGAGGTAGTTTGTCCAGCTTTGGCCTCACCCTGCACTCTGCTGTCAGCATGCAACAACGGCCAAACACTCTGGGAAACGGCTCTGACTGGTCGGCCAAACCACACAGCTGTTGCTAGACTATAACTCTCCATCTTGTATGACGTGTGACAGGGGATGATGGGAACTGTTGTCACACCACACCCGTAGTGCACCACACTGGCTACCTCTGGTTTAACCTGGGTCTTACACAGACAAACACAATTCTGAAGATGAAACTGTTCCAGCCATTTTGTGTTTTGGGATATAAAATGGGTTATAAAAAGGAGGGTCAAAAGCTCAGCCCGTGAAACTGACAGTCAGGGAGAAAATGAAGCCTAAAGGGGAGGAAAAGAGAAACCAAATAAATTAAGGGGAAGAGAAACAAAAACACAACTCTACTGTCTTCTTGTTGCGCAAGATGTTGGCAGCAGGGTAGAAATAAGGTGCATGAGACTCTAAGCTGAGCAGTTAATGTGCATAACAACCAGCTATTGTGCACATTCACCAGGCCTCAATGAAGAGGGAATTGTGCACATATCCTAGTCAATATACACAATTTCAACAGGAAATGTACATATCTCAGCTGAATTTTGTACTGTGGGAAGGGAGGTAGCAGCCTTTAATGTGAGTAACTCCAAACTTGGGAGTGACACACAATTCCTTTTCTTGCAGTACTGTGCAAATCTGGAATAGTGGAAAAATACATTTCAATTTTTTAAAAAATGAAAAGGTGTGTGTCAGGACGGGTAAATGAATACCTGCAGTTTTGGGCAAATCTAGAGCACTGGGAAAACTTGCACTTATAAAATAAAAAGGTGCCTGTGCACAAATAACAAATGCTTGCATTAATGCTCACAACAGACCCCAGGTTTCTGGAACTTGCAGTGGGTGGGAAAATACTATTTGAAGGGGACGAGAACAAACTGTGTGACTACATCAGGCACCACCCACTAGTGTGGAAGGGAAACACAGACGTAGATTTTGAAGGCATAAAATTTAAAGTGTTCATGGATGGATGGATGAAGGCAGACAAACGGGCACACCAAAATAGTGACGTACATACACATGACCCAGCCTAAATTAAACACAACTCCAACAAGCCATGTGACACCAAAATACTACGTTTCGTGCAGGCATATTCAGCAATACACAGCACACTTAAAAACAAACCCATAACTTTCCTCCAGAGCCTTTTCCTTCTCCTCTAGACCTTTTTGTTGCTGACAGGCCTGCTCTGGCTTACATTCAAGTAAAACACAAGGCCTTTTCCTGATAGTGTTTAACGGGTCAGATAACTATTACCAGTGGCTTTTTTCACACACTCTTTTTAATATAGGAAACAACACGATAATCTTAAGACCTCTCCCCTCTAAAATAGAATGTGCTGAAATCACACCACTTGGGAATTTATTGAAGTAACAGATGGATTAGCAGAGGTTCTGACAACAGGAATAGCAAAGACCCCAAAGCACTAAATTATTGACTTTTGCATTTGTTGAACCAATGCCACTATGTACTGTTGCTCCGCTGTAGTCAGCCATATGCAAAAGCATGGGTTAAAATAGCACTTTGCCAAATCAACACCGTAGGAGCAAGGTCTTTTATGAGAAAACTTGTGTGCAAAAGGCAACAGTAAAACTACAAAAAGCTACTGTTAAGCCAAATGAAAGTCCTATTGGCAATTTATGGGTAGATTCTATTAAACGTAGCAGGTGGTACAAAAAGAATGAATCTGAAATACTTGAAATAAGGTCATTAATAGAACGTGAAAGAAAACACTGATGAAAGCTTATGCAAATCAGTTGTTAAAAACATGATCTGTGGCTAGGATCTGCATCGGTGCACCTCATTAGCGATCTACCTTGCTACCTCAACAAGTTCCCATCAACCTAAGTCACATTTTCACTTATGCAATATTGGTTTCCTTTACAAGATCACTGGGATCATTCAAGTTCAGCAGAACAATAAAAAGCCATATAAATACTAACATTATCAGATGCCATTTGCCACCAAAACTGTTATGCTCCACAGAAGATATAACAGAACTTGAGTGCTGTGGTTGAAGCAATGCAGAATACATGTGTCTGATAACCCATCTCTATATGTTTGGTAAATAATTATGTCACATGGTGAACCTTTGTTCCAGAAGAGCCACAACTCGAACGAGGCAAATGGACATGGCTGCGACTGCACCTGCTCTAATCCTTCTCCCAGTGCTGCTGCCGCTGCTTCCACCCCTTTGAAGCAGAAACTTGAGGGTTATTTTCAACAGCAAGCCAAATGAGAGGAGGGCTTTGAGTTGACTGTGTTCCAAAAGCAAATGGGCCTTGAGGAGCAACTCTTGACTTTTTTTTTTTGGGCAGGAGGACAAGGAGGTTAACAAGATGGAAAATTAGTTTGCAAAAGACTAGCATAAGCAGACGTCACTCCTCTAAATTGCCTCACAGATGAGACCTACCTTTGGGAAACGATTCCAGACTCATCACTACTGGAGAATGCATTCCTTACAGAGCACGTCTGTTCAACATACATGGAATCCATCTCGGTCAAGGTCTCCTGGGTCCCGATGGACTTGTCTCTTGACCTCATGCTGTCATTCTGAGACTCCAATGAGACAACATCAGAGGGGGAACTCATAACACCTGAATCTTCTGTGGTGTCCTCTGAGGTGAAGCAGCTGTTAACAGAGATCGTGTCCTCTGTTTCTGACAGTTCCAGAGCTACATCTTCCATGCTAGAAACATCACGCGAAAGGTGTAAATTGCCTAGACGAAACATGGCAAAAACAGTTAAATACCATTTGTCACTCTTTTGAAATAAATAACACACTTAAAAAGCCCCTCCTCCTCTGTTTATCAGAATGCACCACAATGTGGCTTTTTTCTTTTCTTTTCGTGTGGGCAGTGAATAGAATAGTAAATTCTCTATGGTGAAATGTCAGATTTCCATGTACTTAAAAGATTGCTCTGCACCTGTCTCTTACATGAAAAATTCAGTGAATTTGAATAAAAATGGCAGAATTCTGTTGGACTGACCAGGAATAAATGAAATACTTCAGAAATAGTATATACAGTGAAACAATAGTGGTTATGCATTTAATATAGATAACTGTTATATCTTAATAAAAAATGCCCAGCAAGGGCAAAAAAAGAGGATAAACTGGGGTGCAGCTGCTCTATATGTCAAAAAGAACACAAGAGACCCAAATTTAGGAAATTAATATGAACAATATCTTTGATAGAATCACTGTGGGTGGAAGCACCAGACCCCTTCAAAATAATTTTGTCCTGGAATATTCCAGTGCCCCTTTGACCAAAATATGGAGGGGGATCTCAAGATGGAGAAAGAACTGAGGGACACAGTCAAAGGTTGGAAAAATGGTAAAAATGAGTGATCAACAAACCCTCACACTGACTGGGTAAATGTATAGTCAGGATATGACAATGAGTTTTTATTTCTAGATTTGACAAATGTACATTTGGCTGACAAAAAGGGGAGTCAACCTTTGACTTAATCCTGAGTGGTGCTCAGAACTTAAGATAAGATATAAACTGTCAGACTACTTGGGAACGTGATGTTCTTAGCTAGAAAAATATATATGAGTGAAAAGCTGTCCAGAAGTCAATATGGTCACATTTAAATTGAAAAAAAGAATTAAAAAGCAAATGAAAAAGAATGAGGAAACTATTAGACCCAACATTTTTTATTCAAATAGCAGGAAACCAGATAAAGGGAGTCAGAATGTAAAATGATTATGTGGTGAATTACGGTAATTCTTTGAATCAGCCTTCACTGCTGAAGATGTTTGATAGATATTCATGCCTCAACTAGTAATTTTGCAACGAGCATCTGACAAACTTCATCAAGCAAGAGATGATGTTCTAGAGCTAAATTGGTGAAACACAAATGAACATGTCACTGGGTCTTTATGGCAAACATCTCAAGAGTTCTTAAAGAGATCAACTCTCTGAATTGAGCTTGAATTCTGATAAGGGTAGGTGGTTCCCATGTCCAGGAGATTAGTCAACTGCATGTACTGGACAGGATGGCACTCCCTCTGAAGGAGGAGGCTTGCAGCCTGGGGAGACTCCTTGACCCATCCCTGTCACTAGATGCCTAAGGGACCTCTGTGACCAGGAGTGCGTTTTCCTAGCTCTGGATGGTGCGCCAGCTCCTTTCACTAATCCATACAGTATTTATTGATGTTTCAATATGGTTTTTAGGGATATATTGGTTTATTTTGCTTAATAGGTTCTTTTCTGCCTTGTTATTTCCTTTATGAAAGGGTGGTTTAATAAATTTGTAAATAAAGTTTAAAAAACCCCAAATGTTTAACCATTTGAGTGATCCTCCCATTGAAATCCGCACCAATTGAAAGTGTTCAGTTTTGAACATACTTTGTCAATAAGCAACAATCTGAACCACACTTACCTAGAAGTAAATGGGACACAGAACACAGAGGGACTTACTTTTGAATAAATACAGTATGCACAGGATGGTTCAAGGATGCTTTACAGAGCAATCCTAAATCTACTCAGAAGTAATTGCCATTGAATTCAAAGGGACTTATTCCCAGTTAATTGGGGCTAGGATTGCAGTCTTAATTTCTTTTATTTTAAGACGAATTTGGACATACAGGATCAGATGCAAAACTTTTAAGCTTTCATTTAAAACAATATAAAACTGAAAAACTTTGCAAAGAACATCACAACCACCAGTTCAGCATAAATCTATTGAAGTGTACATTTCAGCATTTTGTACATTTACTGAAATGAATCAAGTTTTTAACAGAACAATAGGTTTTCAGCAGTGAAGGCACTGTTGTATTTAAGCTACGTGTGCCTGTTAACTTAGATAAAGATCATTACAAGTTTCTACAGAACCTCAGCAAGCTTGTTGCAAAGAAACAAGTAGATTATAAAGGAAAATGGGTTGGGTGTTTTTTAAGAAAACATTTATTTTGGAGGCAGGTGATAGGGAGTAATGACTATTGAAATAAAGAAATCTCTCAGTGAACATGTTTTTCAAATTGAGGTTTTTTCCTGTTTTGGAATACTCAAAATGAATTCACAGAACTTTAGCCTAATGGTTGCCATCAATTTGAGTTGAATTAATTTTATAATGAAATGATTTTAGAATGTTGTACTATTTTATTGTTGTTAGCTGCCCTGAGCCCGGCTTCGGCTGGGGAGGGCAGGATATAAATAAAATTTATTATTATTATTATTATTATTATTATTATTCATGTGTTTAGGGCATGAATTTGTTACATATCCAAAGTTTAAACTTTGAGTAAAGTGTTTGGAGATACCTGCATCTTTGTCAGTGAAATATTAAATAAAATTAAAGGACAGGTCTCCTTGATTGAGACCATGCAGTACCCATTATGCACAAAACTCAATTTCTGGCAGCACAATCAGTAAAACTTAAAAGGTTACAAATCACAATGAAAGCTCTGCAAATTCCAAAATTAATGACTGTGGGTGCTGCTAAAGGTTCTTGGCACTGCCTAGAATCTGGGAGGCAATGAGAAATCGCCCAATTTCCAGCACTACTATTGTGTACCCCCACCAAATTAAAATCAAGTTACATATGATTTGCTTATTTATTTATGACATGTGAGTGCCGACCCATAACATAAAGTTATCTGGGTGATTTACAATAAATAAGTAAAACACCATTTAAACAAAAAGTAAAATATAGTATTATCAAATCAAATGCAACACATACAAATAATAAAGAAAAAGATTCAGAACAGCACCTACACAAACAGAGATAAAAGGCAGAAAATACATAACCACCCGTTTTACAAGTAGAAAACATGATCAGAAAAAAAACCCACGCTAAAATTATAAACAAAACTTTCTAGCCATTTAAAAAAATAAAATGCACGAAGGCCAGAAGAGATACAATAGCAGAGCAGGAAAGTACACAAAGTAGACAGTCGTTTTTTAATAAATGCACAATGCATTACATGCTGATGTTCACTGGTGTGTATATAAAACCTAATGGCTCTCTCTGTTTCCATTAAAATGTCAGAGCAAAGGATGATTTGCAGCGCTATTATCTATGCAGCCTCTTGAAGTAGCAACCTAAAAAGGGTGTGGGACAGCTCTGGGACAGCTTCCCAGAATGGCAGTGTTGCTCTTTATAATCTAACAACTTTATAAAAAATATGACAGCTGCATCTATGAACTTACATTTATTATCTTAGCTTTCAGATATATTTAGTAACTGTATTGACTCCCCTCTTGTTGAAATCACGGCGGAAGCTGTATCAAGAAATGGTAGCGTTGGAAGTGTGCATAACTTAAAGGTCAGTAAGGATGAATTTACATTGCAATGAAAAACCTTTTACCCCAATTCCTTACTGCAGCCGCTTCTCCTCATACAGTGGTGGGCAAACAGTTTGGCAAGCGTTCCACAAATTCAAGTGTAAGATAGTGCCATTCTAGTGCATGACATCTTATGCATTAACCACAGTTAATGCGTCTGAAGGAGCGTCTCCACCCCCCATCATTCAGTCCGGACATGGAGGTCCAGATCCAAGGGCCTTCTGGCAGCTCCCTCACTGCAAGAAGCGAGATTACAGGGAACCAGGCAGAGGGCCTTCCTGGTAGTGGCGCCCGCCCTGTGGAACGCCGTCCCATCAGATGTCAAGGAAATAAACAATCTGACTTTTAGAAGACATCTGAAGGCAGCCCTGTATTGGGAAGTCCTTAATGTCTGATCTTTTACTGTGTTTTTAATGCTCTGTTGGGAGCCGCCCAGAGTGGCTGGGGAAACCCAAACAGATGGGCAGGGTATAAATAATAAATTATAAATTGTTGTTGTTGCTGCTGAGAGTAACAACAACAAAAATCCAACAAATTAGCAATTGTGTCACTGACTGGAAATTAAGATAGAAACCTTAGCTAATGGGGTGTGTGCCCAGTTCCAGCTGAAGTGAGGGGACCATTCCAGGATGATTTAATCTATTCTATTTACTTCTGGCCAGGAGGGCTTAAGTGCCCTCAGGCCAGGCAGCTCATGTAAAGGCTATTGTAGGAAGAATCCTAGAAGACCTGCTCCCTGCCTTGCAGGCCTTTTTCCACCTGGCCTGGGAGGGCGGGGCCTGGACTGACTCCAGCTACAAAAGTTGAGGCTGAAGATACTCTTGTTTAGCGGGGTTTGTTGCTGTTATTGGTTGTTTTTTTTTTGTTATCTTTATTTTTAGATGTTATGATTTATGTGGAACTTGTGCAATTTGGTTGTGTGCTTTTTATGTGCTTTATTGTTTTTGACTACTTTTGTTATATTTGTCATTAAAGTTAATCTTTTCATGTTGTAAACTGCCTTGAGGATGGTTTTTTAACCATGGAAAGGCAGCATGCAAATTGTATGATGGTTTTATATGGGGACTACTGTGGCAGCATTCCAGCCAAACCATGGTGGAAGATCTTAGGTATTATCCAGACAAGCTTAACCAGGGTGGGTGGGTGAGGAACTGAATTTTAACTTTTGGATTCAGGAGCAGAATGTACTTTAAGTAGACAACAGCCTATAAATACTATTGTGAACAGACACCTTTACCTTGATTTGCAGGATCTTCTACTTAAATGTCTGACACAATAAAATATTTATACTGGAACACTGGGTCTGTAAAAGCCCATATTGGTGTTTTGATATGTACAACATTAAGTGAGCAGATTAGTAACAAAAAAGTATTGTATATAATTTATCTCACATGCAAATGCTGGGTGATGTTTTGGAAGAGCAAGATGTAGCAAAGTGATGCCAAAACTCCTATATAACAGCCCAAAATGGGAGGCTTGCAAGGAAAATTGTGGTTCACATCAGGAGGTGAACAGCACAAAACCCACTTGTAGAGCCAAATTACTACTCACGGAATGGAGATATGAATTGTATCTGATAGTATGAATTAAGGCTAGTGCTTACTGTAGAATTTGGTTGATGATAGCTTTCAGACAAAAGTAGAGATAAATGTTACAATCTATTATTTGAGTTTTGTTTTGTTTTCTGAGTAAATGCTATTTAACACAAGTCTTCATGTTAACAGGTCTTTTAATTGTTTTACTCTTGAGCGATTTCTCTCCTTCCTTCTATAAGTCTACAGGTTTAACTGACATACCATGTTTCAAGTACAAATACATTTATGTACAATGGATGTACCCTAGCCACTTCCGATAGTTTGGAAGAAATATGGCCTGGAGAAGTTTTAAATATTGTACCTACCCTAAAAGAATTTGCTGCCACAGCTGCAATAGTTAGGCCTGTGCAGAGATTGTTTGAGGCCTGGGAAAGAAGTATTGTTAGAATAAACTCAAGTAAAAAAGCATCTGTGCCCTGGTGGGGACAAGTGTACCTGGCTCCTCACGCTGCATGGGCCTGGCAGTAGTGCATGTTATAAAAAACCCATTACACTAATTAGCTATAGGCCTATACTAATAATGCCATTATTTCAAAAAGTGAAAATCCAGACACAAAAGTTGTTGAGCTTTTTTGCTGAAAAAGTAAGTTTTTGAGCTATTCTTAAGAAAATTCGCCAAAATCTACGCTTCCGACATGGGTTGTCATATGTCCGGATTTTCCCGGACATTTTAGCGATTTCTGCCTGGGGCGCTGTTACAGATGGCCGAATCCCGGCTACGTCCAGGAAATTCTGGACGTATGGCAACCCTACTGTACACCGACCCAAATGAAATGGAGATGGCAAAGATCGTTTACCCCATTTAGGGTGGGCAATGGTTGCAGCCCGGCCTGGCTCCTTGCGGGGGGGCAGCCCCTCACCCTTTGTGGCTGGTCATTTGGTTTTGACTCACCTGGCCTCAGGGGGTAACAGGATTGACTGCCAAATTTTTAATTTGAATTGGCCAATAGAGGCCGGGCGCTTCGACAGCAGACCAGAGGAAGCACAACTTCATTCTAGTTTGGTGCTGTAGAATATAGGCTGGCTGCCCTGAGCCAGCAGCCTAGTTGGCAGCAGCAGTTGAGAGTACGCATCCATCGCTTGGGGCAGGTGTGCAGGGAGCACCCCCAAGGTGGGTGGGGGGCGGAGGGAGCCCACTGGGGCTCACCAACTCTCCTCCACTCCACCCCCCGGTTAGGTCTGACCTGAGAGCAGGGTTGCAGCTGGGTGCATGCTGGAGCCAGGCTCTGGTGGGAGCCTGTTTTGGGGGTGCCTGGTAGTACCCCCTCCCCAAAATGTGTGCAGGGCGATGGCCCCTCAGCCCCCCCATGCGACACCAGTGCACCCATCCTCCCTACAAGCGGGTCAGCAGGCACTATGTTTGGAAGACCTTGCAGTAGATATAAATGGTTGCCATATTCAGGGCTGGGAAGGAATTTGCTTGCAAACAAATTGGGCCTGCTTGGGGGTTTTTGCCTTCATCGTAGCAATTGACACAAGTTCTGATGTATAAGGCAATGGGTTGTATCTTCAATCTATTCCTGGGAAGGGGGCGAGAGTTGGTGCCTCACCTCCGCCCACCCTTGAGCAGATGCAACATGTCAGGGTACCCCACTAAAGGTGTCTGGGTGGAAGATACTGTCCTGAAGCCCAAAAGAGGAGCAGATGGGCCTAGACTTTTCAATGGAGACCTGGTGGAGGGGCAGCTTAGCTGACCTGCATCTTGAAGTGACCCTTAACCCAGGCATGACTCTGTTCAAACATCAGCCTTCAGTCAGGAGGCTGGTTTAGGATACAAACCCACTGTCTAAGCCAGCCTTTCTCAACCTGTGGGTCCCCAGATGTTGTTGAACTACAACTCCCATCACCCCTAGCTAGCAAAGTCAGAGCTCAGGGATGATGGGAGTTGTAGTCCAACAACATCTGGGGACCCACAGGTTGAGAACCACTGGAAGCCAAAGCCTACCTACATCTGAGACAAATAAAGTTGTGGCCATTTTCAATTCTATAACGTTGTTGTGTCATTTTCCTCTCTCCTGTTTACTGCCCCCCCTTCCTGTCCAAGGGGTACTGGTTCCTAAAGAAAGGCCTGATGCGACTGATGAGAAGCAAATACTGAAGGAGCCATAAAGACTCCAGACACAGGCAACATTCTCAAAATAGAGAACTCTAATGATGAATATCATGACCTTTTCTGTATGTGGCTGTGTAAGATTCCTGTATGTGGCTCTTTATGGCACTTAGTATTTACAAGAATGAATAGATTACAGTGGTACCTCGGGTTACATATGCTTCAGGTTACAGACTCCGCTAACCCAGCAATAGTGCTTCAGGTTAAGAACTTTGCTTCAGGATGAGAACAGAAATCGTGCTCCGGCGGTAGGGCAGCAGCAGGAGGCCCCATTAGCTAAAGTGGTGCTTCAGGTTAAGAACACGTTCAGGTTAAGAACGGACCTCCAGAACAAATTATGTACTTAACCTGAGGTACCACTGTATAATATCTCATTTTTATTATACTTATAGTCAAGCAACATAATATATCAGCACAGTTTAATTCATTTGTGTGTTGCTCACTGAAAACAGATTAGATAATTTGGTCCACTTTGCAGTGATGTCTGTGTTAGGCCTTAGCCTAGCAGGTTTTCAAGAGGGGGCCTGTTAACCCATAGAACCAGGTAAACACACATTAGAGCAGCCATGATGGTTCAAAATGGATGACTCTGTGCCATCTCTGTACAAGCTATTTGGAACTTTGTTCTAGGTTCCCGTCTGCTTGCAAAACCTTGGCATCCTGAAGCATAAGAGCAGCAGAAAAACAGCTATGAGGCCAAACAAAAATGAAAGCATAATATTTTGGCAAGGCGGTGCAGGAGTAGGTCCAAGTGCCCTGTGTGGAGAGCTGCTGATGAAACCAGGCTCCCAGTTTCTCTCTTTTCCCCCTCCCAGGCAGATTATGGTAATTCATGGTCTACTTCTAGGGTTGCTACCTAAACCTTAAAATACAGAATCGCGTATTGATTTAATCCCATATTTGAAGTCATCATCAAAAATGTGTGGGCTGAGTGTGGGTCTGGTTGGGGTTGGGGGAGAGCGAGAGTTTGCATGGGTGGGAGAGCGAGTGGTGCGCGTGGCGTCACGGGTGAGGCAGCGAGGAAGGGCAAGATTGGAAGGAAAAGAAATCACTGAGTGCAGTGTCTGGAGAACAGCAGAGCAGCTAAAACGCGCCACATTGAGGCACCTGCCCCCCAAACCTCTTCCTTGTGTGGCATTAGGTGGTGGTGGGCTGGCTCAAATTCTCACTCTTCAATTGCTTTGCATGTTGAATGCCCAACAGCCTCAAATTATTTCCCTTCCAGCCTTGCCTGGCTGCTCCTTGCCATTCACAGGTGGCTCAGAGCATGTGGCCTGCCTCCCCCATTTTCCTTTCCTGCACTTACGTGCCACGCAGCCTTTCCCTGGCCTTGCTGCAACTGTGGGAAAGGTGACTGCAAGCTAACTAGCCCAGGGCAGCAACATTGGAAGGCATTCTGCGGCCTGCTTCTTTTTACTTCACTTTGTATTGATGAAATTTATTTGTGTTTATGAAATCTATTTAAGAAAATGAGATTTATGCAGCTCTTAAAACAGGGTAGACACCAGCTCATGAGGGATAATGCTATTTGCTCAAAGGAATCTGCAGTCCTTTTCAAGGCTCAGGGCTTATCCACACTTATTGATTGATTGAATTTATATACCGTCCTATACCTGGAGGTTTTACACAGCTCTTTACAGGCAGGTGTCTGCACGTTAATGCTCTGAGCGTGGGGGTATGGTTGTTGTTTTCTTCTGCCCTGAGCTCTCCCCATGAAAACCCACTCTTTAATTTCTTAAAATAATAATAATCAAATTCAATGAATAATAATGTGTTTGTGGGACAGGGGTTACTGGTTTATTATGATGGTGATGATGTATTTTGTGTTCTCATTTTGTATTTCTATGTTGTGAACTGCCCTCCAATCTTCAGATGGAGGGCAGTATACAAACTTTTTTCTTCACCATCAACATCGTAATTTGAAGCTGAATCAGAGCAAATGTCAATTAGGGTTTTCTGCAGATGAACTTTTGCTCCAATTGAGCTTTCAAGAGCAGGTTTTCGCAGGGAAAGCTCCAGAGCAAAAAGAAGGGCGCTTGGACACAAAGTTATAAGCCATGGACCATGCTTGGAAAGAACAAATGGAAGGAAAGTGTGTCTAAGCCCTCAGTTTGTTTGTTGTTGCAGCAACATTCAAATCTGTCTTTCCATCCAGGTGCTACCTGGAGCTATCCTGGGGTGTTACTTATCTTGCTTCTTTGCCTTTTGGGCTCTGACCTCTGCTTTTTTCAACTTCTGTTATCTTGGTTACTATCTGCTTTGTCTAACCTTGCCTGGGGGAACCTGACCTTTCCTTAACCAGACTTTGCTTCCTGAACTTTCCAGATGCTAATAGAATATGATGCAGACTCTTTGCCTAGCACAAGACCCCATTTGCGCTAGAACCCCTGGCTGGGTCAGAAGAGCAAGTAACTATACATGTACACTAGGGACACAGGTGGCGCTGTGGGTTAAACCACAGAGCCTAGGACTTGCCGATCAGAAGGTCGGTGGTTCGAATCCCCGCGACAGGGTGAGCTCCTGTTGCTCGGTCCCTGTTCCTGCCCACCTAGCAGTTTGAAAGCACCTCAAAGTGCAAGTAGATAAATAGGTACCGCTCCAGCGGGAAGGTAAATGGCATTTCCATGTGCTGCTCTGGTTTGCCAGAAGCGGCTTAGTCATGTTGGCCACATGACCCGGACGCTCTATGCCGGCTCTCTCGGCCAATAAAGCAAGATAAGCGCCGCAACCCCAGAGTCGGTCATGACTGGACCTAATGGTCAGGGGTCCCTTTACCTTTTACATGTACACTAAAAGTAAGTTGCATTCATTCCCCACCCAGAAGTGTAACTTCTAGAAACTCTGTGGAGGTTGAACTTAGCTTTTTCTCAGTGGCAAAAGGGGTACTTGAATTTCATCCTCCTGTAGCTGCTCTTTTCTCATTAAGCAAATCACCACCAGTGCATCTTTGAATGAGCTAGGTAATGCTGCTCTGAGGACGGTTTGGTTTAGGGCAGCGATGGGGAATATCTGCCCTGTGGGTGTAATGAGGCCTGGCAGGGATTCTAATTTGGCCCACAAGTCTGTTTTCACCAAACTATGCCCACCTGCCCCACACCTGATGCCGGTGTGCAGTAGGTAAAGGTGCTGTTGCAAAGGATTATTCAGGAGTTTGAAGTGTGCTCCAGATTGTTCCTTGGCAAGTAGTGCTGCTTGGTGCCGACAGCAAGTCCCTTTGAAGTTGGTATCATAATGACAATAGGTGACTGAAAGGTGGGCTGACCTACCCACCTGTCCATATGGCTTGCAGGTGAGGTCACAAGTTGTATCCAGTTCCCCACCACTGGTTCACTTCCTTCTTTAAATATGAATTGACTTTGGGTTATATATAGACCACCACTGACTCTGACCAACAGACAGATGTTTTTCATAACCCTGCCACCAGTGAATGACAGAATCTTTGACCTCCTAAAGACAAGAGCCCACACACCTAGGAGTAAGCCCCATTTAAAGCCACATCTGTGTGAACATGCATAGGGGACTCAATATGTGTGTTATCTCAACCAGGTGACATGGGAATCATCCCTCAGTCTGGTCCTGGGAAGCATAGCCCCAAGAAAGTGAACGGAGGGATCATCCACACTTCCATTTGCCCTGATGCCTTCCCCCAGGAAAACCTGTGCTTCAGCACTGAACTGGAACAAACAGCAACCAGATTTTCCATGGATTGCCATTTGTTCCAATTTAGTGTGAAAGAGTGGATTTTCCAAAGGAAACTAGCAGGAGAAAGGCAAAACAGCCCGGACACATGCCTAGGAGGAGATGAGGAACTATATCACCTTTAGAAGACATCTAAAGGCAGTCCTGTATTGGGAAGGTTTTTAATGTGTAATGTTTTATTATGTTTTTATATATGTTGGAACCCAGACAGATGGGGCAACCCAGACAGATTGGCAGGGTACAAATAAATTATTATTATTATTAGCATTAGCAGGGGACAAGTGGAAAACCACTCGGGCCTGTGCTGTCTAAGCACAGGGCAAGCAAAAGTGTGGACGAACCCTGAGTTGCGTTTCAATACCAGAGTTCAGTTTAACCATATATCTCAGAAAGCGTTTAGACTTCCTTTGAAGAACAATTATTCTTAACCATAAACTTAAAAGGTTAAAGCTATTGGAAAAATGCTGGGGAGGTAATGTATAATAGTGTACAGATAGCATTGATTTCAAGATTTGTTATCCTGTCATAAACATACGATAACTAAATAGTACAGTGGGCCACATTTCCAAGCCAAATGTGTGCGCTATAAACTTGTTTTAACTTGTTTAGGCATTTCTCACCCATGTGAATGCTTGTGTGTGTTTGGCACACAGAGAAATGATTCCAAGGTGCAAGTGGTTCTGCAAAAAGGACTAATTATTCAATCCAGCACAATGTATTACATGATAAAAAAAAAGTTCCAACACCTACAGCCTTTTCTATGCATAATACAGCTCTGGCTGTGAACATCATTTCATCTCATAAAACACACGCTTAACCATTAGCTTGAGTAAAAAATACATGCTGATCAACATTCATGATCAATTTTTGCTGTTTCCAAAACACCTGCAATTCTGTTAACTAGGAGCTGATTTAAAAAAACAAACCCAAAACCCCCCACATAAGAATGCAATACTCTTGAAGGGAATATAAAAACAAAATTGTGGAATCAGATTTACCATGACACAAACAGTGGTTTAAAATAATTTGAAACATACTAAACAGTATATAGTGTACTTATAGAATCACAACAAAAAAGTTAAAGACAGCAATAGTATGAAAAGTAGAGAAAATATGAATGTTTTTAAATGTGCCTTATGTATTCCTATAGGGACGCGGGTGGCGCTGTGGGTAAAACCTCAGCGCCTAGGACTTGCCGATCGCATGGTCGGCGGTTCGAATCCCCGCGACGGGGTGCGCTTCCGTCGTTCGGTCCCAGCGCCTGCCAACCTAGCAGTTTGAAAGCACCCTCGGGTGCAAGTAAATAGGGACCGCTTACTAGCGGGAAGGTAAACGGCGTTCTGTGTGCTGCGCTGGCTCGCCAGATGCAGCTTGTCACGCTGGCCACGTGACCCGGAAGTGTCTGCGGACAGCGCTGGCTCCCGGCCTCTAGAGTGAGATGAGCGCACAACCCTAGAGTCTGGCAAGACTGGCCCGAACAGGCAGGGGTACCTTTACCTTTACCTTTTATGTATTCCTATTACGTCTGATAGACCCTTAAGAGTGCATACTTGTCTAGTCAGAATAAAATCTTCATTCTCGATGGCCTATTCACGAGAAGCGTGTATGGCATTGCAATGCTTTGCACTCTTACCTGGGAGTAAGTATCATTACTTTTCACAGACATGTATAAAATTGCACCGCACGCTGCTTATGGGGAAAGCAACAAAAAGCACCTTGTATTTTAACACCAAGTACACCTGTTTAGGCAGATGTTACAGGACCATAGAAGTAAAGAAAATGTTCTGCATATTTAAAAAACTGTTGTCCTACGAACCAGGGCTGAGGAACCTTCGGCCCGTGAGACAAATTTGGCACACTAGGCCTCTCCATTTGGCCCACTGACATGACGTCAGGTGTATCAAATCACATGATGGTGGTGACAGGTGATGGACGGATGGCTGGCTCCAGCCACCAGTCAAATTCAGCCTGCAAGCCCAGCCCTGCCAAAGATCTGGCCCGTGAAGCCAAAAAGTCTCCTCTACTCTATAACTAAAATGGGTGGAAAATGAGGAGTTACACCGACAATAATGTGTTTTCAACAAAATGTTGCATATATGAAAAAGTTGAACACCTCTATTGTGGGTGAGGTCTGGCTCTCCAGATGGCGTTGGACTCCATCTCCCATCAGCTTCGGACAGTGTGGTCAGGGATGATGGGAGTTGTTGTCTAACAAGATCTGCAGGGCTAAATGGTCCTCATCCCAAATCTAAATAAAACAAAATACTAGACTCAAAGAAGCAATACAAATACTGGATTATTTTGAATCAACATAACATATTGAGCAAGAATTTGTTTTCACTACTGAAGAAAATTTATCTCACAAAGGTGAGATATTTCTATTTGTTCAACGAAGAAGGAGGAAAAGTCAGAAAGATGCCAATGAAGAAGGAGAAAAAGTCAGAAAGATGCCATTCACACACCATGTTTTCCTCAGTGTGGGAAAAGGGAACATAAAAAGAATGAAGGCAGAAAGGCAACGAGGTTCAGAGGTATGAAGATCATAGGAAGAGGCAAGCTGTGTCAGACGGGCTTGGAACGTGAAGGGAATGATGCACAACAATAAACTGTTGGGGAGGGAAAACAAATAATATAATTAATGACTGAGCAAAATATTTTAGGCTGCAATCTTACCTGAAGTGAGTCCCATTAAGCTCAATGGGGCTTAGTTCTTAGTAGACATGTATAGGATTAAATATCCAGCACATTCCTTTATGACTGCTGCCAGCATGAGCAAAATTAATGCAGTTTTTGTAAATAGAATTGCAACTGTTCTAACGTACAGATGGCCCAATTCGGTATTCTCAGTAGCTACCCTACTCGATAGACCTCTGGTTTTGAAACTAAGATCACGGAACCCTATTTAAGGATGAAATCACTGCCCTCAAAAAAGAACGTGCATCTTGAATGGGAGATAGAAATATTAACCTCAGGTCCCTGCAATAGGGAGTTATTTCAGCAACTGGGGTGAGCTACGGAGAGATCAGCATTAGCAGAAGTGAGGATGGCTCTTTATTAACTTTTAAAAATTGGCTGCCATCAACAGCAGAGAGATCCTTTCTCATCAGTACAGCCACTATTTCGTTTTCCCTCAGAATGACCTCGACACTAGGAACGCATAGATCAGGATAGGTCAGGTCTCTATCACATGTGTGCATTCAGTCATATGTGCGTTCCATCCAGTTTCTGCATTTATTTGCCATTGTTTTAAAATTTTGCACAAACTTTGTATTTGAATAATATTTAATCACAAAAATATAACTAAATGTGTATTATTTCATTGTACACATTTCCAAACCTATTTTATCCTCAAATACACATCTTGGTAGAATCATTGAGGTGCATCACAAAATTTGGACAAGTAAAAAATGTGAAGGGTAAGCACATCTTCTGTAATGCTTCTCTTGTAAATGGCTTAGATTTTTAAAAATGAAATTGTGGTAGACAAGTAAATGAAACAGTCTCCTTGGCCCAACAGCTTCTAGGACAGTAAGCAAGGAAGCTTTTCAGAATTTGCTTTCCCTATATATTGTAAACCGCTCTATCATCCTTGGATGAAGGGCAGCATAGAAATTTCATAAAGAAATAAAGTAAATTCTAACCTGCAGAGTTTTTTGAAAGGTGCAGGCCATCCATGTCAGAATTCATAGATATTAAATTCCTCAGGCATTGATACTGGACATAGTGTCATTCTGGGGCAGTGTGGCAGGAAATGGGGGCTCCTATTTCCTCCCACAATGCCCCAGAACACTACATCCAGAGCCATTGTAGAGGAAATGAAATGGTGGCTTGGCTCCCAGCAGGAGCGCTCTGCTGTTGTCATTGCCTGCGACAGTCTCAAAATACAGTTTTAAAAGTTAGAAAACATCACTGTTGTTACTAACTGTATGACTCCCCGCCGCCCTACCCAGAGACTGAATCCCGCCCCCTCAAATAACCACGTGGGAATCAAGCAGCAAATCTGGACTTGCAACTCTATGATTCTATGAAATTGGGGGGGAGGGGTTTCAATGCAATTTCGTATAATACATTGCATTCAGCCACAGGGAAGTGAAGGATGTTTTCTATTAAGCACTTAGTTCATGAATGGTGATAGCATTTTTTATTGCTCCCCCTATACAAAAAGCTCCCTGCATATAATAAACCAATGCATTAGATCAGGCATGACCAAACTTGGCCCTCCAGCTGTTTTGGGACTACAATTCCCATCATCCCTGACCGCTGGTCCTGTTAGCTAGGGATGGTGGGAGTTGTAGTCCCAAAACAGCTTGGAGGGCTAAGTTTGGCCATGCCTGCATTAGATGGTTGGGAATCTTTGGGGCTTGGGACAGATTACTCCAGTGGAAAGCTATTGAAGGTTGCATTCCCCAAAACGGTCAGGGCCAGACATGCATACAATCATACATGCAATTGCACACAACTCTTCCTTATTCAGTGCCCTGGTTTATCAGCGGATCAGCTTTCAGGGGAGGGTGTTTTCATCCCCATTATGATGCTGGGCTCGGGATGCTTAATGGGATGGGGACAAAAATCAGGCCCACTCTTCAGACGATCAACATCCGTCATCGGAAGACCAGGGACAGCACATTTCTATCTGGTGTGTGGTGGGCCCACAGAGAGTGTGGCTGGGGCAAGGGCGTGGCTGAGGAAGAGGGCTGGATGTGGAGGACTGTCAGGCCACATTACGCCAGCAGCCTAGAAGTTCCCCATCCCTGCATTAGAGGGACATGTTTAGTACGAGTCCATCTGGTGAACCAGAGCAAATCAGAGAGTATGCAAGCCTAAGGTCCACTCCCGATCTCACCCCAATGGCCAAGTACTAGATGAACAGGCTTATATTTCAAATCATTTCATGATGGCATAATATATTGTTATCTACGCATACAAGCACCACACAAAATTCAATGCAATATTCTGACGACACTCCTATGCGCACTTGTCTTGCAGTAAGTTTCACTGATCTCAATTGGACTTACTGATGAATAAATTATAGTATTGCAACCAGGTAAGTAATTTGCACAAACACAATGGAAACTTACTCTCCAGTAAATATGTTCTGATGAGGATGTTAACTCATTAAAATTTCTGCAAACCATGCATGTGACAAATCATTCTTTTAAGGCTGACACAGAATGAAAGTTCAACCAATCTCAAAATAACATAATAGAGAAAAGCAGATTAATAAAATAAAGACAAAGACATCCATGGATCAGTAATGTTAGAAATGCACACAATACATATATATGTATGCTTAGTGGTCCAAAAGGATAGATCATTTAAGGAGAATAAATAGGTCAAAGCACAAAACGGCAAGCAAGCACACTGCAACGCTATAGGCTGCACAGCTATTTTGCAACCTACCATATGATTTGAATAATCAGCAAATAGTTTGCATAATATGTTTATCAGGCCATTCCTATCTGCAGGACTGAGATATGGCAGTCCTAAGATATCTCCCCAGCAAGCAACATTTAAAAAAAAAACCTCAAGAGGCAAGTTCTAGATACTGAAAGAATTCCAGTGACAAGTTCTTAAGTTAGATATTTAACAACTGCCAATTTATCTATTTAACACAGCTTTGGAAAGCGACAGTTTTTATTAAACACACACATACAGAAACGCTGCTGGTGCTTCTGAATCAGAGGTCTACTTGGGACAATATTTGGTGGGGAAACTTCACAGAAACAATTCTAGCATAATGAGTCTTCTATTCTGACACTTTATTAACATCTGTGGATCAATTCTGTAAGACACACTTTATGGAAAACACCTCCCACCCCCCAAATCAAAGTCCTTTCTACCTCAAATAGCCCTTTGACATAGACCTAATTCTCACTTAGGAACACCTTTAAGAGTTCAGGTGAAAGCTCACAGGGCAGCCTTTTCCCTGCAGATGTTTGGGGCTACAGCTTCTATCAGCATCAGCCAAGACTGCCAACAGTCAGGGATTATGGGAGCTGCATCCCAAAATATACGGAAGGCATCAGGCTGGGGGAGGCTTGAATAGATGCATTTGCAAAGTACTTAAAAAGCAACATTTGAATTCAGTATTTTATGAATCACACAATGGAACTCTGTTAATGACCACTCCCCACATTAAACGGGGGGGGGGCGCCCTTTGCGTGGTTGCGCGCAGCCCCTGGACCCTATACGGCCCCATTAGCACAGGCTTGGCTTTGCCTTCCCCAGGTGGGATACCTGGAGGTCTCCGCCTACCTCAGCCAGTTGCCCAATCCCCCCTGGGGAGGCGTTGCCAAGGTGACCAGGCCAGGTAGGGGGAGGGACCCTGCCCACACGATAGGGGAAGGATCTTACCTGGGAATCTTCAGTTGGCTCCAGAGCTACTCCCACCCTACCCACCCTCAGTTAAGCCTTCTTTTACAGATTAACCTTTTCTTCACAGGTACGTGGGCGCTGCTGCGTCAAGGTCGCTGTTGAAGGGCCAGAAAGGAATTCTCCTGCATTGGCAGGTTTGCCTTTCCCGTAGCAAAACGTCACAACTTTGGCGGTATCAGGCCTTGGGCGGAATCCTTTAGTCTATCTTCCCTTCCTCTTTGCGGCGGCGGCACCAGGATTCCCCATTAAAGGGGTTTTTGAGGGGAGGCTTTGACCATACGCCTAGAGGTCGTCAGTGCTCTCCCCTGCGACAGCGGCGTAACGGGGGGGTGGGCTCTCTCTGCTTGAACATATGTTCTCCAGAGCCAGCCCATCTCCCCCCACTGGATAACCCTGATTTTCCCCAGATCCCTGGTGGAGGACTGGGAGGGATAAACACCCAATGCCTGAGCCAAGATCTACCCACATCCGAAATATAATAAAGTTGTGGCCAATTTTAATCCCATAGCACGTTGTCTTGAATCGTTATTCCACATTGGGGGCCCGCCCAGGGTTTGGGGGACTCCGCCTGTCCACGCAATGACCACGTTTATATTTTGTATTTTCACGATGTATGAAATGTAAAAGTGCAGAAAGGGGATTGGGTGGCAGCTGACAGGAAGTGGCTGGTTTCATGGCTTTGCTACATCACAATGTAAGAAGACAACCCTCAGGCCACTTGGCACTGGGACAGAGGTCTGGGCTAAGAGACTGAACTGGAATGGGAATTCTTTCTCTTCACTAGACAATAACCTAAGAACCTGTCCTGGGCATCAGCCTTCCCACATATGGTTGTTTCCCTCAATTATCCCTAAATGATTTCTTTACATGGACAAAGAGATTATTTGCCAGAAGGCTTAGAAAGAAATTTTACCTGGGACCATGACTGGCAGCTAGGAATACCAAGTTGCTTTTCTTTTTATTCTGTCTGAACTGAGCGTAGCTGTTTTGCAATGGGAGGTTGGTTCCTTCCCACCAATTTTAGGATGGAGTGTGGTCTGAATGTAATATTGTCACTATGCCACACATGTACTGATATACTGTTTTATTGTGTTTATGTTTTGAAAATAAAATATTGTAAAGAAAAAAAACTGCACCACAAAATTCATATACATGCACATTTTGGATGGCTGTGTTTTGAATCTTGTATTTTATTTTTTGGGGAAAGTGAGGCTATGATAAATTTGGCTTTAAATGCAAACTGAATCAAATTTGTCCCCTATCCCTAACCTTAGCAAACACTAGCTTTTCCTTGAACTTGCTCTCCATATCTGGTTGGGTCCATTAGGCCACTGACTCTGGAACTTGGGTGTTAGGCTGGGGGAGAATCAGAGGTAGGCTCTTCAAACCCCCCATCCCCCTTAAGTGGCCTTGGATGGAAGGGCTCAGGTCCCAGTTTTGTTACTGTGACAGAAATGTGGCCCCCACCAGTGCTGTCTCAAGTCAGCCTTCCTTCTTGCCCTGTCAGCAGATGGGTAGTCAGTAATATTGGGGGTCCCCTGTCCACGCAGTCCCAAACTGTCTGTAATAAAAAGGTAGGCTGCTTTAACCCAGACAATGGTTAGTTTTCATTATCTTTTCCCCTCCAATCTTGCTCCATCCCTGACTGCAGATGCAAATACACTTATAAAACTTCTATTAAAAAACAGACAAAATTAACTGAAAAACTGTGGATTTTGTTCTTCATTATTACTTTTTTAGCATTTAAAAATGCTGTCTCCCCTTCCCCCCCAACACAGTTTTACACCTATAAGTCAGGTGCTTTTTGAAAAAGGCAGAGCTGTAGACTGTAAGTACTAGACAGATACGAGAATAAATGTGGCCTATTTAATATTATCTCAAAAAAGTATTTTTGTGAAAAATGGGCTACAACGTTCATTGAAAGCGAGGAAAACAACAACAAAGCTATGTTGAAATGAGAGGAAACAACAAGAAAACCCTAAATAAATAAATAAAAACTTTATAAAAAAAAGAAACAAAAAACAAATGAATCTCATTTTAGTATCCAAACGCATGAAGTAAGATCATGATTGTTATCAGTAAAGAGTTGACATTCTTGAAACAAATATATTAGTCAAATTAATATAATGCATTGTGCATTTTTTTAAAAAGGAGACAGAGTGGAGAGGAAAACACATGTATGACTGGAAAGAGAACAGAGGAAAGTCTGGAAAAAGCCCCTCCCCCCCCGCCCCGCCACAGAAGTTAAGAAAATGAAATATGCAATTATTCAAACATACGTTTAGGTACCAGCTTGGGTGGGTCTGTAACATCGGCTTCACTGTACAATACGGTTGGATCCATAGTATCTCTGTCAGGAGGAGGGTATGGTGGGGGTGGGGGGATCACTAACTGGGGTGGGCCACGTGGGTTGCCTCTAGGAGGCTTTTGTGGCACATGCCGTCCATTACCTACAGGGGAATCAATTGGAATTTACTAGTTACTTTGATCATCAAGTCAAATATCCATTGCTTAGTTTTGCTCCGACTGCGTATGAAAACCACTTTTTCCAAGCTGCCATCCCATGATTAGCGTCTGGGAAGTTGGCAATGCCAAAGTGTATAGGTGTCGACTAATAAATATTGACTGTTTTAAGTAGTGGGCATCTAGGAAAATCAATCAAACACCGTTTTTCATAATTGTGAAAAAGCCTGCTGGATGGTATAATTTGCAAGTATGGTATGGTGTAGGCATGCTTTGGACTTTTTTTTTATTATGATAATCAAAAACTTCAAAGCATGTGCTCACAAAACCACAAGGTACTGCCTTGCAATATATTTTTCCTTACTTCAAGCCCTATTTGTGGTCTTGCATTGTCTGATCAGGTCAGCTGACCCATCATTCTTCCCTTGTATCATGTTTTATTCTCTTTCATCCACCTCTCCTACTCAGAGTAGATCCATTCAAAAATGCCTGATGTAAAGTTGATTTATTTTAATGGGTCTACTCTACTATTTAACTGGATATCACCCAAACACCCATTCATATAAATGCTGTTAAAGTCTGCATACATTCTTAGAAGTTATAATGGAGGCACTGGGACTTATTTCCCTCCAGACATTGCAGAACTACAACTCTCATAACCCTGACCATGTTGACTAAGGCTGATAAGAACTTGAGTCCAGAAACTTCTGGAATGTCACAAGTTCCCCATCCCTGCTGTAGTGGTTTAAACTTACGTAAAACATTTCTGCCAACACACACTAAGTGGGGCATAAGTCAATAAGTTCTTGGTTAGTCGTCTACCTTCCTCCAAGGATGGTGGGGTGGCAAATCCCCCCACATACTTTTTCTTGCAAATTAGCTGAGACCAACAGGCCCAACAACACCAGTGAGCTCCATGGCTGAGAGGGGGTACTGGAATCAAGATCTCCTCAGGCTAAGCCTGACACTTTGGTCACTAAACCACATGACTGTTTTTCTTTCATCCAACATGTTCTGTGCAGCGGCGTGCAATTATCAGGCTATAATTCAAAACTTTCATTGTCACCAGTAAATATACAGAGGTTGAATGGGGATGGTTGGAACCCATAGGAGTCAACTCCCAGGGGCCAAGGTTCGTTTGCCCCCCGAATAAAATATCTGAGGGGGCCGGAGACCCCCAAAGTTGATGGGCATTGCCATTCAAATGGTGTGTGTGTGCTGCATCCTGTGGTTGATTGTGCAGGCCAGGGCTTACCTGGGCCTCCTCAATATATTATTCAAGATGGTACCCCTTGTGAGAACAGTAAGGTTATAACATCCAGAGAGATTAAAGAGATGTTCAATGTTCTTAAAATAGTCCTTCATAACAATATTCTTTCTAGATATATAAACAAGCACATCAGTGATACCCAAGCTAATGGATTTCTATTGCTACTTAAAAATTGGAACACTAAATATGAGGTAATTTAGTGAAAATAAATATAGACATAAAGCCAAACGGTTTCTTCCAAAATGGGAGGCATTTATAATATAAGCAATTAAGAGTGTTCATTTATGCATGTACTGGTTGCTTTAGGGAACATGAGGCCATCAGATGGAATCTTAAATGCATCACAGAAGCTGTAACTTGATTAATTTAATGTACTGGTTGATTATTGCTGCTGTGTATGAATTCTCTCATAGGTTTTAGCAATCCATCAAATGGCAGCTTGCTAAGGATGTGACTAAGCAGAATACCAACTGATTGTGAAGAATTTTCAGCTGAACCAAATTAATTCGAAATTTGGAAGAGTATGCCTTTTCTTGCCCTGGACTGATTTACAACTTATTATTTCTAGACATGGGACAATTTTGCCCATAATATCCAATATATACTCATAAAACAACAACCATTAAGTTGGGTTTTATTGTACTTGTATATATTCAATATACACCACTTTTCATAAGTAATCTCTGTAGCTAGATAAAGGTGGAGGAATGTTGTCTGAGTACCTAAGAAAGGAATGTTAAAGCACCAGGAGAGTGCTGTTTAATATTCAACATTACAATGAAAACTGAATATAACCAATTATTTAATATACACTATATGTTACACACTCTATCTATCTACTCCAGCAGAGTTCTTCAACCAATTCATAAAATATAGATTATTTCTTATTTCCAGACTTTCATTCTGTCATGTTAATAATTTTCCAGATTACACTGTTTCTTGTCCATGTGGGAATATGTTACTATTAGTACCAATATATCACACAACTGGCAGATCAGCATAAAGCACATGCATCAGGCGCAATCATAACAAATTGTTCTTACCAACGGTGCTTTTCCTCTTGTCTTCCATTTCTTCTGTCCTGTTCTGTATTGGAGGAGTCGGTGGGGGAGGGGCACGCCGTTTTTTCTTCTGTAAATCATTTTGCGATTCGCTTGGGGACATCTGCCAAAGATGTAAGGGGAGGAAAACTGTACTAAGCATTTGAACTATTGCTTTTGGAGAACCACAATTATCTTCAACACTTTCAATATGTGTGCATGTTTCAAAATGGCAATATGGGCCACAAAATGGGGTCTTGTAAATCTGCCAAAAATGTTGCCTGTTTTGGAAAAAAGGTATGTATTACAGCAAATAGAATGGCAGAGACTCTTTTCCCCAATGACACAATTCACACTCCAAGTGCTGGCTGTCTCCTGCCCTTTGCAGAATGACCATGATAAAGACTTGGGGAGATTTCTTGGGGGACCCTAGTTGTGGGTGATTAAATCATTATGGGCATAGTTAGTTGGGTGTGCAAAGGGTGTGCAGACCACATGGTGAGTTGCCTGCCTGGTGAAAAGGTTTTGGATGTTGCACGTTGTCTATGTAGCCTGGTGGGCAGTGCTGGGAATGTGCCAGTGGTGCCTATTTGGGTCAGTAGAGAGCTATTTGCCACCAAATGTACACATTGGAGGTGTGCAGTGCCATTCTTGCAATGATGGCCATGCCTGCAGACATACATTTGTCACATCACATTAGTTTTTTAGGCACACAGTTAAATCACCTTAGAAGCATACCTAGCTATTCAATATATTTGTCATATATATGGACTAGTTTCTCAGTTTCTCAAGACCATTCACCTCCTTGTGAATTGGGAATCTATTTCTTGAAACTTTGGGGAGGTATTTCCTGCAGTGCAGATGTCTGACTGATTTCTGGGTACATGGGCTGCGATCCCAATAGCCCTTCCGTTCCAAGAAAGCAATTTCTCTACATGACAGATAAGGTGATGTCTGCCCTTAACAGCTGCAGTTTCCCAGCATTCTGGAGCTTGAGGGAACACGGGAAGCCTTTAAATGCAACATGTTAAACCAAAAGGGGTTTTGTGTGTGTGGCTACTTGAATGTAGTCTAGGTCTGGAGGTCATGAGTCTGGAGATAATTCTAGCTTACCTTGCACAGCTGGTGCAAGGATCAACGAGATGAAGTATGTGGAGTAGTTTGCAAAAGGGCTATAGAAATACTATGCTCTATTGCATGACAGTGCTTTTGAATTATGGTGCTGGAGGAGACTCTTGAGTCCCATGGATTGCAAGAAGATCAAACCTATCCATTCTGAAGGAAATCAGCCCTGAGTGCTCACTGGAAGGACAGATCCTGAAGCTGAGGCTCCAGTACTTTGGCCACCTCATGAGAAGAGAAGACTCCCTGGAAAAGACCCTGATGTTGGGAAAGATGGAGGGCACAAGGAGAAGGAGACGACAGAGGACAAGATGGTTGGACAGTGTTCTCAAAGCTAGCAACGTGAGTTTGACCAAACTGCGGGAGGCAGTGGAAGACAGGAGTGCCTGGCGTGCTCTGGTCCATGGGGTCACGAAGAGTCGGACACGACTAAACGACTAAACAACAACAACATTGCATGACAGAGTCTGCATACTTCTGTGTGGCACCTCTAGTTAAAAGACTGAGAAGTCTAACTTATCTAATCAAGGTCACAAAGTCACAAAGTTTTTTTTCATATGGCCATCACAGCTTAACTCAATACGCAGAATGTAGTCTTGTTCCATTTCACACATGCAACTTAGTACATGACAAGTACACTATATAACTTAGTTCTGCATCATATATATCGTTATGTAAGTGGTAGGAGATTTGCCTTCCTCAATTTGTTCTGCTCTTTTCTGTACATTTTCCTGTACAACCCCCAGGTATGGTGCTTTGCTCTCAAAATATTTCTTGCAATGTGCGCTTGTATTTTTGCCATATTCATGCTGGAGAGCCACCATCCATCAGAGCAGACATTTACTGCGTAGCATCAGGCAGCTTCAAATGTTCACATCCCTCCCCCACTCTTTGCAACACTTAGTCCTGGGCTGAATGTGTCTGCCAGGAAATGATATTCATAAACAAATTCCCTATGTTCAATGACTAAAGTAGTTTTAATTTCCTCTCTCTTTTCACCCGAGGAAGTTACTTTGCAGCACCAAATATTTTCACATGCACTGAAATGCGTAGATTACACATGTCTGCGTATGTTTGTTTTGGCAAGAAAAAATGTGGCTTCCTCTATTTCCCTAAATACAGTCCTTTTTGTCACCATCACCTAGAAAACAAGGAACAAACTCATGCAGAAACCTCCAAAATCCACTAGACTTTAATTTGGATTCAGGATTAAAATTTATTTCCAACAATGTTTGATGCTTTTGTGTAAAGAAGGGAAATAACTTTCAATTAACTTATTTCATTTATATCCTGCCTCTTCCTTTTTGGAACCAAAGGTGAGTTCCCAGGCACTTTTATCTTTTTTAAAAAATTAATTTTATTAGAATTTTAAAAGAGAGCTGCAGAGGATATTATCCAGTATCTTTTTTATCCAAACTAAAGCGTTAATCTGGAAAAAAACAACCAACACAGATCCAGAGGAAGAGAGAGAGAAGAAGAAGAAAATAAAATAAAGAGAAAGAGGTAGAGATTAAAAGGGAAAAAATAAAGTTAAGAAACTAAAGAACTTTAGACTCTTTGCCTGTCAGCTATATATAAACATTATTCAACTCATCCACTCCAACATAACACCCAGCAAGACTACTTTCTATAAACCAACATTATCTTCAGCCTTCAAACCCAAATGTCATTACAGTGGTACCTCGGGTTACATACGCTTCAGGTTACAGACTCCACTAACCCAGAAATAGTACCTCGGGTTAAGAACTTTGCTTCAGGATGAGAACAGAAATCGTGCTCCGGCGGCGTGGCAGCAGCGGGAGGCCCCATTAGCTAAAGTGGTGCTTCAGGTTAAGAACAGTTTCAGGTTAAGAATGGACCTCCAGAACGAATCAAGTACTTAACCCGAGGTACTACTGTACTTCATTTTCTTTTCCACACAAGAAGTCTATAACAGGTTTCCAATCTTTGGAGTTAACCATGACATGTGAATTTTGCCATCTCAGCCAACTCCAAACCATTCCTCCATTGGCTAAGACCAAGTGTAGCAGCCAGACAGTCTCTTTATCCAAGCACTGACTAGACCAAGAACTGCTCAGCTTCAGAAAAGCTTTTGCATCCTGTGCCTTCAGACCAAGTCCTGGCACTGATAGATTCAACAGTGCACTGAGATCCAATGTAATGTTGGCATGAAAAGCGGGAGATTTGGCACTGTTCTGCAAGCTATTATTATTACACAAATGCAACAATAAAAAAAACCTGAATACAACAGGTAAACGATCCACAACACTTTTGCCCGTGTAAGACACCCTTTGGATTTGGCTGCAAGAACAGGGTCCCTGCTCATGGAATGGCTGCTGTGCCAGGAGGCTGCCACAACCAGATCATACCCCCTATGTTAGATTTCATTCATCGTTATTTGCTAAGTTCTCCTAGGACGTGAGTGTGTAAATTAATGAAACTTCATTCATAAATGAGTATTACTATACTGATACACCCTAGATCACGGGTGTCAAACACAAGGCCCGCGGGCCGAATCCGGCCCGCCAGACCTCGTCATGTGGCCCGTGTAGCCGTCGCCGGCCCTCACCTTTTATTCTCGCTTTTTTTTTTTTGACACAAGAAAGCCGCCTCTTCAGCGCATGCGCGGCAGCCTACAAGCCAGAGAACGTCTGCCCTCTAGCGGCGCCGGCCGTTCTACACAGGAAACCTCCACTTTACATGCATTCAGGAAACCTCCACTTGTTTTTATATTGAGCGTATGCCATCCTGTGATGTGACAGATCCAACGGCTGCCTGAACCCTTCTCTCCTGTACTGTAAGTCCTACAGATACAACCGGCCCTTTGAGGGTGACCAAACTGCTGATGCGGCCCCCGATGAATCTGAGTTAGACACCCCTGCCCTAGATACTCATGCATCCCTGACAATTTGCAAGCACTTTTAAATTAGGCACAGGTTTAGCAGCATGCTTCTTTAATACTACAGGACCTACAATGCAAGACTCAACAGCAGCATCGCTGTTTGATGCCCATCCAGCCTCTGCAAAAGTCCTGTTGCTTCAGTGGCAGCTAGTCTTCTTAAGGGGAAAAGCAGTATGTCAGCATCACAACATTGCATTGGGAAACATTCTAGGACGGGGTAGGCAACCTAAGGCCCGGGGGCCGGATGCGGCCCAATTGCCTTCTAAATCCGGCCCGCGCATGGTCCGGGAACCAGCGTGTGTCCTTTTATTTAAAATGCATCTCTGGGTTATTTGTGGGGCATAGGAATTTGTTCATTTTTTTTTCTTTTCAAAATATAGTCCGGCCCACTACATGGTCTGAGGGATGGTGGACCGGCCCAGTGCTGAAAAAGGTTGCTGACCCCTGTCTAGGAGTTTGAAGGCCAATTCACAGTTCAGTTTTTGGGACTCTGGTATAAACAGCACACCTGGATTTAAATGGCAAAACACACAGGTAACATTCATTAACTGTGAATGGTGCATGTACATTATAAGTTGGATTTTGGAGAAAAGGATGTTCCTGCCAACACTTTTGTTGGTGAAAATCCCACTTTTTAACTATAAGTGCCATTCACAATTGATGTGTATTCTTCCATTTCAACTTAGGCACTTTTTGGATGCAAGTTCATGATGTTATCTCTTAATGGTTTAACTTCTCCTAATGACCATTTACTTCAGTTCTTTCCAAACCTACAGCTGACAACTGATGGAAGGAAACCTCTGAAAGTCACCACAGAGCTCTTAAGTTTTTCAAAATCCTTTCTTTGTTCTTGAGAAGGCAGTTTATATTACCTTGTCTGGAACAGCCTGGGAAACCCTTACGAGGGATTCAAAAACTTTTGTGTCTTCTGCTTCTCATGCAATATTATCTGCTTTCAGAAAAGTGCAGGTCTTCTAAAATCTCAGTATGGCCTACACGCCTGACAAGCCTGGTGGACTTTGGTTTATTTGCAGAACATTTCTATGCTGCCAAATTACAAAGCTGCACAGAACAGTATGTTCAGGTTCTGATCATCTTGTCAGCTCCGAATGAAGGGCTTGACGGGGACTGTATGTGGAGGTCAAGCACTTGTATCTTGATCTCAGCCAGATGGTACTTTATGGTCTTATTCCCAAGAGAGGTACCAAAGAGAGGTTTGATAAAACACCTGACAGCTGCTCCATAAACTACGGTAACTACCATAAGAAACTGTACTATTGTAAAAGTCATAATACATTTCTGGCATTAGGGGGCAGGGGAAACTAAAAAGGTTTTCTTATACGCATAGTGAATTCAAGGCTGTGACTTGGATCCTTTTGCCAACAGACAAGACCAAGCCTTAAACCTTTTCTGCATGAAAGTAAATATATCTGAGAGAGGACAAACTTTTGTCTTTGCTACCGCCTTTTGCTTTTGAGTGGACATGCTATTGCCTCGGTACAGGTACACTAAAATCCCTTCTAAAAAAATCTCAGAGGGAAAAACAGTCACATGCAAACCAACGAAGGCCAAACACAGCTTCAAAATGAACCAGGAAGTCTCCATTTTTGTTGCATGGAGAAAGGAGTTCCTGGGTTATGTTGGTGCTGTTTTGGGTTCTTCTCCAATATGTGTATAACTCGGAATTCATGCCTAGCAATCATCGGTGCTGTTTTTCTAGAAAAAGAGGTGCCGAAACTCACAGTGAACTTGTTAGTGACCGAGAGGTGCCAGAACTGAGTTCTGGTGAGTTCCCACTGAAAAAAAGTCCTGGCACTTGTCAGTCAGAGCTAAGACTTCACTTATTGGCTAAAACACCGAAAAGTGCTCATACCTCACAAAGCATTTGCTTCAAATGGTGTCTGCCCATTTTGTTGCACAGCTTTCATTCTAAAAAAGCTAGATGCTTGCTTATTTTCTGAATGAATGCTCAGAGCCTTTTATAGGTTCTGGGCCTCTTACAGCTGAACCTCTGCATTCCCTCTCCTGCTCCTACTCACATGAGGAAGAAACATCTTTGATAAGCTGAAGAAGAAAAAACGGCATAAAGAATTATCAGAGGAAGGGCTCGAAAGAGTTGGAAAATATTGATTTAATATTTGCAACCGTATAAATTGCCACTGGTGGTGCAACAACGATGATGCACCTCAGGATAGGCAGAAAGTATGTGTATGATTATGGATTAAAGGTAAAGGTAAAGGTACCCCTGACCGTACGGGTCAGTCATGTCCGACTCTGGGGTTGCGCGCCCATCTCGCTTAAGAGGCCGGGGGCCAGCGCTGTCTGGAGACACTTCCGGGTCACGTGGCCACATGGATTAGACCTACAGCAAGAAGACATCCATCCCAGAGAATTTAATGCTGTGTTAACCAGAACGTATCCTGAGCTTACACTCAGAAATCACTTCACAGTCGACAGGAGACAGAGAGGAGATATGATAGCCATCTTCAAATGTCTTAAGGGCTGCCACATGGAAGATACAGCAAGCTTGTTTTCTCCTGCTCTGGAGGGGAAGACTTGAACCAATGGCTACAAGTTACAAGAAAGGAGATTCCGACTAAACATCAGGAAGAACTTTCTGACAGTAAGAGCTGTCTGACAGTGGAATGGACTTACTTCCTCAGAAGGTTGTGGTCTCTATTTCCTTGGAGGTTTTTAAGCAGAGGTTGGAGGGACACCTGCCATGGATGCTTTAGTTGAGATTCCTGCATTGCAGGGGGTTGGACTTGATCAGGCATAAGCAAACTCGGCCCTTCAGATGTTTTGGGACTACAACTCCCATCATCCCTAGCTAACAGGACCAGTGGTCAGGGATGATCGGAATTGTAGTCTCAACACATCTGGAGGGCCGAGTTTGCCTATGCCTGGACTGGATGATCCTTGAGGTCCTTTACAACTCTATAGTTTTATGACCACATGCTTAGCAGGAGAACGCTGATGGTTGTAAGCCTTGCTTTTACATATTTTGCTTTTTTGTTCTGCTGTAACTTTTGACTTTGGATCAATGTTGTGAACACTTCATTGTAGGGAACACTTTCCAGTGGAAATATTTTGTCAGCAAAAAGGATGGGCGGGTTAAGATTAGTTATCTCCTTGACTCCTAAATCAGAAAACACGATCAGGAGACTTGCGTTTGTTTTTGTCTTCCTTCAGATAGGAAGGGAAGTTTCCTTTGATTGCAAGGTCTTGTGTGACATATCATCTTAACCTTTCTCGCGTAACACATTTCCTTTGTTCCCTCAACGTTGAATGGCATCTCTCGTGCATCTAATACTCTCCTGTGAGTAAGAATAGGGTTTTTTCTCCTTTTTGAGGCAGGATGCTGTGAATCAGTTTCTCCCATTTGGAGCAAGCGATGGCTCAGGATGCACATTTCCTTCTGCAAAGTTTTCCAGTCTAGCTCCCAGTTATTTTAAGCACCTTCAGGATAGGAAACCTAAGTCAGTTTCCATTGAAGAAGCAACATTGATGGTGCTGCAAAAATAATAATATGAACTGACATCTTGGCAGTCGGTTGCAAAATGGGACTTTTGAGTTCTTACTTGCTAATATACATAACAGAGGGCCCAGTGAGGCCATTGAGGAGAGGTTCACTAAGGAATTTGTTGCAGAGGTGGGACGCGGGTGGCGCTGTGGGTTAACCACAGAGCCTAGGACTTGCCGATCAGAAGGCTGGCGGTTTGAATCTCCGCAGCGGGGTGAGCTCCCGTTGCTCGGTCCCTGCTCCTGCCAACCTAGCAGTTCGAAAGCATGTCAAAGTGCAAGTAGATAAATAGGTACCACTCTGGCAGGAAGGTAAACGGCATTTCCGTGCACTGCTCTGGTTCGCCAGAAGCGGCTTAGTCATGCTGGCCACATGACCCGGAAGCTGTACACTGGCTTCCTCGGCCAATAAAGCGAGATGAGCGCCGCAACCCCAGAGTCGGTCACGACTGGACCTAATGGTCAGGGGTCCCTTTACCTAACACTGTACTCTAAACCATTTGAAACTACTCCTAACTGTAATTTATTTGCTTTTATTCATTTATATACAAAATTCCAGCCTATGTTCTACTCAGGGCAGCTAACAAATAAAACCAACCATAATATTATTTATTTATTTTTACTATAAAATGGTAAAAACACAGATAAGTCTCAGGTGCCAAAGCAGCATCAGATTTTTGCCATATGGTGAAACACCATAAAAGAAGGGAGACCGATCGATTCTCTTGGGCCAAAGAATTTCACAGTTTAGGTACTGCCACATAGAAGGCCCTTTCTCTAGTCTCTACCATAGCTGGAATATGGAGAAGAGCCCTTCTGCCAGATCTTACGATATAGGCAGAGCGCTATAGAAAGAGGTGGTCCCGAAGTGCTGGTGCCGAAATTTAAAGCCCTAAACAGCCTTGGCCTTGTATACCTGGAGCGTCTCCACCACCATCATTCAGCCTGGACACTGAGAACCAGCACTGAGGGCCTTCTGGCAGTTCCCTCAATTGCGAGGCTACAGGGAACCAAGCAGAGGGCCTTCTTGGTGGTGGTGCCCACCCTGTGGAATGCTCTCCTATCAGATGTCAAGGAGATGAGTAACTATATAACCTTTAGAAGATATCTGAAGGCAGCGCTGTATAGGGAAACTTTTTAATGTGTAATGTTTTATTATGTTTTTATGTTAGAAGCCGCCCAGAGTGGATGGGGCAACCCAGTCAGATGGGTGGGGTACTACTACTACTACTACTAATAAATAAATAATAACAATACAGTAGCTTGAACCTAAGGCAATTAAGGCTTTAAAGGTCATCACAACTACTTTGAGCTGTGCCTGGAAACAAGTCCATAAGCAGCGCAGCCCTTGAAGGGCAGGTGTAATATGACTTTGTACAACAAAAACTGAGAAGTATAGTTTTTGTAAGAATGCTGAGACAGCTTTGTTAGCGATCCCTAGCTATCCTCTTCACAAAACTACCATCTCACTTTTGCTTGGTTGACAATCAGAACACAAACAGGTTTGAAGCTTGTTCATAACTGCAGCCTAGACATGCTTGTGTATGAGTTGTTTTACTATAAGCTGCCCTGAGACTCATGCTTGAAGAACAGCCGATAAATAATACAAATCACATTGATAAATCAAATCAAATAAATGAATATAAATCATAGAATCAAAGAATTGTAGAGTTGGAAGGGACCACAGGAGTCATCTAGCCTCAGCTTTCTATTTTGTAAAGAAAACTCACGTTTATCTATGTATAAATGACACTCACGCATAATAGAACCAAATTCATTGTCACAAAGGAAAGACAAGTCACAAGTGACAGCTGAAATTTACTGAATGTATATGAATACATACAGAAGATGTTCCCTCTGCCAGCTGGGACTCTTCTGGTTTTGTCAAGGAAACAGAACGTGTTTCTTTATTTAATCTAAAAAAGACAGCCTTAGCACAGTGGCTCATAGAATCCTATCCTCTCTAATTAATAGAAGAAGAGAGAAAGAAAGGAAAAACTCACTTCCAAATAAGTTCAATGGGACTATATTAATGCATTACACTTTTATTTTATGTTTTAAGAAAAATCAGATCTTTACAGCACAGGTGGACAACCTGTGGCCCAGCGACCACATGGCTCCCAATCTCATTGTATACAGCCCCTCTGCTTCCTGAAACTGCTCTATTTTTCCATGCCACCAGAGTTCCTTCCTTCCTTCTTCCCTTCCCTTCCTCTACGTATCCCTCCTAATTTTTCTGGCATTTAAAAGTGTTTTTCCTCTTTCTATGGCTGGAATGTAGCCTTCTATATAAATGTAAGATTCACATCTGTTGCCCAAGCCACTGCTTGCCATTGGCTTTGCCCATGAGGAAATACGGTCCTGGAGCAGCAGATGTTTTCCCAAACATCCATGCAAACCTTGGCTTTACTGCACTTTGCAGATATTGTGTCTTTTTACAAACTGAAGGACTGGAGGAGCCCCTGCTGCTCCTTATGAAGATATTACGACTCACTGAAGGCTCAAATTATTGTTAGCATATTTTAACCATAATGTATTTTAAAATTAAGGGACACAGGTGGCGCTGTGGGTTAAACCACAGAACCTAGGACTTGCCGATCAGAAGGTCGGCAGTTCGAATCCCCGTGACGGGGTGAGCTCCCGTTGCTCGGTCCCAGCTCCTGCCAACCTAGTAGTTTGAAAGCACATCAAAGTGCAAGTAGATAAATAGGTACCGCTCTGGCGGGAAGGTAAACGGCGTTTCCGTGCGCTGCTCTGGTTCACCAGAAGCGGCTTAGTCATGCTGGTCACATGACCCGGAAGCTGTACACCGGTTCCTTCAGCCAATAAAGCGAGATGAGCGCTGCAACCCCAGAGTCGGTCACAACTGGACCTAATGGTCAGGTTCTTATTTTAAAATTTATGGTATGTCCATTGTATTATAATGCTACTGCACACTTAAAAGACTATAGTGTAAACATAACTTGTATATGTACTGGGAAACCAAGTATATTGTGTGACTCACTTCATTGTGTGATATTGACTCTACTGTGGTGGTCTGGAAAGCCATTTCCTTTCCCAGGGAAATGGAATTGTGGGCTGGAGACGAGCCCGCCCCGTGCGTGGGGCTAGCCCCCGTGTCACAGGGAGTCCCCTCCGTGTCACGCCCCCAGGCCGACCAATCTGGGTGGCAGGGGGTGTGGCATGCTCTATTTAGGCAGCCCACGGACAGAAACTTGCCCCTTTTTTCTGGTTCCCGCTTGCGCAGTTATCCCTCGCTCCCTCCCGCCCTAAGATTAGGCTCTTATCCTTTGACCTTGCTATGGACCTCGGTTGGTCGCCTGTAGGAATTTTTTCCACTTGGCAAACTGGCACCAGCCATTTGGTTTTTAGCCTACCTCGAAGCAAATCATCACAACTTTGTAAGGTTTGGCGCTTAGGCATTGGAGTATTAGATTGGAGGGGAGGGGAGGTAGTGGCCATCACCTACCCCTCCTAATTCAAGGGTATTCCGTTAAAGGAATCTGGGGGACATGAACCTGTCCGAAGCCCAGGCGGGGGCTAGGGCCATGGCACGACCCCTATCAGGGACCCTGGGGGAGCTCGAGTTGGTTTTCATCGACTGGGCTCCCCCTACTGGTGCTTAACCCTTCTGAGACTTCCTGCAGATGGGCAGAAGTCAGATATAAGTGATTCAGTTCCAATACCCAAGCCAATACCACTCACAGCCTGTAACCATTAAAGTTGTGTCCTTTTTTAGCCCATTAACCTAAAATACTGGTGTCAAGTGTCTTTATTCCAACAAAGGGGAGGGTCTGGGGCTTTGCCACGCAACTGAACCTACAGTATCTCCGAGGTATGCCTGAATACATCTGTTAACTAAAGATATATTTCTCTGTTAGCAGTTAACCAGCGGGATGGCTGGATTGGCTCCATCAATTCACCTGTGCAACTCCAGGCTCATAGGTGCCCGACCCCACTCCAGTCTTATCCAGGTAAGCTGCAGCAACACGGAGCCAGGAGGGCAGCTCTGCAGCTCAACTCCACCCGACAGACTACCTCTGGTTATACATGAAATGCATTAAGAGCTTGGAATAGGTCTTCAAATAAATAGTTTTAACTTTCTTTGATAACTGAGCTTATTTCAAAGTAAATGTGTGCATACTACTGCAGCCTCAGTCATGCCTAACTTTAGGAAGATTACGGGTCAAGATAAAGAGTTTCCTGATATGTGTACCTACCCTGTCACAGAATATGTACAAAGCTTTATGAAGCCTATTATATATATTTTTTAAATTTCTATTCTGTATTTTTTTCTTGGTTCTTAAGAAAATGACTTCCACTGAGAAAGAATTTCTGTCTCTCCCTTTTTAAAATATATTTTCCTTTTCCTATTAAAAAAAAATCCTGGAGTCTCTCTGAAAATAAACATGTTCTCCCATTGCAGGATATTCCTGTTAGTAACAGTTGTACACAAATAAACGTCTGCAAACAAACATCTTATCTTTTTATGGAAGGAAGTCAATTAATAAGGAATTGACGTTCTTCCTTGGGGATGGAATGCAAGTTCATCCCCATAAACTAAAGAAATAAATGAACACGCTGGCATTTTCGCAGACTGGATAACCTACACACCTTTAAGTTTTGTCTGTTGGTGTTTCCAAACAAACAGTACCCCTGTTGCTTCCTTCCTGTATAATGCTGCCTTTTCTTCCTTTCCCCCTGAGAGTTGATTTCCATGTTATGAGTTTCATTCAAGAGAGTTAGTCCTGTTGATGTGGAGTAAATTTATTCTGGTGTCTACATTAAGACAAACAGGTAGGCCAAACCAGATTCTGTGACTTAACTATACTGTACCTAAATATAAGCACATCCAGCAATGTTTTTGTCACAGAAGGAGCTTGCAAGTATACTCTCATAACTAAAAGCAAGGCAAATGTAGCTCCTAGTAGGTGGGGTGTGTAGAAAAAGACTTTGGCCTGTTTCTGGTTGTTTTTTTAGTCATAAGGAGTCTATAGCATTTAGCCTGACCTGTTGCATCCAGGCCTCAGCAATGCAAACTATTACAAAGAGAAAAGCTACTAAACTTCCTTTTCATAACTACATGTTCAGCTTTCATAACAATTCAGAGTTCCAGAAATACACAAAACATCACAAAATCAGGCTAAAGGTATTGATCTAAAATATTTTTGAACTTTCCTCATGGGCCAACGTGGCTACTTTTGCTTTTTATAGAATCACACTGTTGTTAATTGCCCACTTAGGATACCACTTCCTGTGTCTAATGAAATGGGTGCTAGTTCTTTGATATTTTTGCTACAAAAATCTAACATGGGTACCCCTTTGGAATTCTGACTAGTACAAACTATTTTTGGAACAGAATTTACTTATCAGACACAATATTATAAAAACACTATACTAGCTTTGATCATGCAAAAGTGCTCTGAAATTAACTTTATTTACGTCATCTCCCTAAGGACACTGTAATTTAGGGGCATTTTAGAGTACCTAAAATCCTTAACATGAAAGCAATGTCCTAAATTTTAGGAAGGTATGAGAAACTGGTACCCAGATCTAATAAGAAAGAAACCTTACTTTTTTGGGTCTGAAACGTAAGAAACGCCTTCATGACATGATCTACTTGGTGGCGGCCCTCCATTTGAGGAATGCCCTCCCTAGCAAGATGCATCAGACTCCCTCACTGTTGACTTTCAGGAGAATTTTTAAAACACTCCTGGCATTTGATGGCATTCCTGTTTACCTAAGCATTTGATGGTTGAAAGTTCTGCTCCCGGCAACCCTGAATTTAATAGTAAAGGTAAAGGTAAGGGGACCCCTGACCATTAGGTCCAGTCGTGACCGACTCTGGGGTTGTGGCGCTCATCTCGCTTTATTGGCCAAGGGAGCCAGCGTACAGCTTCCAGGTCATGTGGCCAGCAAGACTAAGCCGCTTTTGGCAAACCAGAGTAGCGCACGGAAACGCCGTTTACTTTCCCGCCAGAGCGGTACCTGTTTATCTACTTGCACTTCGTGCTTTCAAACTGCTAGGTTGGCAGGAGTAGGGACTGAGCAATGGGAGCTCACACCGTTGCGGGGATTCGAACCGCCGACCTTCTGATCGGTGTAGGTGACTGCTTTTAAGAGTTTTAATGTTTTTAGAAAGTTGTTTTAACCTGTTTTTAGAAGGTTGCTTTAAACTATTTTAGCAGTTTTTATTGAATTGTTTTGGAGTATGGACATGTTTGCTGCCCAGGGCTCCTCTGGAGGAAGAGGCAGGATATAAATTTAATCCAAGGATCTAACTCAACAATAAAAGGAGCTGCTACCACTCTGCATCTCCTTCACCACCTATAATGTTTTCATGTAGCCTAGGAATGTGTGTGTCACAGGAAAAGCATGGGAGACACGCACACACTATAAAAGATCACAAGGTTCATTCAGATCTTCCTTTTCCTCTCAGAACCAGCTACTCAAAAATACGGACACAGGGGTTTGAATCTACCGTGGGAAGCCTAAATATCGTGCCATGTGGTCACTGTGTACTTCCCAGAGGAGGAAGGAACACAAAAACATTCCAAGCCCAGGAGTTCCTTTCAGCATACTCCAGACATTTCTGTTTTGACTACTTAATCTCAAGCATTTTCTTGGCCAGGCATAGGCAAACTCAGCCCTCCAGATGTTTTGGGACTACAACTCCTATCATCCCTAGCTAACAGGACCAGTGGTCAGGGATGGTGGGAGTTGTAGTCCCATAATAGCTGGAGGGCCGAGTTTGCCTATGACTGTTCTAGGCTGAATAATGATATGAAGACTAGCACTCGCTGCTCTAAAAGCACCTAGGCCAAATTTTGCAAACAGGTTCATTTATTTAAAACACTTATATACTTGCCCTTAATCCAAATCAGGGTCCAGCAAGGTATAGACTGTGCTGAGTTTTCATGATTCCGTTTGCACTTTGTTATACAGTCCTTACCTGACTCGGTGTTTTCTCCGGACTGCTTGTCTCCCCGCCCTGCATCTGAGGAATCACCACTGGGGGTGGAGGAGCTCTCCTCTTTTTCATTTCAGTGCTTCCAGTAATTCCTGAGATGTTCCCCAAAGACTGTGATGGACCCAAAGTAAAGGAACGTGAATCCACTGAAGAAGAATATGGAGCTGCTGCAACTCCCTGTAAGTAAATAAATTCACAACCTCATTAAAATCTCTTAAATATGACATTTCACAGTCAGTCCCTAAAATATATATCTTGGGAGGGGGGAAATGCCCCCTCACACTAATCCATCTTGAACATTTCCTCTTGTGTTTTTAGATGCGTTAGATGTTGCTGCTAATACAACGTGTTGAAGAAATGAACCTACGCTGCCAGTTCTCGTAGTAGACCAGTATAAAGTAAGCAGCACATAAGCGGCACACAAAACACTACCAAAGCATTCTACGTACTAAATCTTATCCAAAAATTGAGAGAGCTACATACAAGATCTACTATAGAAGCCACAAACAGAAAACTCATTCAAACTGATCAAACTTATCAACGAGATGTCTAACTCTTGTGCGTAACATCACCGACACTTAGTTTGATCAAACTTACCTTTGTTGATATCTACAGGAGCCTGGCTAAAGGAACTTTAAAGATTGAGTCTTCCTTTTGGGCACAATTTGAATGAGTTTTCTGTTTGTGGCTTCTGTAGTAGATCTTGTACATAGCTCTCTCAATTTTTGGATTATTAATATAAGATTTAGTACGTAGAATGCTTTGGTAGTGTTTTGTGTGCTGCTTATGTGCTGCTTACTTTATACCAAGCTAATACAATGTGGCCAAATCTCCAGGAAGAGGGAAGTCACCTTCCCACTTCCCTCACCTGCCTGGATCCCACCTTCTCCAAGGATGGAGAGCAACAGGCCAAGGGGAGCTGCGTATGCAAGAGTGTGAGAGCTGGGCTGATGCTGGAAGCTGGATACACAGAGACATGTCTTGCTCTGTGCTGGACTTTGGGGCTCCCCTGGAAACCTGGTGGGAAAATCAAAGAGGGTTCCTAGGCAGAAACTTTGTGCCTGAGCAGACTGGGGTGCTGTCCCATAAAGGAGACAGGAAGAAGCTAATGGGAGCTGGTGGAGGCCTTTACAAAATCACAGCATTTACAGCTTCACTCCATCAGAGATGGGCCTTCATTGGTATGCTCTAAACATGCCTCACTATCATCTTACAAACATTAAAAATTCATGAAAAATATGGATTCAGTCCCCAAGAACTCATCTATGTCCTTTAAAGGACAAGGATAAATGTCTCTGAGCAAATATGTTAGAATTCTAAGAACAAAAATTTAATTCTAAATCATGCAAGAAGAACATGTTTAATATTTAAAATGTAAACACGACATAAAAATGCCACTTGTGAATATCTTTGTATGCACTTGATTTCTTCTTATATCTCATTCCATTCATACTAAATTTCCTTTCTTCATGACTGACGCACAATGAAGCTTCCTTTCCACAGTCAGCTAGCCGCAAATCCCACAAGACAGGCCAGTGCAGATGTTACACCCCGACCCTTTGACAATGATACAGGCCAAGGCCACAATTAACGCATGTGAAAAGTGGAGACGCAAACACTGAAAGTGGCAACATCCACTTCACTAGATAAAATGTGATACGAATGTCTACCCTTCAAAAGCATGCGTAGGAGGATACAGAAATATTCAGGAGAGGGTTACCTGGACTGGACAGCTTTAAAGGGGAATCGAGCAAATTCATGGATGATACAGCTGTCTGGATGATTACAATGGCTGGATGATTTCCAGTATCAAGAGGAGTATGTTTCTGAATACCAGTGGAAGGGTCTCTCTCGGGAGGTGGTGGACTCTCCATCACTGGAGGTTTTTAAGAAGTTGGATGGCCATCTGTCATGGATGCTTTAGCTGAGATTCCTGCATTGCAGGGGGTTGGACTAGACAACCCTTGAGGTCCCTTCCAACTCTACCATTCAGTGAGTGATACTGCACTCATGTCTACAGGCAACTGGTTGACCACTGGGAGAAGAGCATTCTGGCCTATATATACTTTTAGTCTCATCTAAGCAGGTACACCGGTAGGCTTGAGCTGAGAATCACACACCATCGTGGCTTATGATTCTCGTTATCAGAAAATACACAAGCCATAGTTTACTAATTCAGATGAAACAGCAAACTGTGTCTTGGCACAATCTGGGATTGAAAATTGCTAATTTCTGCACACAAGAGAAGGAGGAAGTACAGTGGTACCTCTGGTTGCGAACGGGGGTCCGTTCCGGAGGATAATTCGCAACATGAAAAGAGTGCAACCTGAAGCGCCATATCTGCGCAGGTGTGCAGCGCAATTTGGTGTTTCTGCGCATGCACGAAGCGCGTTTTAGCGCTTCTGCGCATGTGGCAAAACCCAGAAGTAACCCTTTCCGGTACTTCCGGGTCGCCGCGGGACGCACCTGAAAAAATGTAACATGAAGCAAACGTAACATGAGGTATGACTATATACAAGTCCAAATCTCATCTGGATGTAGTCTTTCTCTGGCAAACTGTATGTTACCACAATTTCTCTCAGACAATTTGAACTCAGCTCAGACGCTCCACTAAACTTAAAAACAGACAAGACATGAAGTGGGAGATTCATTATAATTTTATTTTATTTTAAACATCAAAGTACCCAAGTGATCAGTTAGAAGTCTTTGTGCTCTAAGCCTCTTGTACTTGAATAAGGTCCTGATTTGGTTTTATTTAAATTTAGAATATTTAGACTATTACTCCTCTCCCATCCAAGGTTTGCTAATCTCTGTTGCCAGCTGCTCAAAATGTTTACATTTGAAGGACTCTATCTATATGCACTTAAAGAATCTCTACTCAGTATCTGATCTTAACAGATGCCAGACGGAAGGCAAAAAAATGTCTCCTTCTGGAAACTCTTGATTAATTGTCTTGAATGTGTTTTTAACCCCAGTTGGTCAAATATATTTCCATTAGGATTTTAAACAATGCAAACCACAGTTACTACAACCGGTAGGCCAGTTTCTAGTATTATCTGAAACTCTGTGGATCCAACATAAAAACCTGGAGTTGGAATTCAATTATACCAGAGTATGTCATTAGCAAACTGAGATTCTACTAAATTTTATGTTAACTGTGCAATGCAATTAATTACAAAGCTGATGATCATCACCTCCCACTTTCATAGTCTGAATCCAATACTATTTTAGCCATACCTAAGTACCGGTATCTGGGGGTGACCAGCAGGATTTTTGCTATCTTTCTTTGACCATTTTAGGTTTTTAGCAAATCTTTGCCCTTGTCTACCATTCCTTTCCAAGCTTTTGTAACATTTTATATGTGACAATCCTGTGCCAAATTGTCTGTTCCCATGGAACTTGTTAGCCCAACCCCAATATTTCACAAACCTGAATTCGTTGGGTGGGCGGGGTGTGTGTGTGGTACATCTGAGGGGGCAATAGAGGAGAGCCACTTGACTCAAATGAGTCCATGCCAACATATAGAGGACATAAATAAATAAACAAACAAACTTTGGAACACTGATCTTTTTCATATATTTATGTTTCTGTACTACTTGATAAGTATATCCCAGGTCGATTTATTTTTACTGAATGTACTTTTCATGGTCTAATTTAATTTTAATGACATAAAGAAACTTGCTAAGTGGTTATTTGGGTGTATTCCATGTGGGGAGTATATAATATAACGGGGGACGGGACCTTGTTAGTCTTTTGCAGCAAAGCCACCAAGGGTCTAACAAATTTACAAAGAATACAAATTTTAATCATAAGGTTTTGTGAACAAAAAAGCCCCAAACAACTCTATGAGATAGTGAATAACCACCACCCCTCTTCTTTGCTGTTGGTTAAACAGGACTGAGTCCCATCAGAACTATGAAATAGACCATTGCACCTCAAATTGCTTGCACTTAGTGCTTGATTAATATTATTGCATCAGCACCACCCAGAGGCCATGTTAGTACTTACATCAAGGTACGGTTCACTTTCTGTTGTGGACTTCAAAGGTTCTTCGCTGCCATAATCCCCAGCCGTCCTCACCATTGAACACTCTTCTGCCTAGAGAACAAATAAACACTCTATACGACCACCCCAAAAGTGGTAAATACATTACACGCTGCTAGCTAAAAACAACAGACCATTAAAACACACAGTGGATGGGAAAGCTAGGAACCATTTGCCTAATATCTGGAAAAGCAGGCCATAATGGGAGTTGAAACCAGGACTGGAGAGGATTCTGGTTCATGCTAAATGCTGGAGTGAACCTTCCCCTTTTGTTCCCCTCAGACCCATGCTAGGCTCAGAATGCTAATCTGTGGATTATGCCACATAATCAACGGAATGAACTGTGTGTGGGTCCACACAGCATTTACGAGGTGACTGGCTCTTTATTTCTTCAGAATACCAGCTGACAGAAACCACAGGAGGGGAGAGTCTCATTTCTTTAGGACCTGGTCCTCACCCATAGAGAGGAACTGACTGATGAAGCAAAGATTTCAGGGAACCTTGGGAGGAAGTGATCATGTCCTCTTGGGTGTCATAATACAGAGGCAAGGGAAAGCCGAGTGTAGCAAGATATGGATTCAAGACTTGAAGAAGGCTGATTTCAAAAAGCTGACGGAACTACTGAGTGAGATTCCACGGTCAGAAATGCTCAAAGAGAAAAGAGTGCAAGATGGATGGGAGTTTCTTAAAGGTAAAGTATTGAATGCACAAAAGCAGACAATTTCAACAAGAAAGGAAAGTTGGAGGCACCTAAAGAAACTGGTGTGACTGCATAACAAACTTACGGATGAGCTGAGATGAAAGAAGGGTATGTATAAGAAATGGAAGAAAGGAGAAATCATGAAGGAAGAGTCTACAGAAGTAGCCAACAGTTGCAGGGTGAAGTTCAGGTGAAGCTCAGAATGAACTCAGGCTTGCAAGAGAAGTTCAAAATAAGAAAAATGTTTCTTTGGCTATGTTTGAAGCAAGAGGAAGAACAAGCAAGTAGTAGGTCCCTTGCATGGAAAAGATGGAGAAATGTTACTGGGTGCCAGAAAGAAGGCAGAACCGCTAACACCTACTTGCCTCTGCTGTCATTCAAAAGGAAAGAAGGCCCAAGCTGGTGAAAGCAGAATCATAGAATTGTACTAGATGACCCAAGTTCTTCCTGATGTTTGTAACTTGAAGTAATTGGGTTTGAGTCCTATCCTCCAGAGCAGGAGTAAACAAATTTGTTCCATCTTCCATGTGACATCCCTTAAGATATTTGAAGATGGCTATCATATCTCCTCTCAAATCTCCTCTTTTACAGGCTAAATATACCCAGCTCCTTCAACCGTTCCTCATCAGGCTTGGTTTCCAGACCCTTGATCATCTTGGTTGCCCTCCCCTGCACATGTTTCAGCTTGTCAATATTCTCTTTAAATTGTCACGCCCAGAACTGGACACAGTATTCCAGGTGTGACCTGACCAAGGCAGAACAGAGTGGCACTGTTACTTCCCTTGATCGGGACACTCGACTTTTGTTGTTGCAGCTTAGAATAGCATTAGCTTCTTTTTTTGCTGCTGCTGCATCACACTGTTGACAATGTTCAGCTTGTGGTCTACTAAGACGCCTAGATCCTTTTTGCATGTACTATTGGCAAGCCAGGTGTCTCCCACCTTACACTGCTTTCCAACTGCTCTTGCACTGTGCCTCTGAAGACTAGAGAGTGTCTGGAGTGGGGTGGCCAAGAAAACCATGGTTAGGCAAGGCTGTTAGGTTCATGCATAGGGCCAAATCATAGTTAAAACAAACCGCAGTTCAAAAAAAACCATCAAACCATGGCTTCACATCATGGTTGGTTGCCAGAAAACAAAACCATTCTTAGTCTGCTGGGCTGAGTTTAGGTGTTCAAACAAACCACACACTGACTAAAGAAAACCACAGTGGTATCCTGTGTGAATTAGGCCATACCTGTTAAAATAAGAGAAAGTAGTTTCCTGCTATCCATTCTTAGAACAGGCATCAGCAGTCACTTTGATTCATTAAGTTTGATTACAGCCATATACCTAACAGGTACAGCTATAAACAGGTACAGTGCACATGCAGCAATGGAAACAATTCGTTTAATAAATTAAACTAACTGATAGTGTCTGTATGGTCTTGTCATGGCCTTTGGCTAGTACAATAAAGCTTATCTGCATCTACAATAAATGAGGGGAGACATTTACCTTAATGTTCATTTTATTAGTCTTGAAAAATCCCAGAAATCGTTTCTTTTCTTTTTCTGTTGTGTCACAGCTAGTTGAGTATCTTCTTGTTTCTGTAACACACACAATGTGTCATAACTACTCCAGCACAAATGATCAATTAAAGAATTTAAAAATCAGCTTACTAACTTTGAGGGTAGAAATCAGTGCTACACAGGTTTAACAAATGCTATTTCAACTTTAGGCATTTGATGTCTGGTCGGTTGAAATCACACTAATTCAAAGCACAGAAGGCGGACAGCTTGAAAGCTCTTTTTGTACAGGGTTTTTCCAGCACAGAAAGAGCTTTTAAGCTCTTTGCTTTGCTTACTGAGTTCTGGGATGCTCTCGCAAGATCTCGTGGAAAATGGGGCCAGCCACATAAGATCTTGTGAGGTACCCCAGAGTTCAGCAAGCAAGGCAGAGCGCTTAAATGCTCCCCACAGAATGTAACCCCTGCACAGGAGGAGATCGTACTGTACACAGATTTATACACAAATTCATTCTAATCAAAGTTACTGCAGTATTAATTGCTCACAGGAGGGAGAGGTCATGCACTGTTTTTCCAAGATACTGATTTAGACCTAACTTTACTTACTTGCATGTTAGTCTTAAACTTCGCTATTAAGCATTTAGGATTAGAACCACTAGTATTATCCTATACTCACTACTGTATTTACCCAACCAAATGTATATGTAAGTTCATGACAGGTCAATATCAAATGTTTCATCATGACACATTTGGTAATGAGGCCACAGACTGAACCTTGTATAACTGTTCATATTTCTCTAGAAAAGTTGGATGAGAGTTTGCTGAATTGCTAAACTGTGGGCCACATTATATGTGACACCAAATAGTCTGGTGTGCCTGCCACATTAAACTATAGGTAGAATAAACCTATAGAATAAACCTTTAATGTAAGCAAGCCATGTTGCTGCATACTGCAGGAGTTTGGGAAATTTCACTCCTTACCAGCTGCCACTACATTACAAGGAAGCAAGCCATGGTCTAGCTCCAGGGTAGGCAACCTAAGGTCTGGGGGCCGGATGCGGCCCAATCGCCTTCTCAATCCGGCCCGCGGACGGTCCGGGAATCAGCGTGTTTTCACACAAGTAGAATGTGTCCTTTTATTTAAAATGCATCTCTGGGTAATTTGTGGGGCATAGGAATTCATTCATTATTATTTTTTCAAAATATAGTCCGGCCCACCACATGGTCTGAGGGACGGTGGACCGGCCCACGGCTGAAAAGGTTGCTGACCCCTGGCCTCTAGCTTGTTGTGTAATCCAAACGGAGGACTGTGCATTGTCTACCTCCAAACAAACCGCAAGCAGAAACCAAAGACAATGTCCCATCGCCATCTAGCTGCCAAGTCCAGTCAGCTTGTGTGCATGGAATGCAATGGTGAATCATCTTGCCCTTTGCCTCTGGTGGAAATAAGTCTTGGACCAGCCCTGCCTCCCCCTAATGCTTCTCTGCCCCCAACCACCTTCTCCCCTCACTGCCCCTTTATTACTTGCAAACAGTGCCCCCTAATCCTGCTTTCTTGAGTGCTGAACTCTTGGTATGCTTAACAATGCATAAAGAGAGAAGCTGATGGCTACAAAAGGGGACTAGAAAATATCATCCGCATTGTGCATATATGATACATTCCACAATAAGTTCACAAATGTGTTACTAACTTTTTAAACCCATGTTTCCATAGAACGCACCATTTCTTTTCCTTTTCTTTGTTTAGTATTTCTTTATTCACTTTTTCAGTAACCACCACCAAACAAAGAAAATGCATATGGTACAACCCAAAGCATAATTGCACAGTCCAAGCATGACTTATTAGCTGAATAAGTCCTTCCAGAGTGCCATGCACAGTTGGTGGCGCCACAGGTCTGTCTTCCTTCACCACAGAGGTAGCAAAACAACACCACCATTCTCCAAAGTCACTGTCAAACCCACAAGCCCCTTTCAATGGAATGGTATGATTCTCTAACACTGCAATTTTCCAAACACTCTGTCAAAGACAGACTCTCTTCTGTTCTCCAATACCTGCTAATTGTGCAACAGCAATCTTAAAGAATGCTAGCATATGTAAGTTGTTGTTGTTATTATTACTATTATTACTATTATCACCATCAAATATCAACAACAATGCTAATGGGGCGGTACAATAAGCCAAGTGACCCAGGATTTTTTCACACTCTACAAATACCACCTTGCACAATATTTGTGGCAGGACTAGCATGTGAAGTAATTGTGCCTATATTGTTACAACCCTTCCAATACCCTTTAGTGAATGAGTGGACAATGCAGCAATTTTTCAGCAGCATAAAATGCCAACTATTCACTAATTTCAGGGAACTTTTCTGCATCGCTGCTTATACTGACCTCAACGGTTTACTTTGCCGCAACCTGCTCTAGTTTATTATTATTTCACTTACAAATTGCTTTCCATGGAGCATCTCAAAACGATTCACAATACAAAACACATAGAGAGAAAGCAACTACATATTTAAGAACAGCTAAATCATCTGCATATATAAACACAAATTCTCTCACACAGATTTTTTATTTAAAAAATCTCAGTTCAAAAACAATAATAAAAATAAAATAATAAACCTTTAGTGTCACTACACCACCTGTGTGGTGGTGCAAAAACAATGGAAATCCAATGCAAATATAACTAGAATCAAACTATCCACTTAGAAGGCCTCTTGAAATATGTACGTCTTCAACAGGTGCCAAAAAGTTGAAAGAGAAGACATCTGTCTGATATCTAATAGGAGGGAGTTCCAAAGAATAGGTGCCGCTGCACTAAATATCCAATTTCAGCATTGTGCAGAATGAGCCTCCTGATAGGATGGGGATCAGAATGCCGTGATCAGTTAGGTACGCAGAGGATGAGACAATTTTGCGATATCCTGGTCCCAAACCCTATCAAATAGAATTACAGTTGTACCTTGGTTTTCGAACAGCTTAGTTCTCGAACCTTTTGGCTCCCAAAAGCCGCAACTGTTCCAGTTTGCGAACTATTTTTGGAAGCCAAACGTCTGACGGGGTTTCCACGGCTTCTGATTGGCTGCAGGAGCTTCCTGCAGCCAATCAGAAGCCGCGCTTTGGTTTCCGAACATTTTGGAAGTCGAACTGACTTCCGGAATGGATTCCGTTCAACTTCCAAGGTACACCTGTACTATATGCTGATGTATTAAAATGAATTCAACAGTAAATCAAAGCAGTGCAGAAGAATCAATGTGGCACAAATAAAGACAAATATTTAAAGACGCACATTGACATACCCTTCCAAAACTTAGCTTAAAGGCGCACAGAAAAGTTAAAAGTCCATATTATAAACTGCCACCAACCTGGACCGCGTAAGCTTAGCAGTTAACGGCAATACTCATGCCAGCTATTCTTTACAATTAATTATTACAGAATTTTACTAAGACATATGGCACCTGTGCCCAAAGAGCATTAGCCCAAGTGTTTATTATTTTATTAGAAATAAAAAAGAGACAGTTTGAGGACTGAGAAATCCAAACAGGGACAAGCATTGCTTATTTTCTGTGAATCTATTAATGATCTGAAATGTTTGGTTTCCTTCCACACAGGTTTCAGTTTATAGATGTTAATGCTTGCCAGCTGACATTCATACTCATGCAGAATTTCAATGAGTAATATCTGCCTTACAGTCCACTGTTGGTGTTATATGCTGGTCCAGCCAGCTCATATCTAGGGCAAAAGTTGGTGGAAATGTAATGAGAGAAGGACCTGCTGCTGGCACCTTCTGCTTGACTTGCCCAGGGGTGCAATCATTTGGGGAACAAATATGAGTGTGTACAGGGGCGTGATTCCTTCTAAATGAAGGAACTGGGGGAGAAGGAAGAAAATGCCAATACCATCTGGAAGACTTTGGCCACCTACTTGATCATTGCAGCTTGACTTGTTTACTCACAAGGCTAGTTACACTGGACAGAAGGTTCTGTACTTTGCTGCTTCAGAGAAATTAACTACTGTATTTTTCGTTCTATAGGACGCACATTTTCCCCTCCAAAAATTAAGGGGAAATGTGTGTGCGTCCTATAGAGCGAATGCAGGCTGCTCCGCTAAGCCCAAAGCCAGAACAGGAAGAAGGAGGACTGCGGAGCGCTCCATCTCGCTGTTCTAGCTTGGGGACGGCTGCGCGCACAGCCTCTCCAGGGCAGCGGGGTGCCTTCACCCTGCTGTCCTGCAGAGGCTAGCAAGGCTGTAGGGCAGTGGGGCGCTGCGCTCCAAAGGCTTCAGGGATCTTTGAGGCTGGCGGTGGGGGAAAGCAGCGCTTCCCCCCACCGCCAGCCCCACAAGCTCTGGTGAATGTACCTTGAACACACCTTGTTTTAGAGGGGGAGAACAAGAAAAAAAAAATTTCCCTGTTCTCCCCCTCCTATGGTCTGGTGCGTCCTATTGTCTGGTGCGTCCTATGGTCTGGTGCGTCCAATGGAGCGAAAAATACGGCAATTAAAAACGATTCAAAGCCAGCCCAGCGGTACATTTGTGAAATTCATGTTACACGTGAACAACATATGTACATCCTTTCCAGGCTCATGTTCCTTCCAAGTATCAGTTTATTTGATGGGATTTGTAATATTTTGTTTAACTAGAGTTGAATGACATACCCTTCCTAGTTCTGGCAAATTATTATTGCTGTGAAAGAACATTCCCTTCATGTTTTCAATATTTTTTATAACCTTGCTGTTACACCTTGCTGTTTAAGATAGAGAAAGAAATCTGTTTTGCATTACTTGTAGTGCCAATGTTGTGTGAAGATGTGAGTAGTAGCTCTTACTCTAGGTGTGGGGAACCTGAGGCCCTCCAGATGTTTTTGGGTGGCAAACGCCATCATCCCTGACCATTGGCCATGCTGGCCGGGGCTAATGGATGCTGGGAGTCCAACGGCATCTGCAAGGCCACGGATTCCTCACCCCAGTCTTACACAGTGAACCTCAATGCATTAATCATCCAAGCCATGCAGAAGAAGAAGAAAATAAAAGGGAAACTCTCTCTCCAAGTCTCATTATACAGTACCTCTATTGTTCAGAGAAGGTTCAGACTGAGCTTTTGATGAAAGAACTGGAAAGGACAGGAACAAAAAGGATGAAAAAGGAATAATTAAAAGATGCAGAACATAAAGCCCGATTTGCTTTCATGCATGTCACAGGGCTGAGGCACTTTAGCTAAATGCAGGTGCTCATCTACAACCAGGAAACTGCAGTTAAAGATAAAAAGATTCAGAGAATGACCCCATGTCTCACCAGAAGGACTCAATTCATTTTTCTTTTGGCGCTTGACTTACAACTTCACTGAGGCTGAATTTTCCACCACCTTCCTCTTCCTCTTCACTAGCCTTTCCTGAGAGCCCTTTGCTGCCCAAGTCCCAGCTGCCAGGTTTTGCCAGGGCAGTTTCTTTCACACGCTAGCTTCTGGAGGAACCACTTCTTCATGCAACAACACAGTGAAAGTATGGAATTCGTGACAAGATGCAGGGATGGCCAACAGTTTGCCCAGCATTGAAGGGGGTTAGACAAATCCATGGAAGATAAGGTGACCAATAGCTACTAACCAACCCCAAAGTCAGGAAGTATACCAGTTGCTGCTGATCACAAGCAGGAGAGCGCTATGGGGCTCATGGCTTGCTTGTGGGCTGACCATTGGCATCTAACTGGCCCCTATGAAAAAAGGATGCTAGACAAGGTAGGCCTTTGGAGTGGACTGACCTAGGAGGACTCTTCTTACGTTAGTTGTTCCTGCCCCTTTCTTCTTCCCGTTTCCCTTGTAAAGCCTACTTTCTGCAGTTGTAGGCAAGTTCACAGACCTATTTCACAGTTAACTGCATAAATTCAGTCAGAAGACTCTAAAAGGTTTGCTTCCAGATGAAAGCAATCAGAGAGAAAACCACTGCAATGTACAGTGGCTAAGAAATTGAGCTGTGAACCAGGAAATCCCTACATTGAACTCAAGACACATGAAACCACTATCGGAGGCTGAAAGTTTAAGTGACAGAGTTTGAGGGAGTTGAACTACTTGACCATTTTGCTTCTGACCATTTACCCACTTGAAATGGTACCATCAAATTGTTTTTTTTTTCTCCAGCTGTGGATGGGAAGAGATAGGTACCTTCACCTTTCCCCTCCAGGGTGGAAATGCAGGGAGTGACATTTTGAGAGGGAAAAAATGGCATTTCGGATTAAGATGGGAAACTGCATGGCATGGCCCCTTCCATCTCCAACCTCAACCACTCATCTGCAATATGGGGATAATTATATTGATCTCTTATACCCAGTGCTTTTTTCTGGGGGGACGCAGGGGTACGCATACCCCTTAACATTTTGTGAATCTTTGTACTTTTGCCCAGTTATGGTATTTATTTTTACTGATTTGAACTATAAATGGTGATTTTCTTGAGTCAAAATCAGAGTACCTCTAAACATTTTTTTAAGAAAAAAGAATTGCTTGTACCTATCCATCTTGTAAAAATTACTGAAATAATGTGTGTGCTTTCAACACTCTAAATGCTCTAAAAATTACTGAAATAATGTGTGTGCTTTCAACACTCTAAATGCTAAGTATTATTATCACCATATATTAAACAGAATGAAAAACCTGTTTCTAGGAAAGTTGGTTTCAAATCCCAGCTAACGTCTGGGAGTAGTTTGAGGTCCTTCAGTTTTTAACGACAGCTATAGGAACCTAACTTACAGGACGTTGTTGTGAGTACAAATATGAGACAACGACTGCAAACCCTAAGGCTTATTGAAAAAGTGTTTCATAAATGGAATGGCATGGCAAGCCAGGGAGGGATTATATATCAGAAGGAAATATCACAAGAAACTGTCATTTTTTCTAGCCTGCAGTTGTTGTTTTTTCATTATTATGTCTCTCCCCACTGCCACATCTGAAATGAATGGTGTATGATCACATAACAATAAGGTAATTAATTACATTATTAAATTTGACCACAACGAACCAAATAACACTTTTGTGGAATATGAATTGCAGCAGAAAGGAAATGGTGCTGCATGTGATGGATAGAGGACAGAATGAGGAAAAATCCTTTTTACATTTGTAGTAACACTCCAAACCAGACAAAGATTTGGTGTCACTCACATGAAAGGCTGCTGCTTCCTTTCCTCCACTTTCCCTTTCCTGCCTCCTGTACCTAAAAGGGTAGATTTTATTTTTAAAACAGCTGTTTTGTGCAAGAGTAGTTCTTCGCTAAAGAGCTGTTTTAAATATAAACGTATCATGAATGTTCCTTCAGCAACTATCAATGGAAAACAACTGGTGCCTCCTTTTCTTTGGGGCATGGAAACCAAACAGAAGTAGGGCATGTGGCAATAGACAGCACCCAGCAAAACGTCACCACATGTGTAAAAACAACAACACACACAATGTGCTTCACAGTTGGGTAACCTCATTTTACATTGGATATTTCACCCCTTATTGGACTGCCCACTGAGAGGGAAAATCCAAATTTAGTGGAGGGAAGGCTTGGATGAGGAGAGACAAACAGCTTCAAATCCACATTAAACTCTAGTTCAGATGCACCCCGTGCATTAAGAGATTCCCATTGTCATTCACATGCATGTTGTTTAGGCAATATGGTATGATATAGCATCCTATATATCCCATAGTTAGTTCCAGCTTCATCACAACCTCAGAGTTTAATGTCTGCCAGGGATAATGTGAAGAATCAAAGTCCTTGATTTGCCTGTTAACATGGAGTCTATGCAACGAAAGCGACCATTCCATGTTCCAAACACCCAACTGGCAAGCAATATCATTCATGTAGAATGATGGAGCTGGAAGAGTCATTGGAGATTGTCACAGGTAAAGCATTTCAAAATACATTTCCTTTCAGCCAATTAAGTGAGACAATGGGCAGGGCAAAGACTAACTCTGCATTGGTGCCAGCACAATATTGAACATGGAGGCAATGTGCCATTGTGCACTACAGATGTGGAGCAGCCTTGTGCCAGGGCCCAGCTCTGAACAAAAATTACCAGTGGCACTCACTGTATGAAGGAGGCACTGCTAAGAGCAGTGGACCAAGGCCTTCACCTATAGAGTTCCATACCATCAAATCTGAAGGTCCCTGACAGTTCTATAATGGGCTTAGATACCATTTTGGGAAGACTGCAAAAGACAGTAAAGTAAGGACCATTAGGTCCAGTCGTGACCGACTCTGGGCTTGCGGCGCTCATCTCGCTTTATTGGCCGAGGGAGCCGGCGTACAGCTTCCGGGTCATGTGGCCAGCATGACTAAGCCGCTTCTGGCGAACCAGAGCAGCGCACGGAAACGCTGTTTACCTTCCCGCCGGAGCGGTATCTATTTATCTACTTGCACTGGCATGCTTTCAAACTGCTAGGTTGGCAGGAGCTGGGACCGAGCAACGGGAGCTCACCCCGTCGCAGGGATTCGAACCGCCGACCTTCTGATCGGCAAGTCCCAGGCTCTGTGGTTTAACCCACAGCGCCACCCGTGTCCTGCATACTACTACTAATAATAATGCCACAGCCCAAAATGGATGAGACACCCCCTCTTCTCTCTCTCTTTCTGCCACCTCTTTTTCTTTTCCTTGCTCTCTTTCTTTCTGCACATTCCCCACCGCTGCTCTACATATCTTTACAAGTAGTACTCTTTAAAAAACCCTATGCCTTTCCAACCCCCAGCCTCACCCCCACCCAAAACCCCAACTAGCGCCATCTACAAATATTAGTACATAGTTTTCTCAGTGTACATTAATAAATGTATTGACTTACCTCTTTTCCTATCCCATGCATAGAGCTCCTTTATTCCCAGTTCATTCAATGACTTTGTAAGTTCCAGTTCCTCCCCAGTGAAGGTATCTCTCAAGAGGACAAGGCATTCCTGACTGACCTCACACTTCTCACAAATCACTGGGATGATGCTTTGGAGAGGAACCTCGGGACTCACTCGAACCACTGCCTTTTGTGTCTTGAGATAGTTTACGACCAGCCTCACTGTTTTCTAGGGAAGCAAAATAGAAAAGGAAAAGACTCTGTGAGCCACAGCTCCTCAGCGGTAGTGCTTGTGCACTGCAGTTGCAAAATAGATTATTCATACTGGCAAGAGGGTTAAAGAAAGATCAAGGAGTGTCATATTCATTGCACAGGAATGGCATTACAGAGGCAGAACAGGATTCCTTAGAGCTTTCTCCGTGTAGGTATGCATCAACACATTTTAATCGCTTATGAAATACCTGTATATGCAACGCTGAAAAACAAAATTATTGTGAAGCAGATAGCAGTTATTCAAATATTAGATTGAGAGAGAGTATATTAGCAATAATAGCCCTTGGACTCTAAGCAACTTGTTCTACAAGGCAGTCACAAGAACTGTAGATGAGAACTGTCCAGTTTGTTTCTATTATGCAATAAAGGAATTAAAAGGTTGGAAGGGACTTAGGAGGTTTAGTCAACCCCTTCAATGCAGGATCTGCAATGTTAGGATGCAGCTACTGTATTGTATTCCTTCAGTCTTTGCTTAAATACCTCCAGCATAGAGGGGTCCACCATTTTCATGGCAGTTGACTACTGTCAAACAGTAAGTTCCTCCTAATGCAAGCTCCCTTGCAATTTCCACCAATTGGTCCCAAAGCAACAGGGGACAAGTCTGCTGGTTCTTCTGATTTGATTATTTTTGTACCTTAATACCAGGCTTTACATTATCTCTATTGAATTTCACATGCTGGCTTTGGCCAGCAGTTCCAGCCTGTAAAGATCATTCTGAATCTTGATTCTATCTTCTATGCTGTCAACTATCGCTTCCAGCATTGTGTCATCTGCAGTTTCAGTTCCTGCACTAACCATACTTCCTCTAGAATGATACTTAACTCTTAATCTCCACCAGGTGGCAGAATTTTTCATTATGTTGCAACTTTGTCCATTTTACCTGCCTCCTTCCAAAATTCAGAAGTTATATGGTTATAGAGATTAAATAGGAGTTTTTCCTCATCAGGACTCCTACAGTTTTCTGTTAGAAAGACCTAAAAGCCAATGTTGTTGGCATCTGTCTGTCTGTCTCTCTCTCTCGAGTTAGTATGCCTCCAGGGGTGGAGTCAAACCACTTCATTAGCAGTGACCTTCCCAGGGCACAAGCCTGGGCAGTGTGGATGGAGGTCCTGAGCTGTCCAGATGACATTTTGGCCTTGCTGATGTGATCCAAAGGAAAGCAGAGCAGTATGTTTGGCACCAGTTTGGCTGCAGGAGTTGCCAGAATGAGGCATACAAGACACCACCCAACCATCTTAGGGACTGCAATCCAGATATGTGTAGGGTTTACGCCTTAGCCTTTCTTCTCCTGAAGTTGTCCTGCGAGGCAGCAGAGGTTTAGGATCAGAGTACAGCTGATGTTTAGGATCAGAGCTTCCCTTCTCCTAAAAGGGCTACCTTCCCAGCTGAATGAGCCCCACCTGCCCCTCACTTCCATCTACAGCATTTGCAGAAACAGCCTTCTTGACTGTTGGACCCACTATTGGTCTGGTCTGCTCAATCCACCAAGCCTGTCTTTGCAGGCAGGGGAAGTCCCTAACTCACTGGGGTTTGAGATCCATCGGCTATCCTCACTTGGTTTAGCTGGCCAGTCAAAGCTGTTTCCCAGGGTGTGGCCCCTGTCACATGCTGACAGCTTCTAGGAGTCACAGGTGAGAGCTGACTGCAGGGTGGGGACCAAGGTGGACTAACTACCCCAGGAGCATGATGTGCCCCCACCAAAATTACTACCCCTCCCCTAACACCCTAAGACCCCTTACAATACAAACAACAAAAGACAGTCCTGTTGTCAAACCAAGGCCTAACACAGCCTTGAACAACTCATCCTCAAACAAGAACCCAGACTTTTAGGAAACCAGGAGACCAGAAAGTGCCCCCCTCCCCGTCCATAAGATCCAGGGAGAGCTCTCACCAGGCCCACATCCAGGGAATGCCCAGGAGGAACCTCAGGGTGGATCTCTGCCTTGTCTGTGGCAAAGAAGTCCCTGTCTAAGCTGTACGGGGAGGCTAAACCACCTGTTAGTCCTTGAGAGAATCAGCATCAGAAACTGCAGGCTCAGACAGCTGGCTAGTAAAGGAGCATAGACTTGAGACCACAATGTCACCATGCTAGTCAACAGTAAAGGGTTCCTTAAGCATCTGGATTTGGACAGGGTCTGGAAGGCTACTCTTTATAAAACTTCAGTTGAAGTCTGCTAGTAGCTGGAACAACACATGCCTCTTAACTACTTACTCATGCAACCAGACTCCCCTGCAGTTGTCCTGCCCTCTGACTGAGTGGTGTACACACTCCTCCCCCTCTTAATTTTATCCTCACAACATTTCTGTGTGGTAGGCTTGGTTGAGAGACAGTGACAGGCCTAAAGTCACCCAGTGACTGAGTGGGAATTTGAACCCTGGTCTCCCAGGTCCCAGTCTAGCACCCTAACCACTACTCCACCTTGGCTCTGGATAGAAACCACATGGCGTTACAGACGTTGCTGGACTCCAACAACACCTGGAAGGCCACAGGTTCCTCAACCTTACTTACAAAATGACAATTCAACTCACAAAAGGCCATAGTCAACTCAAAATAAGCCTGCAGTAACTACTTATTGCCATATACCAAGTCTCTACACTGGCTGTCAGTTAAGATTACCATTACATCGCAATAGTAAGCTCCGTGCCAAGTTCAATACTGAACACATTGGGGGGGCGGGGAGACTGTCATCAACATTTCTTGACATCTGGCAAAACAGTTATGCAGCAGAAAGTTCCAACCTCAGGAATTTTGGGTGGAGGAGGCCGCTTCGCCTTTCCTTCAGGAACCTTCTCCTTCAGAAGTATCTTCCATACATCCAGTGCCCCTATCAAAGTGTTTGGCTTATAACTCAAAGTCTGTTGGGTCCCTGAAGACTGCAGCTCCAGGGTGTGATAGGCTGGATTTAAGTGGTACCGGCTGCACAAGTCAACCAAGAGGTCCATCACAGCTTTACTGGAAGGGAAAACAGAAAAGGCTACTTAGAACCAGATTTAATAGAACACAGAAGGGTTTTCACGCAGGTAGAAAGAGCAGATTGAAACCATATCCAGATAGTACACATACACATATATAAAAATCAACCTGGACTATTTCAAAATAGCCATGTTCTTCAAAACATCCATTGGGAAACTTTGTGCCTCTTTGTGCCTCTATTTGCTGACATGGGCATAGCCAGTGCTGAGCTCAAGGCAAGAAGCCCTGCACCTTTTCCTCATGGCCAGTTTGTCTTCACACCAGAACCACATCCACAGATCAGCTACTGAGTGGGTTGTAGGGATGGAGAGACAAGCTTGACTGCTCTCATCCATCAGCTGCGTGACGGCTCTTGCTCATTAGCTATGAGCAGGGATGGGCAAATCTACCAATTTCAGTTTCTCATCTTTCTAATCTTAAATTCAGTTATCCACATTTCCATATCACATGGTTTATTTTAGTTTTTAAAAATATCCTCATGAAAATTCATCAACATTTAATTCAAAATTCTCATAATTATATGTATTTTTGCACGCAATTCTGCCTATATATTTTTTACAAAGCAGTTTTCTGTAACACAATGCATTTTTGTATGTTATTGTCACTAATACATGGATTTTTAATGTACACTTTATCCCAGTACATGCATGTTTGTACACATTACTCGGCTGCAGAACTTCATTGCAAAATTCAGAGAACTGCAAACTTTTAAGGATGCACTGAAGGATTGTATTGTGTCAGAAAGTGTGATAACTGGGAGGGTTGCCTTTAAATGAATCAAATTTCTGTCCCATCCCTAGAATGGAGGAGAACCCACCAAGCCTCAAGCCCTCCAGCCACTAAAGGAGGAGTCTGAGAGAAAACCCACACAATGGGAGATTTTGCTTTAAAACACCAACTGAATCGCAACTCAGCCACGAACCAAACCCAAAAGAGGAAGAAAGCCAATGCAAAGGACAGAGCCTCATGAAGCCTTGCCAGAATGTGGAAAGTGTAGAGAGCAGAGGCCCAAAATGTCCCCACCCACAAAGCCTCCACAGCACCACTGGTGGTCATCTGGGTAGTGGAGATGCCTTCACATGCCCTCCGCAGTGGCAAACCCACCTTACGTAGGGGTTGGGGGAGTGAAGAGCACAAACAGGAAAGTCCTCCGTGTGACCTCTGGGCAACGGCTAAGAGGCAATGAGAGGCCTCTACATAACCTCCTTAATTCTTGGACACGTACTGGATTGCTCCACACCAATCATATAAAATGCTGGACAACAATTTGTTGTTCTCCCAACCATTACTAGATTTCATCCATTCTTAGTCTAACTGCTTTTCCTCAAGATGTTTGTTTGTGTAGAAACATCCCTTTCCTGGTCTTTTAAATTTTCCTCATGTGTGCTTCGCTTCAGGAAAGGATGGCTCTCTTCAGATATATACACAATGCTTCAGAGGCAAAATGGTGTCCTATACTATGCACTGCACATAATTAAAATTAATAAATACGGTAGAGAAAAAATTGATTATATGCATATAAATTAGCCTCTCTTTGCATGCTGGATGAAATACATGTGCACTAAAAACAGCAGGCACTGCTTAACCTAACATGCACTGCTAGGTTATAAGCAGCGGGGGGGGGGGGGGAGGGAAAACCTGAAAATTATTGCATTGTCTTACATCTCTCCTCCTAAAAATGACATCAATGGGTAGATACAAATTGTTTCAAATGTCTGAAAGCCTTACCTGCCATGCACAGTAGTTTTCTGTTCTTCTCCATCTGGAAAAACTACTATAAAGTCCACCGTCCTGTTAATCAGATTTTCCTTCATATTTATCACACCCTGATCAGGCAGCGCTCCCAGGTCTGTAGGTAATTTGTGTTCATTATTAACTGTACAGGTGGCAGGAGTTTGGTTTGGTGGAGGTGGAGCACGAGCCTTCATTCTTCGTCTGAAAAAGAAAACAGTAGGAAGTTGGTTTGTTACATGCACATGCTCCAAAAGAGCAGGCGATACCATCTGCCCAGGTGATAAACACCTGCTTCCTTTGGACAGTAACAGGATGCATTACTTAGATTTTAGTGCTTAATAGCACACTTCCAGGACAGAGTAGTTAGTACCCTGTATGCCAAAGCAATCACCCATCCAGGCTGTCACCAGACCCAGACCTGCAGTAAGCGGCCAGAGGCAGACACCCAGGGTCCCTTGGCAACCCACTCAGGAAAAAAACACTTTACCGCAATAACCACAATAGAAATTCCTACATTTTAAGCAACCCAAGTACTCAAAGCGCCCGGAGTGAGGGTGAGACAATTTCAGTAGGGAAACTGGAGGGGGCCAGTTTCATCAAGCCTTAGGTACACCTCTGCAAGAGGCCTAATAAGTCTTTGGATCATACCTTTCTAGCTTCATGCCATCTACGAGTCTTTTATAAAATGCTGAAAGCACAGAGCTGAGGACAGAGCCCTATGACTCAAGTCCTCCCTCTGGGCTGACACAGAACCATTAACAAACAATCCCTGGGTGTGGTTGTTCAACCAGCTGTAGTATCAACCTTACAAGTAGTATCGTCAAACCCACATTCCAAAAATGCAATATAGTAAAAACTCAGACAGATGCAGCAGATAAAGCAGAGACTTCAGAGTTTGTCCTAGGCCTTGCTGAAGTCCAGATATACCATGTTTGTGGCATTCCCATGATCTACCAAACAAATAACTCTCATCAAAAAAAGGAGGTAAGGTTGCCTGGGATGACTTCTCCTTCATAAACCTTGTAACCAAAGCTTTCTTTTCTGGATGATCATGAGGTACTTAACAATCTGCTCGAGAAATGTGGCCGATGTTGACATCAAGCAGTGACTTGTAATCCACCAGAGCCATTCCCCACCCTTTGATGACAGGGGACAACATCTGCACATCTCCAGGCTTCTGGCACCTCCTCCGATCTCAAATATTCTCAAATATTTCAAAAATATTCAGAATTCACAAATATTACAAACAGCATCTTTGAAGTAACACCTTCAAGCTCATTCAACTCCCTTGGGCTTAATTCATCTGACCCTAGACGTGTGGATTTACTGAAAGTAGCTTGGTGTTTACTAACCATCTTCTTACCTATCCAGGCTGCAAATCCCTCCTCACATTATTTGCTCTTGCTGTTTTAAATATAATGATAATGGCAGTAGACATCGCAAACTATTATTCAGGCAGGGAATATAACATAGTGCCAGATTTCCACAAAATCACTCTCCAGTCCTTTAGCCTCTCCTATTTGTTCTGCAAGTTTTTCTGTTACAGCTGCACTTATATTACAGAAATACATATCCTTCAATATCTCTTCTAACTCTGCAATGATCCTTTATTTCTTCCCAGAGCCTACTCCATTTCATAGATCCTCCATTTGCCCTCTCTGCAAATAGTCCTCTAATTATATCCTCAATCTGCCTTTTTGCCCGTAGCCCAATTCACAGACATGGAAAAACTCAAGAGAAGTACACTTTTTATCTTTAATTCCATCTGCAAACTAGCCTGCCTGAAATCCACACTGCTCTCATTAATTTGCAACACCTCCTGAAGTGTTTACATAAGAAACAGATTGACCCCATAATCCCTAAACAAAACTATATAAAAGATTTGCATAGCAAGTCACTTGCTACTATACTATTATCTTACCTCTCAGAATAAGCTGCTTGGCAGAAAATGCGAGAATTGTTCCTCAAAACAAAAATAGCATGAATACAATCCCTAAGATTTATGAACACTGAGATCCTGGAATGTAAAAAGAGCCATACCCTTTGGACCAATAAGGATCTTAGTTATTTATTAATAAAGATCACTAACAACGTAACCTTGGCATACCAAAGCCCAACTAACAGACGGCACCCTGTCAAATGCTTTTCACAAGGCATGCTCATAGCCTTCATTTCCTCACATCAACTCTGTAAAGTGACATATACAGTTTTGGTGAAAAGTGCAAGCCTAGGATTTTCACCTTCAGCTTGTAACAGAAACCTTCCAGTGAGGTACTAAAGTACCTGGGTAAAGGTTCTCAACGTAACCTTAGATAAAGTCTCTGGAAAGCAGCGCTACACTATGCACAAGCTTATTTGTCTGAACACTCAAGAAACGCATGCATTCAGCAGTTTGATAAACAGAAACGCTGCTTATACAGTACAGGGTTCCACTAGCATGAAAATATACAAAAGGAGTTTCCACAGGTGTGGCAGGTGAGAGTTCTGCTCCCATGCACTTCTGGTGTTAAAATTAAACCACATTATGTCTGCATGTTTGCCATGTTCATCTATAGTTGGGCCCCCAAATAGTATTTGGCTTAAAATCAGTCTGGGATGTGAATGGCAAGTTTCACTAGATACACCCATTTCAGCTCCTTTCCCCCACTACCAAAATTCAGATGGCAGAATTAATGCAAAAAGGGCTCAGAGATGCTAGTTCTGGGCTTCCTATCTGAAAACGTCTACTGCCACATGGCAGAACTAGTCCTGGAATTTTGAGAAGCGGAGTTGTGCTGCTTTCAGAAGTGCATAAATCCATATTATTAAGTGGAACAGTCACATGCATTAAGGGGTACAAATGAAATACTCATATGGGAATCCAATGACACCTTTAAAAAAAGATGTCATCACTTTTCTATCATCACCAGCTATAAAAATCTGTACAGTGAATGATAATCTCACCTGAAAAATCTTATCTGAATTGTACTAAAGTGGAGCTGGGTAGAGAGTAAATTCCACTTAACGTGATTTTGTAAACTGCTTTTGTTATCAAGCCTCGTCCTGCAATGTCCCTTCTGTTCCCTGCCTAGTAAGCTTGGGCAATTGCTCAACAGTGCTTTGTGCCACACACACTGCCAACTTAGGCAGGACTGATCAGAGTCTCCCCTTTTGCATTTTCGCTCTCGCCACCCCACCCCCCCATATTTTGAGCGGATTATTGTTAATGCCCAGTTCCTGCCACTCTCCCAACATGTTCCTTTTTCCTCACACGCTCTTAGCAGTCTTTGTGCGGGTGTGGAGATCATATAAATCTCAGTTCATTTCAAACTGCTAATGAACCAAACATGCATTGCCAGTGAGGTAATGAAGTGTCCTGCTTTCACACAATAACCGTGTTGTTGCTAGAACATTATAATGAATAGATGCCTCAGCTGCTATTATTAGGAAATTCCACAGTTTGAATTCTAATGGGATTGGGGTTTCTTGTATTAAACGTTTGAGTGCCAGCTTTCATTTCAGGCTATATTTTCCTCAAACTCTTAAAAAGATGTTTGCTGGAAGAAAAACACTGTCATGCCTAGCCCTGAGCTAGCACCAGGCATGGAGTCCTTAGAGGACAGACTGGGCACCACACAGGTTGAGGGTCTTGAGGAGCAGGCAGGGCACCCTGAGCCCAAAGCTGATGGTCCCCTGGAGGGGTCCTTCGCATGGATACCTAGTGAGGAAACCCCTGGAGCTCCCACTGCTGGAAACAACATAGGTCCCTAGCTTCAAGGTCCTGATTCTACTCACTCTCCCTTGCTGTGTTGTACCTTGCCACACACACACACACACACACACACACCATACATGCATACATGTATGTGTGTGTGATCTTGATCTTGGTATGTTTCCTAATTTGTTTCTGGATTACATTTGGAACTAGATTATCTGTGCTTGATCGTGGTTTGTTTGGACTGTGTTCCACTGGTTATCTCTGTCGTCACTGGTGAGTAGTTCGGCTTATATCGCCTGTAACTGGGATCCCTGCCTCTGAGGGCATCTCCTGGAGTGTTACAAACATTCCCAGAGAGAATAATCATTATACATGCACACATTCACACTTACATACACTGCATTCGTAACGTCAGTGTACAAATATCTGATACTTCCTTATTAAACCAATGAAACAGAAACTGGCATGGAATGCATGCAATCACAACAGATGTTATCCATTATTTTGCTAATGCTTGTACCGAACAATTTCTGAACAATTTTGCTCATACAATTTCTGAAGGAATGAATACACGTTTTGCAGTGCTGAAAGCTAACATGTTAGCCTTCAGCACCTACAGGCACTGGGGCTACCCAAGTGAACAGCAGCAGCATCTTACTCACAAGCCTGTTTGTCTCTTTTATTATCCCCATCCTGCAACTAATACACTGCTCATTTTGTTACTCTGTGTGCCCCCTTCTCTGGCACAAAGCAGCCCCAGTTTGTGCTTCCCTGACTGTGCCGAAGTGATTTGTTTAAACTCAACCTATTCCTATTACACATAGGTCCCGCTATAGGAACCTAATTACCTCCTGAGAAATGGTTCATAAGGCAAGAGTTCTTATAGAGATGTGAACATTTCCATGATTTCTTATGAGGAAAATTCCAATGCACTCCTGACCCAGAAAGATTCACCCTGAAATTATTTATATTAAAAAAACCTGAGCATTATTATGATGAATAAAATCACAAACACCATTACCATTATGCCATATACCTGTATTTATTCAACAAACAAGTCAAACAAACAATGAAAAACAAACGCTTCACCTGACATCATGGTGATGTCAAGTGATGGACGGGGGGCAGCCCCACCCACCTGTCAAAGTGACCCCTGGGAGACCATAGGATCTTGGCTGCCAGCTGGATCCAGTTTCTAATCCCACTCCAACCAGTCTTTGAAGCAATCCAAAATGTGTGAAAAGTGGATGGAGCAATTTTTGTTATTCCCTATTAGACTCACACAGATGAGGCATCTGATGTCGAAACTTTCGCTCCATCATTGGAATGAGATCTGATATATCCTATGGCCCCTGAAACGCTCTAACGGGGACTCAAAGGACTGCAACTCAGTTGTTTTTAAGCTAGGAGAAATATGTGGGTTGGGCTTAAATTCTGCACATCCTTTTCCTTTTATATTTAGTCTGTATAGCTAAATATACGAACACTAACATAATTAAATCCTCCACAGCCCTTGTGACTTCAGGGATGACATATATATATTTAGTAATTATACCTATTTATACATAACTGAATATTAATCTTGAAGACCAGTTCAATATATCATTTATACTGGGCTCTTCAAGAAAAAGTTTCTTTGGGGGAGGGTGATCACTATATTTCAGGGGTGGCTTGAGGAGTTCCAGCCTGCCTGGTTCTTTTAAAGGAGCTTGACTCACCTGTAGCCCTCCAGAGGTTTTTGAAGTCAAACTCTCATCTGCTTTAGCCAGCATGGCCAATATTCATGCAAAACTTAGAGGTTAACCACCCTTGGTTTAAAGTTGTTATCATCTTGGAATCACAGCATTTAATCTTTTACTTGTTTTAGGTAAACAGAAAACAACAGAAGCACTTATAAAATTAACTTCCCATTCTAAAATGTATTTTATATAATTGACTTTTTATTTTTATTCTTGGTATTTCATACAGTGGTACCTCAGGTTAAGTACTTAATTCGTTCTGGAGGTCTGTTCTTAACCTGAAACTGTTCTTAACCTGAAGCACCACTTTAGCTAATGGGGCCTCCTGCTGCCGCCGCGCCGCCAGAGCACAATTTCTGTTCTCATCCTGAAGGAAAGTTCTTAACCCGAGGTAATATTTCTGGGTTAGAGGAGTCTCTAACCTGAAGCATATCTAACCCGAGGTATCACTGTATTGTTGTTTTATTGCTATGGCCGATGCAAATAAAGATTCATTCATTCATTCATTCATAACTTCCCATTGCTTTTTGACACACATACTGTTACATTTTTTATCACATATTTTTTTATTCACACACTATTACTATAACAGGCTCCAGAAGGCTTCAAATTATTTTTGGTCATATGATTATTTGACTTGCCTTTTAGCCTTTGGTGCAATCTGATGCAAACTGTTGGTGGCCTCATATCATCTGTGGAGCCCACAATTCAACCCCTACTATGTATGCTTTAATGCACAATATAAAAGCTTTGAAAATGTAGAAAGCACCTTTTTATTAGCTAATCTACCGCTATGAAAAACCCAGGAAAAAATGGCCCCAAATGATAACTGTTTATTTATAATAATAAAAAACACTTGCACACTACTGTTTCGTTTAAAGAAACCCAAAGGGATTTACCACAATTATATATACACAAAAAAAAAACCTCTCATAAATTTAAAACATCACCGACTATGAAAGAAAGTGGTATCTTAACTGTCTGCAGAAGCCTGGTGGCAAAGAAAATATTTCAGCAAAAGTTTAAAGGTGAATCTAGAAGACACCTGCTGAATCTCTATTGCATTCCACAGGTCTGGGATATGACCTGCAGAGCATTTCTGACTAAAAGAAGTGTGAGTTTCACCACCGGTACACCAACAGGACATGGGACACCCTCCACTATCCTGGGAAATCCCTTTAATCCCAATTTTATTTTATTCTTTGGTAAATTTACAAAAAGAAAAACACACACCAATCAATGCTTTTTAGAAAGGGGCAAGATTAAGCATGGATGCACAAAGCATTTAAAAATAAAATAAAAACAAGACTCCTTGCACTCTGCTCCCTCCTTCTTCCCACCCAGGGTGGTCTGGTCCTCTGCCTGCCCCTCAGAGCCAGAGCGTCATGTGGGGCTGGGCTTCGGTGGCGGCAACCTCTCCTCCTCTTCCTCCTCCTCACCCTAGAAATCTAATGGGGAATCAGGATCTGTTGGGAGTGCTAATGCTGTGAGCCCTTCCATCTTATTCTCATGTTGTAGATTTGTGTAAGTGAGACCATATATCCTAAAGACACTGCAGTCTTCAGTGACCTTAATTCCAAGGAACTCAAACCCTGGGTAAGTGCCTGGAACCGCTCAAATCTCTTGCTGCTCAGAGCAATAATATTTTGTTTTGATGAAGGGGAAGGACAGTCTAGAAATTATTAAATTGGGCCTGAGATGCAGGAATCTTGATTTAACAGCAAATTAGACTTGCAATTCATTAGTCCTTGAAATGACCTCTTACGAGTGTGTGCTTCTATTTTGACCGTCGAGACTGAACACTGTAAAACAAATATACAAACATTTGTCCCCCATTGAGTTATCCAGTGCATGCTGCTACGCCCATGTCCTGAAGGACTGGTCCAAAATAACTGTGGCATTAATATTACACAACTGTAATTTTAGATACTGCTAGAGAAGCAGGAAGAGCTTTCAGGAGTATGACTGAAAAGGAATGCTGCAGTTTTATAGCATCTCTATACCTCAGGAATTATCTAGATCCTACACAAGGAACAACTCACTAAGTGAAAACTATTTAGTTTTTGCATTTGAACATTCATTTGCATCTCACTGTCTGTAAATCATCCACTCAATAGTTGCATAGGAAAAGTATTATTTAGAAATGAACTCAGATAGGTTGACTGCGGCTTTCTCCCACTAAACAATCCAGAGCCCACCCACAACCAACATGAAAGTTCCAGGAACTTTGCTGGCCTTCACATTTTGTACTTAAGTTCTAGCTGCTGCCTAGCATTCTGAAATTAAGTGAATAAACCTCCCAGACCAGGGGAAGCTTGCCCTAATGGATTTCTGAACCTCAGGCTGCTAAGAACATTGACAAGCCTACAGTGAGGGGGGAAAGTATTTGATCCCCTGCTAAATTTGCCAGTTTGGCGAACCAGAGCAGCGCACGGAAACGCCATTACTCATTATAATGCACATCAATCTCTGACTTTTGTCTTCTGGGTTTCTGGGGGTTTTCCTGTTGTTATTCTGTCTCTCTCAGATACAATAAAGTTACCATTAAAATTATGGACTGGTCATTTCTTTGTCAGAGGGGAAACGGGCAAATTTAGAAGGGAATCAAATACTTTTTTCCCTCACTGTACCTGAAGCATGTTTATATATCAGTAATACTCACTAAGAAAAGCAATGACAAACCTAGACAGCATCCTAAAAAGTAGAGACATCACCTTGCCAACAAAGGTCCGTATAGTAAAAGCTATGGTTTTCCCAGTAGTGATGTATGGAAGTGAAAGCTGGACCATAAAGAAGGCTGATCGCCGAAGAATTGATGCTTTTGAATTATGGTGTTGGAGGAGACTCTTGAGAGTCCCATGGACTGCAAGAAGATCAAACCTCTCCATTCTTAAGGAAATCAGCCCTGAGTGCTCAGTGGAAGGACAGATCGTGAAGCTGAGGCTCCAATACTTTGGCCACCTCATGAGAAGAGAAGACTCCCTGGAAAAGACCCTGATGTTGGGAAAGATGGAGGGCACAAGGAGAAGGGGACGACAGAGAATGAGATGGTTGGACACTGTTCTCGAAGCTACCAGCATGAGTCTGACTAAACTGCGGGAGGCAGTGGAAGACAGAAGTGCCTGGCGTGCTCTGGTCCATGGGGTCACGAAGAGTCGGACACGACTAAACGACTAAACAACAACAATACTCACTAAGCTCACTGAGACAACCTCAAGTATATATAAAATAGTAGTCTTCGTGGTGTATTACAGGGCAAAGTAATCAGTGAGACAAATAGGTCAGTTTTTAACTGGCGGCACAGGACACTGTTGTATTACAACAGTTACTAAGGGCAGAAGGGCACACAGGTAACTTGACTTCGGGCTGCTAAATTATAAGTTATGAGCGTTGGACTAGATGACTCTCTCCCACTGTGCAAGAGCGCCGGCCACCTCCTATGGACAGGGAGCGGACCTGAGTGAAGACTGCTGCCTTCAGGTCTGCTCCCGAAGCCCCACCCCCAGGCTGCCACAGAATGGGCAAATTTCAAAATTGGGTCAGGCAGGAACCCAAGATGCTCCATGGCGGCCGAGGAGGAAGCCAACAGATGCAAGCATGATGGCCCTGCTCCGGAGAGTAGCAGAGCCACAACGACGGATCTCAACCGCCGCCCACCCTGGACCAGGAAAGCAGCCATTATGGGGAATTTACAACTCATGGCTGTAATACTTATGCAACTGTTGTAATTATGTTATTTGTATGTAGATGGTACAATATTTTTAAGGCTTAAAGAACTATGAAGTCAGTTAGACCCCATACACATTTTTTGTAGGTATTCTGCACTTTACAGAATCTTGGATTGTTGTAATTGTTTGCTTGGCGGGAACCAAACTATGAACATTGGTTTGCACAAAATGCTAAGCTAGTACTCTGGTTTGTGTTCTCCCAACATAACTAAGAGAGGGGATCAGTGTGCCTGAGGGTGCTTCCTAGTTCCAGGTAAACTGTAATTTGTTTAGCTTACAATTATAATAATAATAATAATATTTTTTTTTTATTTATACCCCGCCCTCCCCAGCCAAGGCTGGGCTCAGAGTGGCTTACAAGCAATAATAAAAACAAGTTGAATGATTACAAACTTAAAAACAAAATTAAAATACAACATTAAAATATTGAAACATTAAAATATTAAAATGTAGCCTCATCGCAGGAAGAGAAGGAAAGGAAAAAAGAAAGAGTGGGAGGGAGGGAATCAGATTGGCTCCAAGCCAAAGGCCAGGCGGAACAACTCTGTCTTACAGGCCCTGTGGAAAGAAATCAGATCCCGCAGGGCCCTGGTCTCATGAGGCAGAGCGTTCCACCAGACCGGAGCCAGTGTTGAAAAGGCCCTGGCTCTGGTTGAGGCTAATCTGACTTCCCTAGGGCCCGGGACCTCTAGGGTGTTGCTATTTATGGACCTTGAGGGTCTCCGTGGGGCATACCGGGAGAGGCGGTCCCGTAGGTACGAGGCTCCTAGGCCGTGAAGGGCTTTAAAGGTCAAAAGCCTTTGCACTGCCGGGAGCCAGTGCAGCTTGAAAAGCAATTATGTACAAACTAGGCCTTCTATTGAAATAGAATTTGTATTTTCCTTTAAAGAAAGAAGGTTTTTTTATATGTGGCATTTGGTGATAAATTTTGGGGGGGTGTCCTTTTTCACTGATCCAAGCTTTGGATGGGATTACTTAAAACACGTTGCCATGCATTATCCTCAAAATCAGGTTCCTGTGCAAAAGGCTGCTGTGTGTGAATTAAGAACTAGCACCTGGGCCTGGGCATTCAAGTGTGCACACACCAACTAAACATATGGTGTGTTTCACTGTCACCAATTACCTATTTTGAGCTGAGTGTGGGGAATGACTGCCCCCACCAACAGTACCAGGAGATTAGAATGATCAAAGATGGCAGCAGTGACCCAACCTTCATCAGTTGCATGTATTCAGATCCTAAAATGCAATGCACTCAGACCAGTACTGTAAGCATCTAGGGAGAAATGCAATCCTGCATAATGTGAATATGATGCAGATGTTGGACTTTCAGAGAGAACTAAAATTATTAGGTCTCAAATGGCATACCATTTCTGAGATAAGGAAGCGTCACAACAAAATAATAATTACCATGTATAATTAGCAGCTCACTATACGAAGTTTCGCTCATTTAACTAACAGCTCGAGGCAAAATATTACGCATTTTTGCAGCAAAGGAAACATTTGCTAAAAAGCACTACAGCAAATGCTGATACAGCTTCTTAGAAAATCCGTACCTTTGAACATTCTAAATTAAACAACCAGTACTTCCAGTCATTTCTTTAGCATTTCATTATTGTACCATGCGCAAGCACAAAAATACTACAATAACTTTATAATTAGGAGAAAGCACACTCTTAAAAAGCAAAAACATCAGAATAACGCAAGCCATTATTCCATCATTGACTGCTTTTCTTCTATCGAGGAAAAAGGATTCATTCATTCACGCTCAAAGACACAGGGCTTCCTGACTACTTTAATTTCAACATCAAACAATTCAAAGAAATTTAATCCAGGGAAGCCCAGGATGCTGAATGAAGTAGCTTGTGATTTTCTGTTTAAATATAAACTCATAAAAGATGTACAACTATCCAAGTACCAAAGCACACATCCAGCCTGGTGCTATACATAGTGCAAGGTTCTGCTGCAATCTGAGCTTAAACAGTCTTACTAAATGATCCTAACACGGTATTTATATTCGGAATACAAGCACATTCTGATAAAATTGCAACCAATCTGCTTACTATATGCTAGTGAACTCTATTCCAAAATACAGAACTTACAATTTACAGCACTGGTTTTCAAACCTTTATACTTTCAAGGAGGTGTTTCCACATGAACCTCTCTGCCAAGAAACCTCTGTGCATCTGACACAAAACCCCAAAATGTTGTAGGCTTCTGAGAACAAATTATGAATTTTCTACATGAAAATCACTGCCATGTAGGCAATTGCTCTTAGTATTACTTATAGGCAATTTCACAATGGTTTAACAAGTTTAAACTAACATCAAAAACATTATGATAAAAACAAGACATGAAACAACCAGTTTCAGTAACGGCAATACCCAAAGCATAAAAGGAGCTTGTCACCCATCATAAAAGGAAGGCAGCCCCCCCCCCATCTTTTCCAAAGGCTTTCAGAGAAAAAGAAAAACCACACACACTTTGCCCCTTACCCACAAAATGACACCAGGGAGGAAGTTATGCAAACCTCTCATGAAATGGTGTTCCAGAACATCAGAACTGCTCCTGAGAAAGCCTATTTTGGCTGGCCACAATCCAGCCGACGCCCAAGATGGAGCATGGCTTAATTCTGGCATCTCGCATGCCAGTAGGGTTCATATTTCCTGAAATAAGCAGGACCCAAGCAACCTACGGTGGTTGTTGTTGTTTTCTTTAAAAAGTACAAACCAGCACCTGGGTCCCAAATCACACCGGCTTCTGCACCTATTAGCAGGTAGGCTGCTGCATTCTGCACTGACATTTCTACACTATTTTCAAAGGCAGCCCCAGGTGGAATGCATTACAGTAGTCTAGTATAAAAGTCACCAAACCATTGAACCATAAGCCTCAGAAAACGAGTGAAATGGCCCCATAATCCTGGAGATAGTATTGGTATTTGCCATAATGTCCAATTATCTGCACCACTTTTATATCTCCAGATGACATATGGCTAGGCACATGACAGAAGATAAAATTCTGTTTATGTGATCCTCATAGATGCCTCCCCTAAAAATCAGGGAGCAACAATCACATGGATTGGGCATAAGCACATTGGGGTACAGTCCCCTATTCAAACTTTATGTACAATGGGTGGATTTTTAAGGCAGAGCCAGATATAAACAATCCCTGTGAAGAGGTGAGCTCCCATTGCTCGGTCCCAGCTCCTGCCAACCTAGCAGTTCGAAAGCACGTCAAAGTACAAGTAGATAAATAGGTACCGCTCTGGCGGGAAGGTAAATGGCGTTTCCGTGTGCTGCTCTAGTTCGCCAGAAGCGGCTTAGTCATGCTGGCCACATGACCCGGAAGCTGTTTGCGGACAAATGTCGGCTCCCTCAGCCAGTAAAGCGAGATGAGCGCCGCAACTCCAGAGTCGTCCGCAACTGGACCTAACAGTCAGGGGTACCTTTACCTTTACCTTTACCCTCTTTTAGTAGGGCACGGCTCAATAATTTCTATTTCTAAAAACTCAGCCCTCAACTATTGGAAGATACGGAGTGACACTGCTTTTTGAAAACTACCACAGCTAACTTGAGAACATTTTTTAATAAACAGAGACTGAACTGGATGAAGTTTACATGATGGTTGGGAAGGCAAAACCCAGCAGTACTTACGACTCAGAGCTTTTCAAAACAGGATTTGTACTATCTGTCCCAAGTACACGCTGGTGGCAGCAGTCAAACAAATCATGATGCAAGGGGCCCCACACTGGCCTGAGACGGACCCTTATGCGCCAGGCACTCCTGCACCCGGTCCCCCTCCTCCCTGCCTTGGATGCTCTGGGTGGGTAGCACAATACCTGGGCTTTCGATTCGGAGTCGCTCAGTTCCTCTGTGCTGTGGTCATGCGTGCTTCCCAGGCATTGCACACTGGGTAACTTGATAGCAGGCACAAATGTCCACAGCAGTGCTACTAAGGAAGAGAGACAGCAGTGGGTGTGGCGCTGCCTAATTTTGTGCTGGGGGGGGGAGAACATATGATCAGGCGTCCCTCTCTTAATAGGGTAATGTAATGCCTCATGATTTGGCACTACCACCGTTTTGCACCAACGAAAACAGCAGAGGGCATGCTTTCTTTGCTCCCCCGGCAATAAAATAAGAATAAAACAAAACCTTGAAGGGGCCAGCTGCCTCTTCTGTGGAGCACGGTAGGGATGGCTGAAGCGAGTGTGAGAGAGAAATGATGAGGAATGATTCATAAGCAGTAAACAGCTGTCATGGACTGGCTGGGTGCTAAAGAGGGGTGAGAGGCACCTGCTAGGGAACGCCGAAAGGAACCCCCAGGGGAAGAAGACTCAGAGCCCAGCGATTGGTGGTAGGACGACAATGAGTGGTCAAAGGGACAGCAGACAGGGAGGAGGTGTCATAAGCCATGGGTAGGCAAACTAAGGCCTGGGGGTTGGATCCGGCCCAATCGCCTTCTAAATCTGGCCCACATGCTTTTACATGAGTAGAATGTGTCCTTTTCTTTAAAATGCATCTCCGGGTTATTTGTGGAGCCTGCCTGGTGTTTTTACATGAGTAGTATGTGTGCTTTTATTTAAAATGCATCTCTGGGTTATTTCTGGGGCATAGAAATTCGTTCTTTTATTATTATTTTTCCAAAATATAGTCTGGCCCCCCAAAAGGTCTGAGGGACAGTGGACCGGGCCCCTGCTGAAAAAATTTGCTGATCCCCGTCATAAGCTGAAGAGGCAACAGGGTTTAGTGAGCTGGAAGAGGCTGGAGCAGAGAACAGTCCAGAAGCAGAGGCAGAAGCAGAGGCTGGAGGGCGGGCAACAGGTGATGAGATATGCTGAAGAAGCCAGGGGGTCTCTTCCTCCTACTGTGACCAACACCCCCCCCCCATGTCTCTCAGAACCAGCAGAGGTATGGAGGGCAGAGCTGGACAAGGTGCCAGTGTCTCCAACTGCTTGGGAAGGAGCCTGTGGAGGAGGAGACTTAGAGAGCTGTGGGAAAGTGGGGACCTTCAACTGCCTCATTGGGGCAAGGTCTACTGGGAATAGCTGTTGTGCTCATGAGGCCTGAGCTGTTTTGTTTCTTTGAATAAAGAGTTAACTTCACGGACACCTTATAAGTTATTGCTGGCCTGCTCCCAACACCAGCCCTGACAATAGTATCTCCTTTTGCAAATGAAACAGAGCAGAGAGCCAAGCAGTCGACAAACCAGAAACAAACAATATTGTCTTTAAAGGGGGTGGGAATCCCTTTGAATAGAAGAGCTATTGTGCTGGATCCATCCAGAGATCCATCTAGTCCAGCCAGGTGCTTCAGGAAATGCACAAGCACCGTTTGAGGCCAATAACCCTTTTTCGGTTGCTTGTCTCCCCTCCTTCAGCAAATTCAGGGGTAGACAACCTCTGAACCAGCAGGATGAAATATGTCCATCAAATGATATTTAGCCAATTGATATTTTAAAGTTCTCCAAGCCAGTGGCCAACCATATGATGTGTTGTGTGGAAAAGTCAGTTATCTTCTGCTACATTTCAAATCCACAGAGGGATCTCAAGTTCTAGTTTTACAGCAATGATGAAAACCTATGAGTACCAGGCAAACAAAGCAGTGCTTGTTAAAAATATCTAAACTACAACTTGTAATTTCTTATCTACTTTATCAGATCTGCACCATGCAATTCTCTATATGTTTACTCAGAATTAAGTCCCACTATGTTTGCCGATCAGAAGAACGGCGGTTCAAATCCCCGTGATGGGTGAGCTCCCGTTGCTTGGTCCCTCCTCCTGCCAACCTAGCAGTTCGAAAGCACGTCAAGATGCAAATAGATAAATAGGTACCGCTCCGGTGGGAAGGTAAACAGCATTTCCGTGTGCTGCTCTGGTTCGCCAGAAGCGGCTTAGTCATGCTGGCCACATGACCCGGAAGCTGTACGCCGGCTCCCTCGGCCAGTAAAGCGAGATGAGCACCGCAACCCCAGAGTCGTCCGCGACTGGACTTAATGGTCAGGGGTCCCTTTACCTTTTATGTTCAGTGTGTGAGGCTTGCTCCCTAGGAAGCATGTTTGGGAGGTTCCGTGATTTAATTTGGATAGCTTTAAGAGTATAAACACCATGAACAAAAAGGCAGCACAGCACAATCGACAGAAGGGAAAAAATAAAATTTTTGCCTATGTTTTGGTTCAGGACGTTAGACCATCAAGGGGCTGCACTAAGGACGGTCCACTGATAATTGTTTGTCCAAGGGCCACAAAAACCCTGCAAAACTATCCAACAGCTGTTTTTTAAAAAAGTAATAACAGCAAACATGTGCATTTATAAACAGCAATTTTTACCTTACATATATTCTACATTGCCAAGACCCATAACTGAGTCCAAGCATGGTGTTTTCTAAAAAAAAAACCCCAGTAATAATAAGGAATTGGTCCCATAATGCATGTCTAGCCTTCTGGAGCTGAAAAGGTTGCAGAATGTCCAACTCACTCAGTTCTTATGGGGTAGGAAGAAGAAGGTGCCTCATTTGAAACACAACAATCTCGTCATGTCACCAGAGCCCAGCAAAATCAGAGGTGGCATTATCAAGAGGCGCCAGAATCAGGTTAACAGAAAGAAAGTCAGAGTATCAGAAAGTTCAAGGTGTCAGTGACCAGACCCAAGGTCTAAGTACCGTATTTTTTGCTCTATAAGACTCACTTTTTCCCTCCTAAAAAGTAAGGGGAAATGTGTGTGCATCTTATGGAGCGAGTGCAGGCTGCGCAGCTATCCCAGAAGCCAGAACAGAAAGAGGGATCGCTGCTTTCGCTGCGCAGCGATCCCTCTTGCTGTTCTGGCTTCTGGGATTCAGAATATTTTTTTTCTTGTTTTCCTTCTCCAAAAACTAGGTGCGTCTTATGGTCTGGTGCGTCTTATAGAGCGAAAAATACGGTACCTGTCTAAGGAGGCAAAGGAGGAGACCCCAGAACAGACTCCAGCACTGGCTTTGGTAAACACACAACCTAGAAACATTTTTAAAGGCGTTATACAATATGTATGTGGTATGCACTTCATGTGGATTTCTGCAATAATTATATTTTTTAAAGATTGTATTCAGGAACAGGCATACTGTACAACATTTTTAGTCCAATTTGAATGCATGTTTTTCCCACACACACAAAATCCGTGAAATGGCTTTGGATTAGAACTCAGTTTGTTCCTATAAAAAACAATGTAAATGCAAATGAACTCAAAAGAGCCCAACTTTTGATCCTCTCAAAATATCAGAATCCATGAAAACCTATTTCAACAAGAATACAGTGGTACCTTGGGTTAAGTACTTAATTCGTTCCGGAGGTCCGTTCTTAACCTGAAACTATTCTTAACCTGAAGCACCACTTTAGCTAATGGGGCCTCCTGCTGCCGCTGCGCCGCTAGAGCACGATTTCTGTTCTCATCCTGAAGCAAAGTTCTTAACCCGAGGTAATATTTCTGGGTTTGTGGAGTTTGTAACCTGAAGCATATGTAACCCGAGGTACCACTGTAGTTCCTCTCAGATGAGTAACTCAGAAGTGGTATGTACATGAAGCAGAATCAATGAAGTATTCCAGATGTTACAATGCACTATTTTAGAAGGCAGATACAAGACACATAAAAGCTTTATGCAAAATGAAAATCTGCCACATTAAGGAGAAATGTTCTATCCCATCCATCTCCATGATTTTCCTTTATTAGATATTCCTTGAATATCATCATGAAGATATGTCTATGCAGTTTTGGCATGTAGAAACAATGCAAGCTTCCTAATGCACAGAATTGTATAAACAGAAAGAAGGATCTGTACTGTACCCAAGGGAGCGTTATCATGAATCAGACTTAATGAAAATATAGATTAGCTGTCCATTATTTAGGATATGGAAATCTAAGCCTTACTGTTAACTGCACTTACATTCCTTGTCATTGTTGTTAAAGAGAGTATTCTTTTTGTAACTGTTTATACTGAACTGTGTACATTTTATTCATAAGTTTCTGAAGATTGTGGTGCTTTGGAGCTTTAATATAGAATTGTACGAAAAATATTAAGCATTTACAGAATAAAGCCCAGTTGTAATATTGCAAATTCCCGCATGGTGGGATTCCAAAACGCCTTTTGTGTACTCAGTTGTAAGCATCAGAATGACTTCCCTTAAACATGGATCCGAAGCAGCAATATACTATATATTATTTGAGGGGAAATTGTAGTTGGTGAGGAGTAAATATTTTTGATATTTGTTTTTTGAAGAAAGCTTTTTTAGTCTGTTCTACTGCTTTTAAGATTTGTATTTAAGATGGGTCTAGAAACTGCACTTTCTAAGAGCATGTTTTCCATCTACTAAAGCACCTAGTTGTTGCATCTCACAAGTAAGGTGAGCCACAGTTTTATTCAATGAAAAAATGTTGGTAAACATATATTCAGATGATGCCCCAATGGGACCTTGCACAAGGGAATGATATTCTTGTATGTCACAGAAGAAGACTGTGTAAGTCAAAACGTGTTTGCTGCAATCATAAACTTCAGAACACATCTGATATCACCTTCTGGATAAAACTGATCTGTGCAATTATACACATTCAATGTATCTTATTTATGTGAAGCTCTATAGCGTTTGTTAACATTATTGTTTATAATTGTATCTCTCATTGAAGTTTTTTTAGCCTTCTATATTGTGTTTACTGAGTACCTTGACTTTGGTTTTTTTGCACTGATAAATGCAAGTGGTGAGCGAATAAATCATTTACCTGAACAGGAAGTCAGGAAAACAGCAGTTAATAAAACCAATAAATACTGTAAAACAGCAAGATTGATTTAGAACAAAGTGAGCACAAACAATACATGATTAAAGGTTAACTCCTCTATGTAACTGGCAGTAGCAAGTCACACATTCTAAACATCTGACAAAGATGGCAAGATTCCAAATGGCTGTGTCTCTGACTCGTTTTAAAATAAAGACTGGCTTCGAATTTCAGTTGCAGCACACCATGCAACGCTTTACAACAGCCTTCAGCAATCTAGAGCAGCTTTGGACTACAATTCCCATCAGCATAGCCTGCTGGGAGGGACTGGTGTTCTGTTTTGGACTACAATACCCATCTGTAGGTCACCAGATTGACAAGAGAGCAACATTATCTGCACTAATGCATGATGTAAAGGTTTTCAATATACCAGGCAAGACATCTTACACAGCCAGCAAATGATAATACTATTAATGATTTAGCTAGAAACATAAGTTTGCATTCCACTTCTGTGGAAAAGTGCAGAATGAAAGGACCCTGAATCTTGCTTATATGTCTTATAAGCAAGTGCTATTATATGTAGAGTAATCCTGCTTAATTTTATTTTGGTCTAGCTCTTGCCTCTTTGAAAGACCAATATTCTGAAAGACATAGTAATAATTTGTGTATCAAAATACTACCATTTAAATGCAAGATACATGCCAGTAAAAAAAATCCAAAAGGTCTCCCCTTCATCCACTGTCTAGATTTAGTAGTAAAAAAAAACAACAAATTCCCACCAGTATCTGATGTTAAAATTAGAAATTCAATACTGGCTCAATTAGGACTGAGGGGGGAGTGAAGAGACGAGACCACACCACAGATCACAAGTTCCCCATGAAAATCTGTGGCGCCTCTTAGTATTCCCACGAGAGAGGGTGGCCTATGCACCTGTTACAGTTTTAAATACACTAAAAAGTATACCTTTTGATTCATTTCTTTAAAAGTGAATTTTGACTACATAGCTAAGTGTCTGGAAGCCATCTTCAAAACTCTTTTTACTAATCAGCAGTCACATGATATTCTCAAAAGAGGAAGCACTATCTTGTTCAAATTTTTTCGTGTGCACAATTGGCACATGAGTATCTACACATTCTTGTTTCTTCAGTCACAACATGGACAGCTATATTGCTGCCTACCATACGCAGCAGTGGTGGAGCCTGACAAAAATGAATCAGCTGCAAGTTTCTGTCCCTCCCTTCAACTCCTCCTCCTCTGAACACGTTTTCCCCATTCTGGTCCTGCATGCAGCTATTTCAGTACCTGTGCATGCACGCCTATAAAAAATTAACGTTTGCTTTTGTGCTGTTGCACAGTAGCTGCTATCAGCATCGGTTATCCTGTTTCACAGTGGGCAAAATGGAGGCTTGTACTCGCGGGAGAGGCAATTCCATTTGTGTTGTCTACATTTTAAAGACTGTGATATGCCCAAGACTGCACAAGAGTGATAAAAAGTGCTGGTGAACTTCAATACTACCGCTGACAGCAGAAGTATATATAAATTGATATTCTGTGGAACGGAAAAATCCAGATTAAGTCAAGAAAATCTATGGGTTGGCATTTTGTTTATATCCCCTCTCCCCCTCCCAATGGTGGTAGACGCAGGTAAAGCTGGCGCAATCAGCTGGCAATGATGGACATCACTTTCTCCATCTTTGGAATTTGCTAAATTCTTCGTCGCAGCATTTCATTGTGGCAAGGAGTTCCGAAGCTCAGCTTTCCCAAAGCTAAGTACAGAGATTTGCTCTGGAGTCCCTAGGTTTGTCCACATAACAACTTGATCTGAAAAACCACTGTTTTCCAATTTGAAATCGGCAGCTCACATTCGTGCACATTTGAAGTTGAATGCTTCGGTTCGAATTTGGACTTCCATGTCCACACCTGTGGGTGGCGACTTATCCAATCAACCAATAATGCCCTGCCTGCTCATTTGTTAATTCCACCCTCCACACACTTTCCTGTCCTATACACGTTATACTTCTAGTTGAACTTGGAGGAAGTCTGAAAACGTTTCTGTCACTCGTGTCTCTGCAGTACTCGGCCAATCCTAATCCAAAAATATAGCTATGGCAAAGAGGTCCCTCCCATGTGTTGCTGGGCAGAAGACACGTGACTGACAGGGGGCTCCTACTCCATCTGTTGTTCTGAGGGCTGACCAGTGTTCTCAATACCGTAATGGGCTAAGACAGTCTGAGAATGCTCAGATCATAGCTGTCAACTTTCAGATTTGAAAATAAGGGATCAGCAGCCTCACCTGTCCATGGGACAGTCTACAGGGTATCTAACAATCCGGGATAGCAGCAGGAAGCAGCAGGAAACGGCGCTGGAATATGGGAATTTCCCGCAAAAAAGGGGATGGTTGACAGCTATGGCTCAGATCTCTTTTCTTCACAAGTCATGCCTCAAAGCAAATTCTTCATAGCTGGCCAGGAGAAGGGTGCGGTCACTAATTTTAATAGCTCCAGCTTTGTTAATAACAACAATGGTAAACAAAATGTGCATCAATATTTTATTTTGCTTAATAATCTACATTAATTTTGTGAATAGAGGAGGAGTCTTGGGAAGAGAAATGGTGGATGGCATCTGTGTGGGTGAAGCATCCCCAATGGTGAAACAGGTGTACTCAGTGCATGCTCATGCCATTTATTTCTGAGGCTTATAGTTCCTAATTGTGCCTCCCTGGACCAAGCCTATGGGAGGAGGTTGCAGGTTGTGAGGAGTTGGTGGTGTGAACAGTTAAACCCCTGAGGCTGCATCACACTTTGGGTAGAATATTGCCTGACATTTTCCTTATTGGTAAGCCAATTGGCAAGAGCCTCCTTGTATTTTTAAAAATAAACACACCAGAGGATCAGGAGACTGACTTTAAAAACCCTCCTCTGTGGTATCATTTCAATCAAAGGGGTAGCCAGTGAGCCAGGGCTCATAGCTGAAATAAAAGCAATTGTCAAACTAGCTTTAGAAGCTAGCAAAGTAGATTACCAGGAATGATACATCTGATGAAGTGGACTTAGGCCATAACAGATGTTCTTATTTTAAGGTACTAGTACTTTGCTAAAATTGCACTATAATATACTTTACAGGGTTGTTGTGGGGATAAAAACACTTTGACAAACATTAAGTGCTTTTACAATAGTAGGATGCTGCAGAGGATGATTCAGGTGAGAACTCAATGGGCAAAACCTTTATGTATTTTGGGATCAAAAATTGTAAACTGCCTGCACAGCCCACCCAAGCAAGCTAGTCTTAAAAGACAGCCACACGCAGGATTTGCCAAGGACCTACATGTAAAGTCCAGTGTTTGTAGGCCAGAATGTCTTGGTTGTCTCACAAAGATTCTTTTTTCTTTGATTTTTGGGTTAAGCTTTCTTATGAGTCCAATCCTTCCCCCTCCCCCAATTAAAAACTGGAAGCGGGCTTATTTTTATTATTCCTCATTCATTGGTATAATGTTCATATCCACTCCACCATTCCTTCAAGGAGTTCAAGGCGGCATTCATTAGTTCCTTTTCCCCAATGTTACCCTCATAACCACCCTGTGAGGTAGGACAGGCCGAGAGACAAGGACTGGCCCAAGTGAGTTTCATGGTTGATTTTAACCTTGGTCTCCCAGGTCCTAGTCTATTTAATATCCCTCCACCTCACTCCATATTCTGTAAAAAAGGTGTACAAGTTAATAAGCCAGGAAAGGGGAATAATCTTTCCCCATTGGTCTGAAAATTTATGGCGTCCCTTGCTAACACTCCTGTGTGACACATTTAAGATTAACCCATTAACTCCACTCCTATACAGGGAGTAATCCCCATGGAATTCAGGGGAGCCTACTTCTGAGTACCATTTCTTTGGTATGAACCCACACTAGCAATTGTGAAGCAGCGACCCCTTCTGAATCAAGGGAAGGCACTTAAATTCTAAGAATGAACAAAACTGCAAGATTTAAGTGCCCACTGTTTCTTTGCAAAGGTGGAGAAATTCAGAATAGGTGAGGGCCACACAACTTTCCCCCCAGTTAATTAGTCTGAACAAGCACCAACTTGATGAATATCCACTTTATGAAATCACGTTTCTCTTCTAAATATATGAGATTTGACAGGAATTGGATCTATGGCTTCTTTACCACATATCCACCTCACAAACCCTTACCCAAACCACATTTTCCCCTTCTGACTTTTCCTATAATGCTGCAAACCAAACTATGGGAACCTCTGAACCTGAGCCTTTAAGGCCCACAGATATGCAAACAATGTATTCTCACCCAGTTATCTAGAGCATGGGCAGGCAAACTAAGGCCCGGGGGCCGGATCCAGCCCAATCTCCTTCTAAAGTGGGCCTGTGGATGGTCTGGGAATCAGCGTGTTTTTACATACGAATGTGTCCTTTTATTTAAAATGCATCTCTGGGTTATTTGTGGGGCATAGGAATTCGTTCATTCCCCCCCCAAAAAAAATAGTCCGGCCCCCCACAAGGTCTGAGGGACAGTGGACCGGCCCCCTGCTGAAAAAGTTTGCTGACCCCTGATCTAGAGCCTTGGTTTGATCGCATACTCCAAATCAAGGTACATAAGTAGCCAAATCCAGCCACTTTCTTCTAGCACCAGAGGGAGGAAATCCAAAAAACACCTCCTCTGCTCCTTGCGCATAAAAACACCCTAATGATTAATTAAAATCATTAACCAATTGCTGCCCCTTTCATGACATGCAGAACCAGCTGTCTGAGGCAACCACCTCACCCTGCCTAAAGGTATAGCCAGCTCTGCTATTATCCCAACTCGCTTGCCAGTTTCATGTGAAAACAACCCAGTTTTCCAAATCCACTGCTATACATTTATTGCGCCGTTTAAAATACCTTTAGGAGTCTTAATGGTGTTGAGCAGCTAATTGCCCACATCCCACCGTAGACTTTCTCCTCTCTTTGCAATTGCAGCCCCCCTTCGGCCACAACGGGGGACCCCCTGGCCGAGGGATCCCCAGAATGCCTCCCCCAGGCTGCTCCCCCCTCCGTTGCGATGGCACAGAGGATGCTCCTCGCGAATCAAACTGTTGCCGCCTCGCTCCCATTTCCGCGGAGCCGCCGTTTCCAGCGCGGCTTTCCCTCGGGAGCAGCCTCCATCCCCCTTGCAGAGCGGCCTCTCTCCCCTCCGGCCGGAGCCTCCTCTTGGCAAGCAGCCGCGTCCCGGAGCCTGCCCTTTCGCGGCTCGTCTTTCCCACCCGGCCGCCCTGTTCCCCGCTGCCTGCCAGGCTCGGCTCCTCCCCGCGCTCTGGGCAGCTGAATGGGGGAAGCCAGCGGGCGGGCGGGCGGGCGCAGCCGAATCCCCCGACGACGCTCTCGGGGTCCGCGGCGCCTCGCTCGCTCGCTGGCCGCCTCGGGCGCGCAAAGCAGCAGCTGGGAGAAGCCGGCGCGAAATCTTGGCCGGTGCTCAACCTTCCGCGCGGCGCGCAGCCGACGGAGCAGCAGGCGCAAGTGGCAGCTGCTCCGCCGCCCCCCGACCCAACAGTCCCGCTCGCGGCTGCCCGGCTCCTTACCCGCTGGGGGGCTTGCAGTTCCCCGGCTGCAGCGCCGCCGCCGCCGCCGCCGCCGCCGTCTCCATGGGGGGCGCCTCCTCCTCCTCTGCTGCCTTCGGGACCGAGCTGGGTGGGATGCCGGTTCTTGGCTACAGGGAGGGGGTTACAAGTGAAAGAAAAGGGCCAGGGACTCCGCCGAGCCGCTTTCTTCGTCGCCCGCGCTGCCCTCCCTGCTCACATGGTGCCCTCCGTCTCCAGCAAGGCGCCTAAAGGGGAGGCGGAGAAAGGGAAGGAGAAAAGTTCAGGCTGGCGGCCGCCGGGCAGCCCGCGAAAGCCCGTCCAGGGACCCGCAGCTCCCTCCCGCCCGCCCGCCCGCTTTGCTCCCGCGGCACCTTAAGCCTTGGACGACGCCTCCGCCGTCAGGCGCTGGGCAGGCGGGCGGGCGGGCGGGGGCGGAGAGCCATGCAATATGCATGCGTCTGCCCAACAGGTATTTTCTTTCCCAGGCCGAGCACACACCGGCTCGGCCTTCAGCAACAAGGTGGAACGAGCTGGAGCAAAAGCGCAACTCGCTCGCGAAGGTGCAACAGAAACGCGCGCGGCGAGTGGTTAGCCCGGAAAACACGAGCCGGCGCAAGAGCCAGAAGCGGAGAGCCGAAATGCCTTCTGCCAGCCGCTCGGGGCTCTCTGCAGACGGGCCTGGCGCCTCGTCCGCTCGGGGAGGCTTACCTTCTCCACAAGCGCGCACCGAGCCAGACTGGTCAGCGGAGCAGGCGCCTGGCTGGGACCCCGGGATTTCGAAAAGGAGGTTGGAGCCGCAGGAAACTAAGCTGCGCGACGCCGGCCAGCGCCATTGCTGCCAAGCTGCTTACCTCGCGGCTCCCCGCCGCACCTTCTGCCGCCGGACAGAGCCGCCGCCGCCGCCGCCGCCGCGCCGCGATGCCCGCCCGCCCGGCAGCCTGCGCCGGCCCAGCCTGGAAGTTCAGGCGAGCGGCGGGGGGAGGCGCGTTTCCATGTGACTGCGCGGGACAAATACAAACAGCGGCGGCCCGAGGAATCTCCCGAGCCCGAGGCAGCAAGTGGCGCGCCCGCAGGAGGCAGCAGCCCGCCCCCGGGACGCGCCCACGAGCAGAAGGCGCCCAAGCTAGCGGGGAGAGGACGCGCTTTGCTTGCATAATCCAGACTCGAAAGGGAGCATTACTCGCCCTGGAGAGTACAAGGGCAATTAGCATAGGTTGCGCCCGACGGTGCGGTGTTAAATTAAGTTAGGCAGGCAGCAGATCTGGGAGTTTCCTTATGACAGGCACTAAGGCTGCATAACTGCGTGGCCTTGGAAATGGGCAAGGGTCTTTTTTGACCTTGGGCTCTTGCACATAGCAGTTTGCAGTTGTGCAGGATAAGGCCGTCTAAAGCAGCAGCTGCTATCCGTAAAGCCGGGCATGTCAAAACTAGTGTTCCCTGGTGTGTGCCCTCTGCCTGTCTGTCTCCCAGGCTAGAAACTGGTATGTTAATATACTGATACACAGAGGCTATAATATATTGGCATTCAGAGGTGACTAAGTTATTGTACTACTTCCTCTTTTGCCAATTTCATTCATAGGTAAGTTAAACATGGTGAGGGAGAGTGGCATAGCCCTGGGGAAAGAAAGATTGACACTGGGATCTGCTACCCTAGTGGATTCTGTTGCCTGAGACAGTCCCCTCACCTTGCCTCAGGGATGGGCTGGCCCTGGGTTTGCCCCAATAGGAAGTGGCCTGAAAAGCTCTCTCTGTATGCAGAGAAAATCCTTGAGAAATGCATTCCTGGCACAAAACAGATTACAACCATTCCAGCAAAATGCACTTCAGAGGGACATGAGGATGACGGGTGTAGAGCACCTGCACAAGGCACCTAGTCTAGCACTGAATGCCCATTATCACACTGTGTGCATGCCCCAAGGCTGCAATCCTTAACTGCACTTACTTGGAAGCAAGTAGCAGTGGACTAAATAGGACTTACTTCTATGTAGACATGGGTGGAAAATGGAAGCTTATTCTTTACCATATTTATTGATTTTCTGATATAACAAAACTAAAAAAAATATCCAGATCAACTGGTCAACCCACAGGAAATCTAATTATATTAAGATAGGTTTTGTTCAAATATAACATTTACATGAACACAATGCAGGTTCAATTCTGAGTGCTAGCTTTGTCCTTCTACAGTTTGAGGTCAGATTGTGAACCTATCCAGACATTAAAGATCTGCTTGGCTGTTTTTGTAGACTCTGTCCATAAGATCAATTTGGTTAGCAGGCATGAGAGACAGTTTAGAAGTAGTGCTCAGGTTGTGGAAATCCTTCCCTACTGAGCTGCTTTTGGCCCCATAATCACAAGCCTTTCAATAGGCTTTAAAACCGTGTTTCAGATAGCTTTCTCTTAAAGTATTATGTTACACTTACAGGTTTAAATTGTGGAGCACATGAAATTTTATTTGTTTATTTGCTTCCAGGGCAGTTCACAGTATTCACACTAAAATAACAATAAAACCAGTTATAGGACAATGATAACATCCATTAAAATGCTATACAATGCGATAACTATTTCTGCAGCTAGGTTGTTTACAAACTACACAGATGATAAACCTATTGGTAGCAAAGATAAATAAAAAAGGAATAAAAGGAGAATTTCTGGATGCTAAGATCCAAGCTTGGGACAAGTACTCTTTGGCTCAGCACCTTGCACGTCTATTTCCAGTATTCCCTACTTTTAAAATGTTTCGATCTAAGCCCTGATGTCTCTTACATAGTTTCATTTAATCACACTGCGTCCTGCACCTTCAAACAGAATTCTTACACGGGTAACTCCCCATTTGCGCATGCTCTATTTGTGCAAGACCGCACACACTCGTGGTGCCGAGATCCCGGAAGCAGATCCTGGAAATAGAGAGCACCCCAGAGAGTCCTCCTGGCTCATGAGGACACCCTCCCCAGCCAGAGGGGCAGCAGGGCTTTTTCAGCTGAAACGTCAGCTGTTAGGTGGGGAGGCTGAGCAGCTTCACAAAGCCCTGCTGTCCCTCCGGCTCACAAGGAGACTCTCCCTGGATCCTGAAGAGCTCCTCTTCAAAAGCTTCGGGGTGCATCTCCTTGTGAGCCACTAGGACTCTAGGGTGCTTCCCATTATATGTGATTTCGCATACGCGCACAGAGCCCCAAAACAGAACCCACACATAAACGGGGAATCTCCTATACATGCATATTTGTCTCATTGCTTTTCTGTATTTGAGGGGAGTGTATATTCTAGACAGAATGAGCATTGTTTCTCATCTAACAATTTTTTACAGGCAGATATTTCCCTCAATGCAAATGTTATGTTAAAACCAGGCAGCATTTTATGCCAGGCAAACAAAACAGTATTCGTCACCTTCGCTCCAGCTGTCTTTCAATACCTCCTCCTCAATTGCACATCCCTTTGTTTTAATTTGAACCTATGCTAGGTAGATATGACCATAGGACAGAGGAGGGCAGAAGGTAGATTGGTATCTCTTAGTATGAGTCTGGGTTATTTTGAAGCACGTTCCCAAGGATTTCTGGACTGTCAACTGTTTAAGAATAGCAACAACAAACCCCACAGGTTTAGCTCCTTGGGCATCTGCCAAGACACACACTGCAACAGGGTTCTCTGTCCCTGCTCCCCTTCCTCCTTGATGTGCCCTTTCCTACTGTGCAGCGGTGAATACTGGGCCTACGGTGAACCAGTAATGGAATGTGTAGTAGTGACCCAGGGACAGGGGGAACTGAAAAACCTGGATGCAGCAGTGCCTCAATGCCTCTTACAAGATGCTACCAGGGCATTTCCCAAAGCTTAGAATAACAGCTCAGATTACTAATTATGTCATGGAACAGATGAAATAGCTTACTCCCCCGACAGAGAAAATTCTGTTGTATTGGTGCTAAAACTGAGTCGCACACTCAAATACTTTTGTTGCTGCTACTGTACAACAGAACACGAGACTAGTCTTAGTTTATAAAATGCTATACATTCCTTATCTCTGTCACTTCAGATGAATGACAGCTCACAGAACGGACAAGTCATTTACCACCTGTCTAAGTAATGGGTAGGGACGCGGGTGGCGCTGTGGGTAAAACCTCAGTGCCTAGGACTTGCTGATCGTAAGGTCGGCGGTTCGAATCCCCGCGGCGGGGTGAGCTCCCGTCGTTCGGTCCCAGCTCCTGCCCACCTAGCAGTTCGAAAGCACTCCTAAGTGCAAGTAGATAAATAGGTACCACTTTATAGTAGATAAATAGGTACCGCTTTATAGCGGGAAGGTAAACGGCGTTTCCGTGTGCTGCGCTGGTACTGGCTCGCCAGCTGCAGCTTCGTCACGCTGGACACAGAAGTGTCTTCGGATGGCGCCGGCTCACGGCCTCTTGAGCGAGATGAGCGCGCAACCCTAGAGTCGGACACGACTGGCCCGTACGGGCAGGGGTACCTTTACCTTTAAGTAATGGGTGCTTTGTATGCAACTTAATCCCATTCTGAGTGAGCAAGCTCAGGCAATTTTGTGTTTGCAAGTGTACATTTTCTATGGATGTCAAATAATCTATGATACAACCTTTTATCACATATCACCAAGGGTTTACACTTGGAGCAATGAAATGCCATGTGTAGAAATGGGTTATAATAGAGTTAAACACTGTCTCCAGTTATTATGGGCTGGAGTTAAGACTTGTTAGCTTGCTCTTATAATTACTTTGATTTTTCTATCCAGCTGTGTGTTAACCTGTTAATAAACAGTCTTTTGTTCCGGGCCTACAAAGTGAGTAATCCTGCATTATACTAAGTAAGAACTTAATACTGTGGCAATGCCATTATGGTATCTAATTTCATTATGATAAGATTCAGTCCTGGAGTACTGCTATGGCTGACAGCTTTTAAGCATGAAGATGGAAATTCTGAAAGTTCATGATAACAAAGAAACATTCCTCTTCCTGATTGGCCCTGGTGTCATACTACTTGGAACGTGTAGATATGTATATGTGATTACAAAACAGGTACAACTATTTATGGGTGTGCCTCTGAGAGCCAGAACATGTAAAATAGTAATAACAACAATAAACGTGACACTAATATTTCCTAAGCAACATACTAAACCTCAGACTCCCATCTCAGGCTGCCATTTAGGATTTTAAGCAGGTGAGGAATATGATTCTCAGCTTGTTTTTAAAGTCTAGGTAGGCTTAACCCTATGTCTCCCTTGGCTCAGAGCAGGGGAATTGGGCGCAGACAAACATAGGCTGCTGGTATTCCCTCTCTAGCCATGCTCAGTGGGGCTTAGGGGGAAAGGCATCTGACAGGGGAGCAAGGACAATGCCCCCCCAATCTTACTTATATGTCCACTTTAAGGGTAACTGTGACTATACCTTTAAGTTCACCTCCCATATCTATTTTAAGAGGTTAGTCCTGTGTTACATATACTGTAGTTCTTTAATAAAACTCTCTCTTGAACAACTCATCTGACCTGCTTATCGTTAAACAGGTATCATTACCATCCATTCTGTCCCCTGTGTCCCACTAGACTTCCCCAGCTCCTTCCCTCATTCTGGGACTTTTTATGCAAATCCCTGTCCCTCATCCTGCATTCTGCCTAAGGCACAGCAGATAGCTCCTTCCCTCTCACCAGAGACTGAGAATGCCCCACCTTTCTTCTCCCACAAGTCCAAAAGTGGGCCCACCCTTAAAGGACCAGGAGCCAGCAAAAGATTAGAATGTTAACTGAAGTTTGAAGCTTGCATATACAAAAATAATCACATTTCATTTACTTGTTTGTTTAGAACTATCCAGTTTTTCTACCAAAATTCTCAAGGCAGCTTACAACATTATCAACTGCCATGAGAACCACATAATCAAAACAAAACACAAACTAGCCCCGAAGGAGCTGGCATCTGATGTTCTTTCCTACAGGAATAGCCCTGTATGCCAACCCTATCATCATTAGGGAGCGTTGCCTCATGGGTGAGAGAAAAAAAGGATGTGAAGCACTCACATATTCCATAGTACTTTCCCACAACGTATTTCACCTCTGGTACCTAAGTTCCAGATTCAATGTAGTAATTTAGAATGAATACTTTACTAACAAGCAAACACCCATATAGGTGCACTATCCATCAGCTGAACTTAACCATCTCTATCTGAGCAAGCTGACTTTCTATTCTCTTAAAGTCACAGCAACATATCAGCATGGGGGTGTGTGCAAAGGGGGTACTGCGAGATAGGAGAGAAAGGGAGGTGTGGAAATGGGGGTGATCGGTGTGCAAAGGAGAGTTGAGGAAATAGGGAGAGTGGAGCAGAAATGGGGTGAAGGTGAAAATGGGGGTGTTAAAAGGGCTGCAAAACAGAGGGAGCAGAAGGCATGGGAATGGGATTGAAAATGAAAGCAGGGGCACGAAAGGAACCACAGCATACTTGAGATTGAAACATAAATATTGTAAAACTAAGTTTTAAACAGGAGTTTTAAAACTACTATAGAAAATGTTCATTTTTTTATTTCAGTCTAGTCAGTGATGCTATATATATCCTTTGGAATCAAGGGAACAGATGCACTACTCCTTTAAAAACATGTACATGGGCCAGCTTTCTTTAATCAGTTTGGTTGAGTTTTCCTCCTAACACCAATGAAGCTGAATTTATAGGCCATTTAGGCTAAACTAGTTGAAGCGTAGGAGATCCATGACTAGCTCTTTCATAACAGATTTTTTTTTAAATGTTAAACATAGCCAGGGGCATAGCGTGGGTTGGTGGTGCCCAGGGAGGAGATTAAGAGTCTCATCCTCTACCAACTGAGCTATCCCTCAACCTATCCACCCTTGCTCCACAGCAGCTTCAGATTAACTCTCCCTCCCCACTGCTGCAGACCCAATCTAAATCACCCCCACACCTGCTTTTAACCAAAGAAAAATAGTTCAGATGATCAAGCCATGGATCTTCCAACATTTACTTTAGCAAGATCATAGAACTGTAGTGTTGAAAGGGGGTAATCTAATCCAATGCAGGAATCTCAAGTAGATCATATCTGACAGATGGCCATCCAACCTCTGCTTAAAAACCTCCAAGGAACTGGAGGTTTAAGTCCAGTTCATAAATCAATAAAATGTAAAGCTTTTCCTGGACTGATCCACTTTGGAGTGTTGGAAGGGGAATAGTGTTTGAATGTTCTCCTATAGAAAAATTAACTGCATGTAGACCATTACCATGCTATGGAAGAAGTTTTAACAAAGCCATTTCCTTAATGTGTTGCTTTTATATGTACAGTAAATGTGTGTGTGTGTGTCTGAGACAGATAGAGAACCTGAAGGACCCAACAAAACACAAACGTACACCTGTGGCCTTAAAGTTTCCTCATTTGACTGTATTGACAGTGATCCCATGGCTCTCATGATTACTCATATTTTTCAAATGCTGAGCACCAGGCATCTGACTGTACAGTCACACCTATATATCAGCCCAAATCTCCAGCAAGTAAAGCCAAGGTTTACACAGAACTATGCTGATTTATACAAGTTGATTTTTCCAAGCTGTAGAAAAATGTCACCAAACAAGAATTTCTACTTAATGTCCGGCCACACGGATACAATGCACTCAATGGAAATAATTCCGCTTCCATAGCAATATGTAGGCACATGGTGCCACCTAATGAGGACTGGCGCATACAAATGGGGCAACCACCTCAGACAGCAGAAGCCACAGGTGCAGCAGATCCCAAAGTCGATCTTTATTTCCCCCTCCTTGTTCCTGATGCAGATCTTCACTCACCCCTTCTTCCCTGGCAGGGAGCACAGTGCCATTTTGTGGTTCCCTGAGGTGCCAAAATGAATTGGGCTGGCCCTGCATCTAATATTGCATATGCTTATCCAGAACGTCTTCGTTAAGTACAGTGGTGTTTACTCCCAGGTATACGTACATAGAATTGTAATCTTAAGATACTGGTTAATTCAATAAGGCTAATTTTATGTAGGATATTAATAAATGAGGGAGACACTGCTTTTTAAAATATACCTGACAACAACAGACCAAAAACTATTCTTGGTATCGGTCGCCTTTACAACGCTCATCACAGTCCTTGTTCCTGTGTTATCTCATCTCGCTGGATGGAGCAATAAATGTACAATTAAATAACTAACTCATCACACGCCTCCATTATCAATACTCATTTATTTATTTACATTTATATATACTGCCCATCACGCGAGCATCATAGGGTGGTCTTCCACAGAACCACAAAAATACATAACCTAATAGGAAACACAACACACCGCTCTTCCATGTATGTTTTAAAGCAAATATTTTCCAATATCATAAATCAGCGCGTCAGGATGAGGAGGGCTCTTCACCCGTTCCCTGTTCCCAAGTCTGCTCTTCTCTGCTTCCACTTGCGACCTGGCACTTGCGCCCATTCCTAGAACATGACTGATCCTTCTCTGAGGGCAATTTCCTGTTCTTTTTTTCGGCCTGAAGCTCCGAAGAGAGCTGGGCTTCCTTTGCAGCCTTCGCCCGTCGCGGCTGCGCTGGGCCTTAAATCTGTTTAACTCCAGGCGGACTGCCTCGCCTCCAGGCTGGGCGCTGGAAACAGGCGCTGCTGCCATGTTCTAGACCACGAAGCAGAGAGGCCTTCAAGGGCCCGTTGGCAACAGTGGCGTAGCGTGGGTTGTCAGCACCCGGGGCAAGGCAAGTAATTTGCGCCCCCTGACCCCCAGATGTTGCGCCTGGTGCGGCCGCCCCCCCTGCACCCCCCACGCTACGCCACTGGTTGGCAATGAGGCTGGGCGAACGCGAAGCTCGGCGCTGCCTGTTGCCACAACCTGCCAAGCGACATATAAGGGCGACGCGGATTTATTGGTTTTATTTCATTTCTTTCTACAGAGTCGGGGTGTTTTACTGGGACCAACGAGCCACACCATAACCATGCTTCCTTTCCTTGAAGCGAAACTCGGCTCGAAGCCTCGCAGGTGGCAGCACTTGCTGCTTACTGCCCCAAAGGAATCAGGGCGGAGCAGATTTATTCTTATTTTGGGCGCCTTTCTCTTTTTTTAACTGACACCTGAAAGAAGGAAGGCGGGGCCAACGGCTGAGAAAAGAAGCCTTTAGCAACGGTCGCTGTTAACCTTTCGCGCACGCGCAGTTCGCAGGGGCCCCGCGAGCCGGCCGACACCGCGCACGCGTGCTGCGCGCCTGAGTCCTGTCGGGGGCGGGGCTTATATAGCGTTGATGCAATGTGGCGCAGGCGCGCTTCAAGCCTGTCTGTCAGAAGCTTCCGGGAAGGTAAAGCAGCCGCAGCTGCCCAGGTGAGCGGCTGAGGGGGAGAGGAAGAGGGACGGGCTCGCCCGCCTCCGGTCCTGAGGGAGAGGAAGGCGCAGCTCCTCTCGGGGATAACTGGTAGGTGGGCTAGTTCCGAGTTCTGGCGCTTTGCGGGGAACGGGCGGCTGCTATTATTACCATTAGAATTCGTTAGTCCCTCTGTCTTGCCCACGCCAAGCCCAAGCGCCTTGCGAACCAACCAACCCAACCAACCCTTCCCTCATCCAGTATATACTGTTGCAACCAAGTGGGTGGAGGGGGGAGAAAATGCATTTAAAATAATCATACTTCAAACCAAACAAACAGACTAACCCCCTCAAACACATAGGTAAATTAAAACTAAGTGGGAGAAGAAAGAAAATGCATTTGAAATAATGGTACCAATGTAAATTATGCCCATATACTTTCTTGGTGAAAAAACATGGAATCAAGATAAAAGATGGATTGATAACTTGAAAGTGCACTGTTCAGTGATACTCCATACAATTGTGTGGTTTTGTTCTGCAGAAGAAAGCATAAACAAAACAAGCTGATACAAGTAATGCAAGGTATGAAACAGCTCTTCCACTGTTATATCCTCATATATCTAGGGTTGTAACAGTCTGGGTGGGAAAACACCTTACATGCATGCAGGTGAATAATTTTTAGGCAATTCTATTCCAGGTTCGTCAAAGCGGGGCGGTTGCCCCCTTGGTGGTGTGTATGTGTTTTGTCTCTTAGCTGCTAGATATTGTAGGGAAGCGAGCAGCACTGACACTTTGGAACTCCCTGCTTATTGATATTAGGCAGGTGTCTTGAGTGCATTATTTCCAGCGCCTGCTGGAAGACATTCTTTTTTAGACCAAGCCTTACTCTGATGTTTATAAAATTTGTATGAGTGTTATTGGGGTTTTCACTTTTTGGTATGTTTTCTCAATAATGGTTGTGCATTTTTAAAACGATTTTATTTTTCTCTTTTTTGTAAACCGCTTTGAAGATTTTTCTACAATCAAGCAGTATATAATTTTAAATAAAATAAATACCAATATTTTGCAATGCAGGGCTTTATTATATGTAGGTAAAGGGACGCGGGTGGCGCTGTGGGTTAAACCACAGAGCCTAGGAGTTGCCGATCAGAAGGTCGGTGGTTTGAATCCCTGCGATGGGGTGAGCTCTTGTTGCTCGGTCCCTGCTCCTGCCCACCTAGCAGTTCAAAAGCACATCAAAGTGCAAGTAGATAAATAGGTACCACTCCGGCGGGAAGGTAAACAGCGTTTCCGTGCGCTGCTCTGGTTCTCCAGAAGCGGTTAGTCATGCTGGCCACATGACCTGGAAGTTGTACGCTGGCTCCCTCGGCCAATAAAGCGAGATGAGCGCCGCAACCCCAGAGTCGGCCATGACTGGACCTAATGGTCAGGGGTCCCTTTACCTTTACCTAAAAGTTGAAAAAAAGGTAAAGGACTCCTGGACGGTTAAAGTCCAGCCAAAGGCAACTATGGCGTGTGGCACTCATCTTGTTTTAGGCCTAGGGAGCTGGTGTTTATCCACAGACAGCTTTCTAGGTCATGTGGCCAGCATGACTAAACCGTTTCTGGCACAATGAACACCGAGAGAAACCAAAGCATACGAAAACGCTGTTTAATTTCCCGCTGCAGCAGTACCTATTTATCTGCTTGCACTGGTGTGCTTTCTGTCCAGACACTGAGGGTCCAGCGCTGAGGGCCTTCTGGCGGTTCCTTCGCTGTGAGAAGCCAAGTTACAGGGAACCAGGCAGAGGGTCTTCTCGGTAGTGGCATCCGCCCTGTGGAACGCCCTCCCACCAGATGTCAAAAACAACTACCAGACTTTTAGAAGACATCTGAAGGCAGCCCTGTGTAGGGAAGCTTTTAATGTTTGACGGACTATTGTATTTTAATATTTAATATTTTGTTGGAAGCTGCCCAGAGTGGCTGGGGAAACTCAGCCAGATGGGTGGGGTATAAATAAATTATTATTATTATTATTATTATTCAAACTGCTAGGTTGGCAGGAGCTGTGGCAGAGCAATGGGAGCTCACCCTTTGTGCAGATTTGAACCACCGACCTTCTGATCAGCAAAACAAAGCGACCCAGTGGTTTTGACCACAGCACCACCTGCGTCCCTACTATCAAATATAGGACGTACATATGGTAGTTACTAATGACTTACCACTTTTTTTTTAAGGAAGCTGTGTGTAACACCCACAGGGGAAAAATAGGTTTTACTTTGCTGCCTATGGTGCTGTATGCATGCACACAGCAAAATGGTCTACACACTACATGATGCTATCCAATTTCTACACAGAAGTAGTAAATCCATATATGAAACTCTTCATGTGGGAAGCAGGCTGCAGTTAATTTCTGCTGTCTGCTTTATTCCCCTGTTGTCTGCATAGTATGTTCTGGAGTCCTGTCTCCTCTCCTGCAGGAAAAACCCAAGATGCAATGAAGGTAGTGTGTCTCTGGTGAAAACAGGCACAACAGTTTGAGAGTAGTGGGGCCATTTTGGATTGAATGTAGTGTATTTATATTGTAGGCCTGAGCTCTGAAAAAAACCAGTCCTGCAAGTTTGAACAAGCCATGCAGGCTTAAGCACGTTTAATAGAACAAGGGGGAGGAATGAGCAACACATGGTGTAGGGAGAACTTGGCTATGCAGACAAGTACTAATTACCTTCTCTACCTCCCATGGCTTCACCAGTTCAACTTCTAGGAGTGAAATGTTGCATATGTTAACATTTTTATATTGTTTATAAAATGTATGATAGGCTTCATGTGAAAGTAAAAAGGTGTATAGCCCATCTGAAGCATGGGCGGGCAGCTGGTGGCTTTGTTGGGTGTTTATTTGCTGGCATGCACACCTTTCATTTCAGTTGCAAAACTGGGAAGAAGCTAGGCTTATTCCTCCTTGCCCCAACTGTAGATGTGCTGTGTTGTCTTTCTTTTTTCATACCACACGAACATTTTGAAGCATTTTAATATTGCTTATTTCCCCCATTTTTAGTATTATAATAACGAGACATCAAACTGCTGAAATCCCATACAGTAAAATTATTTTGTATGATAGAAAGAAGTATATTACCATTAAATATATTATTATATCAGAACAACAGGAATGCAGGTACTGCCACTTTTGAGGCATTTGAAATCATTACAGCCTGATTTTATGCAGAGTCAAATGTGCTTAAGCTTGTAAATTTCAGTATGTTAAGCATTAGTTTGCTTTCTTACTCTCTTTTGACTTTCCCTCCATTTTTATGTCTTTCCAAGTTGTTTTGTGGTCATCAATCCTCCTTGCCCCCTGAATTGGGCTTCTCCCCTCTGCTCCTCACGAGCTTTCATGCATGCTGTGCCGAGAGTCCTGCTGCCCTATGCAGGGTCTGTCTCTGGCAGTGGCTGTTTGCTATTGTGTGAGTGTAGAGACACACACACCCCAGTCCTGGCTGAACTGCACTTCCCAGGATGCTGAGCAGTGTGTACTTGTAGCAGGGAATGCTGGGAATTGTAGTCCAGCAGAATCTGACAGCCTTGTTGGGGAGTTCCAAAGTTATCAATCAGGAAACCCACAGTGAATGGATACTCAACCTCACATGGCTTATCTGGTATCAGAAAAAAAAATTCTGTCAGTATGAGCCTGTGAAGATGAATAATCAATGAGTAGATATAAAATGGAGCAATTAAACTGCCTGTCTCTTTCACTGTTGTGTTGCAAGCATTTACTATGCAGCTGTCAAGGTTCATGTGTTCTTATTTGCTTAACTTGTCTTTGTCACTGGCAACTGGGTTGGGTCCATTGCTTTTTATAAAAGATTTGTAAAGTCTCTAAATATTTAATTGCCCTGTTTCTTCAGTGTCCCTTGATATAGAAACACATCTTCCTTTTAAGACTTTGCTCCACAATGGAGGAGACTGGCCGAGAGGCAGTTGCAACAGCTGTTCAGAGAGTCGCTGGGATGCTGCAGCGGCCAGATCAACTGGATAAAGTGGAACAATATCGCCGGAGGGAAGCACGGAAGAAGGCTTCAGTGGAAGCTAGACTGAAGGTATGAAACCTCAGTCCTAACCCTGTATTACAGCTGAGGATGTAATAGTCTAGGTTATCTTTGCAAAGTCTTTGTGTAAAACTATAGTGCTAGAACTATAGTGTCTCCTCTTTTCCCCTTCACTGTGTTGATCTTAATTTCTGAAGTGAGGAACATCTGATTTACCATTGGAGGAAAGCAACACTCCTGTGGCATCTTAATGACTTAACCACACAATCCTATAATGTCTACTCAGAAGTGAGTCTCACTGAGTTCCACAGAGCTTACGCCCAGGTTATTGGGTACAATATAGGATTGCAGCTAAAGAAGTGTATTGAGGCCTAATGTTTCATCAACCAGAGCCCACTTCATCAGATGCATTTGGGCTCTAGCTCATGAAACCTTATCTTCCAAATATATTATTCTTTAAGATTTCACAGGTCCTTTTTTGTTTTTGGAATAGCAAATAAACCAAAACTACCACTATGGAATTTGGCATTCTCCCACTTCCTTCTCTGCTTCTAATTATTTTAAAATTAGTTCATTAAAGTTGGCTCCCTTGTATGTCACTATCTGTGTTTCCTTCATCCCACAACAGATAGGTTCTTAACTAATGTAGTAATTTAAGTTTTCCTTTTCAGGCGGCAATCCAGTCACAGCTAGATGGCGTCCGAACTGGCTTAAGCCAACTGCACAATGCACTGAACGATGTAAAAGATATTCAACGTTCTTTGATTGATGTCAATAAAGACTGGCGGCAAAGTATAAACACCATAGAAAGCCTCAAGGATGTTAAAGATGCTGTAGTTCAGCACAGCCAACTAGCAGCTGCTGTAGAGAACCTCAAAAATATCTTCTCAGGTATGAGTCTACAATGAGTGGCCTCACTCTGTGGGTAGAATAGAAATGTAATGCTATAGTGGCGTTTTCAGAGGTACCATTAAAATCTGCTTGAAGCTACCATTTTTCATGCAGCTATGGTTCTGAAACCAGGCTTGTGTGACATAATGTGATTACATTTCTTTCTGATTTTGCTTTTCAGTGCCAGAGATAGTACAGGAGACACAAGACTTGATTGATCAGGGGGAATTGCTGCAAGCCCACCGAAAGCTAATGGACTTGGAGTGCTCTCGAGATGATCTGATGTATGAACAATATCGTATGGACAGCAAGAACACCCGTGATATGAACCTCATTGACAACTATTTTGGAGATATGCAAAAACTTTCTGAAGAGCTGGCCAAGCAACTCTGGATGGTCATTCAGAGGTCTCTAGTCACTGTCCGCCGAGATCCCACCTTGCTGGTTTCAGTTGTCAGAATAATTGAGAGGGAAGAGAAAATAGACAGGCGCATGCTAGACAGGAAAAAGCAAACTGGATTTATCCCCCCTGGCAGACCTAAAAAATGGAAGGAGAAAATGTTCAATGTATTGGATCGAACAGTCACCACCAGGATTGAAGGCACTCAAGCAGACACCCGAGAATCTGACAAAATGTGGCTTGTCCGTCATCTGGAAATAATTCGCAAATATGTCCTTGATGATCTCCTGGTGGCTAAGAACCTTTTGGATCAATGTTTCCCCCCACACTATGAAATTTTCAAAAGATTACTAAGCATGTACCATCAGGCACTGTCTTTACGCATGCAGGATCTGGCTTCTGAAGATCTGGAAGCAAATGAAATTGTTAGCCTTTTGACATGGGTTTTAAATACTTACAAAAGGTAAGGGTACTGTCTTTTGGGTGTAGTAGCAAGTAAACATAAATGAAAGAACACATGGTTTTAGATAGATGCATACAGAGGTGGAAAGGTGGATTATATTTTTATGTACTGCTGAGCCACAAGCTATTATTATACATTAAGCCTTTTTATAGCAGGGTGGAACTCTGGTCCATATAGCCCAATACTAATCAATCAATTAATTACAATGAGCAGATCAAAAGCACACCAGAATAACTGAGCAAAACAGATTCAAAAGTGAAACATGAAAACGATTATGTTGAGCTACAGTAATCCTTAGTTAGTTCCTGAACATGGTCCTTCCAGTTTCAGATGATGAGTTCTCTTCTTCTCACTGACACTGACAGAAATTTCGGGTTTTATCTTCTATCTGATATTTAATATAAAATTGAACTGGCTTTTCCAATAGTTAGGTCAGTGAAGGGCCAACCATGTGCTGCCCAATTCCAGCACAAAACTTATAAAACAGAAGGACATGTTCTATAGATTCTACTCCCTGATTATTACCCATGAGGAAAGGGAGTTTCCAGAATCTTGCCAGAATAAAAACTTTGCAGCAACACGCAGATTTCTATATTAGGCATCTAACTGGGAGGGATAATAATAATTTCTTGCAGTTGCACATGGATTCTGTCTGTTCTCTCCAATTCAGCATAGAGATGATGGGAAATCCAGAACTTGCACCAGAGGTGGATGTGAATACGCTGCAGCCATTGCTTTCCCAGGAAGTGGTGGATGAGCTTCTTAGCACATATATGTCAACTCTTACAGTAAGCAATAACAGTAATTTTGCTCACTCCTTCATATGGGGTTGGAATATTCATTATTCTTACTTGGCTGTTCTCTCACTCCAACCCTGCACAATTCAGATTTTACCATGCATGTTTGCAAATCAGTTGTACAACTTGCAATTTGTGTCCTTGGCAAACAATTTTCATTCCACTAGAAACTTTCCTAATATGGGTTGAGTGGCAAAAGGCAAAACTGAGTTCTGCTTCATGGGCATTAGTGAAGTGCATGCGCCATTTTAATTTAGTATCCAGATTCAATATATTTGCCTTTCTTTCTTTTGCATTTTAATCTTCCTATAGTCCAACATCATTGGCTGGCTACGAAAAGCACTGGAGACAGATAAAAAAGACTGGCTAAAAGAAAATGAGCCAGAAGCAGATCAAGATGGATACTATCAGACTACACTCCCTGCTATTGTGTTCCAGGTATAAGCAATTGGCTTCAGTATACTGATTGGGGCAGGAGGAAGGGGCAAAGCTCTGAAAATGGGGAAATGAATAAAATGATTGATGAGTGCATGCTATTCTGCTTTGTGTTTGTTTTGTAGATTGAATTTATTTCAGTTGGCCACTTAAAGCTGCAATCCTATGCACACTTTACAATGAGTAAGCCCCACTGAACACAGTGGAAGTTACTTCTGGGTAAACATTAAACAAGTGAGGTTGAAATATTAATAAAACCTATAATTTGGCACTTAATTATTTAAAGGCATGGACTCCCTTCCCAGGGCGCACCACTACATTTGGTCACATTGGACTTGTACATTTTGGATCCGCTCTGCCACCACATAAACTCTAGTGTAGCAACAAAAGTGTAGGGCTATGGCTGACATCTATGTGGCATCTTCAAAATGCCCATGACTATGGGCAGAATAAGTTAATAGATGTGCTCGTTGTACAGTGCCATGACTGGGGCTTGGGGCAAAATGTGTTGTTCTATGGGCATAAGTTCATAGAATTTGCCTCATGGCTTCAGTCTGCAAAAGGAGCAGGGTTACTAGCAGGCTGCTGCATTCTTATTAACTGCAATATTGCCTTATTGGTTTGTGTTTTTAGATGTTTGAACAGAATCTTCAAGTAGCTACACAGATAAGTGAAGATTTGAAAATAAAGGTACTCTATTTGTGCCTTCAACAAATGAGTTCATTCCTCAGCAGGTAAAATTAAATGTTAGCTTTCAGTCACTGTTTCTCTATTACTTAGGAGGGATGTTTTCTCTGCACATATACTACCTAGCAACTAGAACCCCCTGCCTGTTGCTCCCCTCAGCTACACTGTTCCTTAAAAGTAAGACATGAGGAAAGTAGTGTTTAGCTTCCTGCTCCCCCTTGTGACCAAAAATGAAAGCTTTGTACCATTCTTATGTGCTTTGGTCACAGGGTGCTTCCAGATACGAATTATTTAGCAGCACACAGTCACTGAGCAGCTCGCAGCTCATGCTAAGAGTTTCCCAGAGAGGAACTCACAACTGCTTTGCTGCTCCCTTGTCCTTTTTGCTGCTACAACATGCTGAGCCTGGCTAAGCTTTGGTTTAGCATGATGTCTGAACCAGGGCATCAAGCAGGTAAACTCCCCCATTAAGCACAAGCTGCAGCCAAGGTTCAGACAACACACTGAGCCAAACCTTGACTTACTTCAGTGCAGAACAGAAGCAAAGAGAACCAGAAAAGAGCAAAGCAGATGTGAGCTGCTTTCCAGGAGCACTAATGAAGTCTTGCTAAGCAATGATTAGACCTGGTATGATGTGCAAAGCAGCCCTTTGTGTCTCTAAACCAAATTTTAAAGTGCTGCTGATGACACTAAAGGCCCAAATGGTTTAAGACCAGATTATTTGATGGACTGCATGCACCCATATTGGCCTGTCCAGACCTAAAAGATCAGCTTCAGAAGCTCTGCTACCCTGCCTGACTTCAAGATCTATCAGGTTACGTTTTTTGTTTTTTAACTTCATTCCAAATTAGCAGGCACTAGAGATAGGGGCCTTTTTGTAGTGGGTCCAGTTCTGTGGAATTCCACACTAGGTATATATATATGTGGCTCTAACAGTTTTTAAACCTGTTTTTAAAATAGACCTTAAAGCATTTTTATTTCAGTCCAGTTTAATTAGGATGGTGTGTGCTTGGCTCTCTTATTTTTATCAGCTGCCATATTGGTGTAATTGTTTTATAGATTTGTTAAATGGTTGCTGTATGTTTTGTTTTATGTGAGCTGCCTTGGGCAATTTTTCCCCTTGAAAGGCTGTATGCAAATACTGAAATAAACAAAATACTTGGTGGTTCATTGTAAAAGAGAAGTGGCGGTACTTCCTCTTCCCTTCTGCAGGCCAAGAAATGAATTGTTTCTCTTTTTCCATTTTTGGGTTTTGCCCCATTCTCCATTACACAGGTACAAAGAGGAAGCAAATTTATATAAAGAAGAGCATCTAAGAAATCGTCAGTACCATCTGTGCTATGTTCAGTACATGGTTGCCATCATCAACAATTGCCAGACCTTTAAGTAAGTTCTGTGCTGAGGTTGTGCTATGATTTGTGTGGCAAATGCAGTTTTGCTGCTTTAAAAAAGAGACATACTATTTCTAGTTGAGGACAGCTCTTGAAAACACAGTGTGTGTGTTTCAGTGAGGTAGATCTTGAATAGGAAAGACCCAACTATTAGCTGGTCTACATGATAAAAATAAAACTCTTCCCGAGTCCCTGAAGTTTGCAACTCTTTATTCAAATCTTTGCAGTTTTAGTTTTGTTTTCTTTATGCAGAAAGATTAAAGTATAAATGAATAAACTTATTTGGCCCTTTATACACTAAACAAAAAGTGGATAGCCTGTCTGAAGCATGGTGGCAGGTTATGACTAGATGGTTGAGCCTGCATCTGATTCACTGTTACCTACAGTGGTGGCGCTGTGGGTTAAACCACTGAGTCTAGGGCTTGCTGATCGGAAGGTTGGCGGTTCGAATCCCCGCAATGGGGTGAGCTCCCGTTGCTTGGTCCCTGCTCCTGCCCACCTAGCAGTTCGAAAGCACGTCAAAGTGCAAGTAGATAAATAGGTACCGCTCTGGCGGGAAGGTAAACGGCGTTTCCGTGCGCTGCTCTGGTTCGCCAGAAGCAGCTTAGTCATGCTGGCCACATGACCCGGAAGCTGTACGCTGGCTCCCTCAGCCAGAGATGAGCGCCGCAATCCCAGAGTCATCCGCGACTGGACCTTACCTTTATCTTTTACATCTGCCATGCAAACTGTAAAGCTGGAATGAAGTTGGGCCTGTGCCATATAAGAAGAATGTGCTCTATACTTTTATGGGGGTGCTCCATAGTTAGGGCAAGTAGCAAAAACAACATCCCACCATTATAACCCGGGGGGGGGGAATGTAGCTTATAAAAATGGCAGTTGTTGAGCTAATAATTTGAAACTTGGCATGGATGATCTTATCGGATGAGGTCTACAACTAGGCCAAATTTCCAATCCAATAAAAAGATTCCACAGGAGCAGCAAGGGTTAAGTGTGCTGCTCCTTTAGATCTGAGAAGAGATAAGAAAACACTCTGATAAGAGTGAAAGCCTTAAAGATGACAAGCAAAATGAGAGAATGGAGGTTTGACAAGAACATTTTTTCAAAGTTTTCTTTTAAAAGTTGCTGCTCTCGCCGGCTGTCCCTTCTTCGCTCTCCTAATAATCAACTCCTTCCCCCATTTTAAAATATTTTATTGCATGGGTTCCAGTGAAGTTTTGTTCAAAGTGAAGGGTTCAGTCACAGCAAAAGGTCTGAGAACCACTGCTCTAGAATGGACTTCATATACCTTCAAATTGCAGGGGAAGGATTGCTGATGGTAGGCAAAGACATCTGCCCACTGTTACTTGTTTTCTTGGTAAGGAGCCGTCAGTCAGTGTCCAAGGAATCTTGAGGTTCCATGTAACACATTTTGGAAACCACTGGCCTAAGCCAGTTATTGGTTCTCCAAATGTGTATGTCACTCAAGGTGCGTTTGCATACTCATTTTTCTCAACTGGTAATATCGGGCAAGAAGAACCATTTAATTCTCAAGCAATTGTGCTTAAGTTATCAGAGCTTTGTTGTAGCCTCTTGTGACATCGCAACATATTACCTTAACTGAGTGGTTAAACTGGCTCTTGTATGCACCCTATTGGGATGTTGAAGGATCTTGTCTTGTTTGTCAAAGGGAATCTATCATCAGTTTGAAAAAGAAATACTTAACTCCTGTGATGGAAGAGCTTATGACAAGCAGTCATGCATGCATTGATGCAGTTCTGGATGATGTTGCCAAGGAAGGATGTGCAAGCCTGCTTGATGAAGTCTTCATGGATTTAGAGGTTAAGTTTTATTACATTTGGCATCCTCTTTTTAAAATTGTCGAAATAGTATCTGTGTCTGTCTAGAGTGGCAAACAGACAGAAATGCCCAGATATGGCTGCTGAGATCCATCTTTGTAGCTTACTTAATAGGTAAAATGGGACGCGGGTGGCGCTGTGGGTTAAACCACAGAGCCTAAGACTTGCCGATCAGAAGGTCGGCGGTTCGAATCCCCATGACGGGGTGAGCTACCGTTGCTCGGTCCCAGCTCCTGCCCACCTAGCAGTTCGAAAGCACATCAAAGTGCAAGTAGATAAATGGGCACCGCTCCAGTGGGTAGGTAAACAGCGTTTCCGTGTGCTGCTCTGGTTCGCCAGAAGCGGCTTAGTCATGCTGGCCACATGACCTGGAAGCTGTACGCCGGCTCCCTCGGCCAGTAAAGTGAGATGAGCGCCACAACCCCAGAGTCGGTCACGACTGGACCTAATGGTCAGAGGTCCCTTTACCTTTACTAGGTAAAACGTTAACACATTCTAGAACAGCACTGGGGTGCACAACGATAGATCTAAAGTTGAAGGATGTTGTCCAAAAGTGATTCGATCTAATTTTCCCTATGTTTGCACTACTTCTCTTTCAGCCACATCTCAGTGAACTGATGACAAGGAAATGGCTGGCAGGATCCAATGCAGTAGATACAATTTGTGTAACGGTGGAGGATTATTTCAATGATTTTGCAAGAATAAAGAAGCCCTGTAAGAAGGTACAGAATTTGCAAAGTTTTATCTAAGATAGGTACTTAAATAGTGTAGCCTAATGGGATGAAATACTGCTTTGCCATTCCTGAGCATTTATTATTATTTTGACTTTGAATTCAGTTACAGTAAAGTAATAAAAAGCAAGTACTATGAAAAATACCTTAATAACCTGTTTCTGTAGTAATGTAAGATCTCTTGTCTGTAAATGAGCAGGATATGCAAAGTTAATTCCTATGATCCATTCCACTCATGCTATTCAGATTTATTTTCCTCTTTAACAAGTACTACCTGTACAAACTGAAATACCTTACAGAACAAACAAACGTTTTTGGCAGTTTCAAAGTTCTGAAACTCCAATGAATTTTCCTCCTGAAATTTGCATTCTTCAATAAGTTTCTCTTTCTGAGAACTATTGCAAAGTAGCTGACTGGTCTGGTTTGTGTGAGATATTAACGATCCGTTTGACCACATACACAGCCTCCTATCCCTGACATTTAGAAGACATCTGAAGGCAGCCCTGTTTAGGGAAGCTTTTAATGTTTAATAGGTTATTGTATTTTAATATTCTGTTGGAAGCCGCCCAGAGTGGCTGCGGAAACCCAGCCAGATGGGCAGGGTGTAAATAATAAATTATTATAAATTATTATAATTAGCTGTAGTTCCCCAGTTTAGAAAACTGGCAAACCATGGTTACCAGCTTTGGAAGAAGCCTGGGTTTTGTTACAGATCTGGGAGGACCAAACCCCCCCCCCCATCTAAACCCTAGAAATTAATAAATGGTAGGATTTTGATTATTTGGGATTCAAAGGGAAAAATAAAAGCTGCAGAGAAATTCCTGAGCTAGCCTATGCAAAATGACCTGCCCAAGCACAGGGCCATTGAGAGCCCTTGAGGTGACAGGAAAAGTGCTTTTTAGCAAGGTGTGCTGGGAAGAAGAATGGGGAGAAGAAAGATAAGAGATCTATCTTGGATAGGCTGGCTGCAGGCATGCTTGGGAGAGATGCTTTTGACTCCAGTGCAAGCCCTGCTTGAGTTGACCATGCTGTAAGATATTTACTTACTTACTTACTTACGTACTAACATCAGTTTACTCATCTCTTCCTCTTCTCTTTTGCTTCTACTCCCACCCACTCCTGGCACGCTGCCTTCCTGAGCAGTTGCCCATGAGGGAATACAGCCCTCAAGCTGAGAGAAATTTCTCATCCCTGCTCTCAGACTAGTCTGTACCCACTGGAACAGTTTCTCCCCATTACTAGTCTGCATGGCTGTCATCTGGAAATAAACATGCTCACCAATTTATCTGCCACAGATTTTGGAGTCAGTCCAGATGAAGCTAACAGCAAGCTCCATCCCCTAATAGGTGATACTATAAGTCAGTGTTAATTTCTTACTACTCAAATGAGTGTAGTGCAGAAATGAAATACTTGTTCCTCTTATAGACTAACATAACACGTACTGGTTGCCAGTTGTATAATTTGAATGTTTCTTTCAGAAAATGACTATTGAGTGCCATCGTAGAGTTGTTGTAGAGTACATCAAGGCTATTATGTTAAAGCGTATTACTTTCAAGAATGCAGAAGAAAGAAAAGAAGGCGCTGAGAGAATGATCAGAGAAGCAGAACAGTTCAGATTTCTGTTCAAGAAACTTACTGCTGTAAGTATAAGAAAACCACAATGTCAAAAGAAGAAATTTTTAGAAATAATTATAAATTAGCATACCCACAACCTATTCTAAAATTAGTGCATTAATCCATCTGCTTTGAAACTGCAATGTTAAGCAGTATATAAATTGTTGAAATAAATAAATATTTATAATCTCCACTTATATTAGGAGTGAGCAACTTCTGGCCCACAAGCCAAACTTAGTCTGCCAGGCCACCCTATTTGACCTGTTTGGGGCAAGTCACACCCACTTGCCTTTCTGGGCCATCATATCTTATCTCCAGTTCAATGGTGTCTCTTAGCACACATCCAGGAAATTCAGAGACAGCTCAAATGGAGAATAGAAGAGCGTCAGTTAACCAGCCACTCAGTGGAAATAGATAAATGAATCAGCCTCTATCTCTCTCAAAAAAGAAGGACTCAAAAATTGACTGAAGACTAAGTATATAGTGAGAATATGATAGCTCATCTACTTCAAACAACATATTTGTTTAGAAATTATTGACATAAGTAAAATATACTAGTCATACAATAATTCTGTATGTGCAGAATTGCTGAAATGTTTTTAGAGTGGTTTTGATGAAAATGTCAAGTTGAATAAACACTGTAGCCACAGTCCAGCACAGTTAGACACACTTACTCTCACTGTAAATGAGCAACATGTTACCAGGTGCTAGAATGTGGCCTACATTTTTAAACAATAAAAACAGAAACACGACAAGGTGTTGCTGCTGCTCTGCCAGTTTGTTCTCATGTTCTGCCTTGCATATTAAAGGTAATTTGAGATTAGATGTCCGAAAATGATTATCCATTTTATACTGTTCAATAGGGATCTGGAGAGGAAACAGAAGGACTTTGTGACGTCATTGAAGCTATTGCAGAAGTATTTAAGTTGACAGATCCATCACTACTTTACCTAGAAGTCTCAACTTTAGTTAGCAAACACCCAGATATCAGGTAATACTAGTAATTTCTAAAGTTTGTAACAATGCTTTCTTCCATTCAAGGTCATAAATAAATAAATATTATTATTATTATTATTATTATTATTATTATTATTATAAGAAGGCTTGACAAAAACTGTTGAAATGTAGTTCTATGTCAATCCCTTGATTCCACAATTTAAAGTTACATATGCAAGAAAGGTAAGCATACAAAGTCAGTATCTGAACACATACAACTGAGTCCCCAGTTACAAGAATATGTTCTTTTTAGTGCTATTTGGAGTAGGCTTTAGCAAATAGGTGTCTTGAGGCAACACTGCACATTATGAAGAAAATGCAGAGCCCACAGCATCTAATGTGGGGAGGGATTTGCAGGGTAGTTGTTGGGGTGGGCGGGCAACATTTTACCCTTCCTCTGCTTACTGATTTTCTTCTGCAAACGCCCCTCCCCTGTCACTTAATCTCCCAGACAGAACTCCAAAAGCAACAGGCCTGGCTGGGGGTTATGGGCAAGCAACTTCCTTAGCAGAGTTATTTGAATCAAGTTGAGCATCCTCACACTTGCTGGCAGTTCTCCTCCACAAGAGCCCTCCTCCATCTCTGCATTAAGATTCTTGGCAAATGTGTGTTTAGGAATGTGCCCTCAGTCCTAAAACCCTGTAGAACCATATGAGATTGGATTAGTGGAGCAACCATAGTTCTTTGTGACTTTAAGGCCATGGTTCCCAACGTAGAGCACGTGGCCCACAGGGGGGCAATTTGATTGGGGGGGGTTGAGAATGAGTTAGACCAAGTTAATTGCCTTTTAGGCTTCCATGTGAATAGGAGTTCACTTTTTGAATAATAAGAATTATATGTCACGGGGGGGGGGGCAGTATCAGGATAATCCAGAATGCAGCAGCTAGACTGGTGACTGGGAGCGGCCGCTGAGACCACATAACACCGGTCTTGAAAGACCTACATTGGCTCCCAGTACGTTTCCGAGCACATTTTAAAGTGTTGGTCCTGACCTTTGAAGCCCTAAACAGCCTCAGCCCAGTAGACCTGAAGGAGCATCTCCACCCCCAGCGTTCAGCCTGGACACTGAGGTCCAGTGCTGAGGGCCTTCTGGCAGTTCCCTGAGAAGCAAAGTTATGTATAAGCAGAACACATAAGTAAACCAGGAGCTTCACTCCTGCATGATTCAAAAATAGTTTCTCAAATCATCACATCCTACTAAAGAATGCATAGCCCCACTATGTTTACCTGCAAGCAATTTAAATTACAATAAAATTGCTTTCCAAACATAAATGTGACAGTCAGCTCCTAAGCACTGAAGCAAAACCCATCTATAATGCAACTGTGCTTCTCTGGAGAAGCACATGGTCCCTCTGGTACGTCCGTCCCACCCAGCTGTGAAAATGTAAAAAGGTAAAGGACCCCTGACAGTTAAGTCCAGTTGTGAATGCCTCTGGGGTTGTGGCACTCATCTCTCTTTACTGGGCAAGGGAACTGCCGGAGCGGTACCTATTTATCTACTTGCACTTTGACGTGTTTTTGAACTGCTAGGTTGGCAGGACCAAGCAACGGGAGCTCACCCCATCGCGGGGATTCGAACTGCTGACCTTCAGATTGGCAAGCCCTAGGCTCAGTGGTTTAGACCACAAGCGCCACCCGCTTAACAAGGCAGTGGGAGGGAAATTATAAGTCACAGAAACACCTTAAAACAGATTAATATAGAAATGTAATTACAACATAAAGATGGAAAGCAAGGAACCACGTGTGGCTGAGCAGATATGCTGAGTAGGCAGTGGTCGTCGTGATGGCTTGTGGACCCATATTGTACAATATATGTCTTGTATATGGTTTGTGGAAGGATTCTCATAACAAAGATAACTGGAAAAATTGGCCTGCAAGCACTCTAAAATTTAGAGTGTCTAGAAGATAAGTTGGTACTCAGGTGTTTAGTGTAGAATGTGTACTCTGTGAATTCCCTGTTGCCAATATCATTCCCGTGAATGGCTTTTGTACTAATGCTGTTCTTCTTTCATTGGTAGGGATGATCATATTGCAGCTTTACTGACAATGCGAGGAGATGCCAGCAGAGAGATGAAGCAGACCATAATTGAAACTCTGGACAAAGGCCCAACCATGCCAAATCCAAACTATGTGCCCATTTTTAAAGAAATTACAGTTCCAACATTAACTGTGCCAAAGCTTCTTAAGTAATAGCAACATATTTCGGTATGGATCACTTTGGTGTAGTGTTGATATACTGTAGCCTAATCTGGCTTTGCACATAGAAAACACATGGGAATTTCATGCTGGACTTTTAGTTTTTGTGTCTGATGTTAGCTTAGTCACTTGAAGAGTATGCTGTATTCTGATGGCCAGAATGCTTTAAATTGATGTCTTTGCCATCAGTTGTTTTGACAAACTCTGTCTTGAACTTTTTGTGTGTACTCTGATGACTAACTGAATAGGTTTTAGAAAATGTATTAGGGATGGATTTATGCTTTATTCATGAAAAAATGAAAACTTGAAATTGTTGAGGTACATTGGTTATTGTTTCCCCACCCTGATTTAACAGACTTATTGGATTTGAAAGCAGATGTGTATAAAGGATTGCTAAATGTGCGATGCCATTTGCATTGGGAATGGAGACTGTTCAGAGCTTCCCTCTCCCTTCAGGAACCTTTAACACAAACTTTATACATGCTCTCTACTTATTTTCAGTATTGCATGTCATTTCACAACACAAAATTTTCTAGGTGGCTTACACTGAAAAATACTGTCAGCATAAAATAAATAATTAAAGCATGAAATTAAAAAAACACGTCATACTAAACCACCAAGATTCAAATAAAGATTTCATAATTTGTTTAATAAGCATGAGTAAACAGGAAGGTCTATACTTGGTGCCCCCAAACAAAACACATAGGAGCTGCCTGACACCAAATCAGACTGTCATTGATCCAGGAATTTTGCTAGTGGCCCAAGAACCATCAGTGGCATAGCGTCTTGCACCACCTAACATCACCTGCAACACAACCTGAATAGGGAGCCTCATTTACCTATGCTCTGGTAACCTCCAGATTATATTGGTTCACATGTGAGGACTGACTTTTGAAGACTGTCCGGAAACTGCAGTTAGTACAAAACAAAGGAATGGAGAGACAGAGCTGTGTGTCGTACTGTTGACTATCAAATGTCCAGGTGACGGCTCACATTAATTTCATATACAGTTATACCTTGGGTTGCGCGTTTTCATGTTACGGACTGCGCCGAGCCCAGAAGTACCGGAACGGGTTAATTCCGGGTTTCAGCACTCGCGTGGGCGCAGAAACACAAAATGATGTTGCGCATGTGCAGAAGCGCCGAATCGCGTCACGTGCATTCGCAGACGTGGTGCTGCGGGTTGCAAATGTGCCTCCTGCACGGATCACGTTCACAACCCCGAGGTATGACTGTAGATTTTAAATAGCATATGAGATAGAATGGACCATTGTAGGACCCCACAGCTCAAACCCCAGAGTCAATCAACTGCCCACAGTAGTTTCTGGTAATTATGCTGCAGGTAAGAGCAGAACCACTGTAATACAGTGACTCCTCGAGACATTGCTGGACGCCATGGTCGCTGGTGTAAAACGCTGTAGAATTGGAAGGGTTCCCAAGGGTCATCTAGTCCAACCCCCAGCAATGTAGGACTCTCAGGAGCGACCATACTGTGTTAACCATAAAGAGTGGGTCTTATGATAGCAAGATAGTTGCTTCCAATCGGGGGCAGGGAATACCCTTATGGAACACTTAATTCACCATTGGAAGGGGGATAACAAGGAAAGATGGATTTGACTCTGTATGCTCTCATGTTACCTTGTTTATTAACAATAGTGCAGTAATCTCCCTTTTGTCCCCAGTCACAGCAGCCACTATGAAGAAATAATCTTAATTCTTTTAGAGTCGATATGAGCTGAATCTGTATTGTAAAAGAGTTCCCATGTTTTTGATGTCATGTGGATGACTGAATACAAGATTTATAATCTGTACATGTATTTATCTTGGAAGTCAGCCCTTTGTATTTGGTAATCGTTTTTACTTTTTTCCATAAACTTTGTAATGGGGAAAAAAAGAGGAACCACAGCACTTCCAATTTCACGGCAAGCTGCCATAACACCCTCCCTAATGGGGCATTACAACTCTCTGGACTCATAGAATCAGAATCATAGAATCATAGAGTTGGAAGAGACCACAAGGGCCATCGAGTCCAACCCCCTGCCAAGCAGGAAACACCATCAGAGCACTCCTGACATATGGTTGTCAAGCCTCTGCTTAAAGACCTCCAAAGAAGGAGACTCCACCACACTCCTTGGCAGCAAATTCCACTGTCGAACAGCTCTTACTGTCAGGAAGTTCTTCCTAATGTTGAGGTGGAATCTTCTTTCTTGTAGTTTGGATCCATTGCTCCGTGTCCGCTTCTCTGGAGCAGCAGAAAACAACCTTTCTCCCTCCTCTATGTGACATCCTTTTATATATTTGAACATGGCTATCATATCACCCCTTAACCTCCTCTTCTCCAGGCTAAACATGCCCAGCTCCCTTAGCCGTTCCTCATAAGGCATCGTTTCCAGGCCTTTGACCATTTTGGTTGCCCTCCTCTGGACACGTTCCAGTTTGTCAGTGTCCTTCTTGAACTGTGGTGCCCAGAACTGGACACAGTACTCCAGGTGAGGTCTGACCAGAGCAGAATACAGTGGCACTATTACTTCCCTTGATCTAGATGCTATACTACTATTGATGCAGCCCAGAATTGCATTGGCCTTTTTAGCTGCTGCGTCACACTGTTGGCTCATGTCAAGTTTGTGGTCAACCAAGACTCCTAGATCCTTTTCACATGTACTGCTCTCAAGCCAGGTGTCCCCCATCTTGTATTTGTGCCTCTCATTTTTTTTTGCCCAAGTGCAATACTTTACATTTCTCCCTGTTAAAATTAATCTTGTCTGTTTTTGCCCAGTTCTCTAATCTGTCAAGGTCGTTTTGAAGTGTGATCCTGTCCTCTGGGGTGTTAGCCACCCCTCCCAGTTGGTGTCATCTGCAAATTTGATCAGGATGCCCTTGAGTCCATCATCCAAGTCGTTGATAAAGATGTTGAATAAGACCGGGCCCAAGACAGAACCCTGTGGCACCCCACTAGTCACTCTTCTCCAGGATGAAGAGGAACCATTGATGAGCACCCTTTGGGTTCGGTCAGTCAGCCAGTTACAAATCCACTGAGTGGTAGCATAGTCAAGACCGCATTCCCTGGACTCACCCACTCAACCCTGCTCCTTTTTCACAAGGCACGATAGGCAGGGATTGAGGGAGCTCTAAGTACCCTCTCCATGTCCTTGGGCTCCAGCAACTGACATGCATCCACATAGGCTCAAACTACGGACCTCCAATGGGCCTGTACTAGTTGTGAACCATTTTGTAAGTTACCATAAGCTGCCCTGGAAATCTTGAATTATAGAAACAGATAACTTTTTAAAAATGGCTTTTCAGACCCCATTCATTTTCCAACTCAACAGCATTGAAACTTGTGAGTGTTTACATTTATAATATATTTTTTATTAAGAATAACATAATACAATAGAAATTGGTCACCGGATACAAAGCAAAATACAGTTATTATGTATGTATGTAAGAAAGGAAATTGTAGTAGCAGGTTAAGTTAAATACCCAAGCCAAACAGATGTACGAGTTACAAGTCTGTGTACTTCCAAGTGGCAGTGAATGAAAGAAAGAAACACAAAGCAATCAGCATCAAAAGTATCCCTGCCTGAAACTCCAGCTAGGTAAAGGTCAAGGGACCCCTGACCATTAGGTCCAGTCGCGGACGACTCTGGGGTTGCGGCGCTCATCTCGCTTTATTGGCCAAGGAAGCCAGTGTACAGCTTCCAGGTCATGTGGCCAGCATGACTAAGCCGCTTCTGGCGAACCAGAGCAGCTCACGGAAACACTGTTTACTTTCCCGCCGGAGTGGTACCTATGTATCTACTTGCACTTGGACATGCTTTCGAACTGCTAGGTTGGCAGGAGCTGGGACCGAACAACAGGAGCTCACCCCGTCGCGGGGATTCAAACCGCCGACCTTCTGATCGGCAAGTCCTAGGCTCTGTGGTTTAACCCACAGCGCCACCCGCATCCCTGAAACTCCAGCTAGCCCCCTGCCAACCGGTGTCTACAATACTGAGCTGGATGGACTTGGCATAAGGCTGCTTAGATAGCTCTGAATTGGGAAGGATATAAACTGCACAGGCTTCACAGCTGCCTGCCCTGCTGCTCTGAGTGCAGATGCATCTCCTTGCTGCCCAGTCGCAGTTATGCTAAAATGCTAAATAAGAACAGCCTGCTGGATCAGGCCAGTGGCTCATCTAGTCCAGCACCCTGTTCCCACAGTGGCCAACCAAATGCCTGTGAGAAACCAGTGAGCAGAACCTGAGCACAAGAGCAACACACTCTGTGTGTGGTTTATAGCAACATACAGTGGTACCTCGGGTTAAGTACTTAATTCGTTCCAGAGGTCCGTTCTTAACCTGAAACTGTTAACTTGAAGCACCACTTTAGCTAATGGGCCTCCTGCTGCCGCCGCACGATTTCTGTTCTCATCCTGAAGCAAAGTTCTTAACCCGAGGTAATATTTCTGGGTTAGAGGAGTCTGTAACCTGAAGCGTCTGTAACCTGACGTACCACTGTATTCAGAAGTATTGGTGCCTCCAACTGCGGAGGAAGAGCACAGCCAGCATGGCTAGTAACCATCAATAGCCCTTTCCTCCTCCATGAGTTTCTCTTGTCCTCTTTTAAAGGCATCCAAGCCATGGCCATCACTGCCTCCTGCAGGAGGGAGTTCCACAGTTTATGCAATGCGAGAGGAAGTCCTTTCTTTCCTCCCGAATCTTCTCACATTCAGCTGCACTGCATGTCCCCGAGTTATGAAAGAGGAGTGCTTTCCTCCGTGCTTCCGCCAAGCCGCACATCATTTCATAAACCTTTCTCATGCCGCCACCTCTCACTCGCTTTTTCTATAAACTAAGAAGCCCCAAACGCCCAGCCTTCCCAGGAGGGGAAGTCTCTTCATCCCACCTTGATCACTTCGGTGGGACAACCAACTTTTTATAAAAGAACGGAAATGGTTTATTGAATATTTACAAATAGACTGTAAACAGGTAAGAACATTGGCAGGATTATTGTAATAACCTGCAGTTTTATAAGAGTATACAGTCATACTTCGGGTTAAAGTTGCTTCAGGTTGCGCTCCGTGGCGACCCGGAAGTAACAGAATGCGTTACTTCCAGGTTTTGCCGCTCGCACATGCGCAGACGCTCAAAATGACGTCACGCACATGCGCAGACGTGGCGAATCGCGACCCGAATTGCGGGTTGCGTTCTGCTCAGGATGCGAACGGGGCTCCGGAACGGATCCTGTTCGCATCCAGAGGTACCACTGTATATTTAAAGTAGAGGAATAGATGAATAAAATAAGTTGATTTGGAATACGCAGAAAATACAAAAAATAAAATTAAGGTACCGCAGAAGAGGGGAAAGGATTCAGTGGAGTTTTGAAATGTATAAAACTGAAAATCATAAATAAAATAACAATCATAATCCAAGATCATTTTCCAATTCCGCAAAGTCCTTTTCGAGGTGAGGCGACGACCAGCACCGAACTGCCCTCCGGATGCGTCTTTTCGTTCTGAGCACCTCCGCGGCTCCGCCACGACCCTGCACGCGTCCGTCCCCACGAGCAGATGCCACGCGGGCACCGCCGGACCGCCGCCCGCGCGCAGCCAAGAACCTCCCGCGCCTTGAGGCGGCGCCTGCCGAGGAAAGGCGGCGCTCCCTCCCTCCTTCCCTCCCTCCTGGGCGGCCTGAGGAGGAGCCGAGGCGCCGAGGCGTTTCTTTCTGGCGGCCCGAGAAGGAGGAGGAAGAAGCAGAATCGGCTCCCGCTCGCTCCTGGCCGCGACGCAGACCCGGACCCCGAGGTCCCCGAGGGAGCGGCCGCTTTCCTTCGCCCGCGTCCAGCCTGGGCGATGGCGGCGATGGGGAGAGCCGACGCCAACTTCCTGTGGGGCGTCTTCCAAAGGTGAGCGCGGGGCTGCTGCGGGAGGAGGAGGAGGAGGAGGAGGAGGCCCGGGCCGGGGACTCGCGTGGGCCGGCTCGCCCCCGGTGACCGCTGCTCGTTGTGTTTTGCCTCAGGGTCGACAAGGACCGCAGCGGCGTCATCTCGGACGTGGAGCTCCAGCAAGCGCTCTCCAACGGTGGGTGGACGAGGCCTCCCCAGGCGCGGCCTACCTGGCCGGCGCCTTCCCCGCGCTTCTCGCGCCGCCGCCGGCCTCCGTTTGGTGGTACTCCGCCTTTTCCCCTGGCGGGGACGCAGGGCGGCCTACCGAGAGAAAGGGGAACAGCTGGGAGGGAGGGAGGGTGGCTGGGTGAAACAGGCATTTGAAGGGGAAAAAAGGTTTAATTCAAACTAGAGAGAGAGAGAAGCTACGGGGATTGTAAATTATTATTATTAATTTATATTAATAAATAATATCAAAAATAATACAATTTATTTATATTAGTTATAAGTAAATGCTTATACAAATTTATTTATATCCAAGCTTTCCCCCCTGACTCGGACTCAGGGCGGTTTACAGATGAGAAGAGCTAAAAGCATAGAGAGGAAGCATTGAGGAAATAATTAAACACTGATGGAATTAAAGCTGTATTTCCTCATGATTTAAATTTGAAGGGAAAAAAAGGTTTAATTCAAACTATAGAGAGAGAGAGAAGCTACGGGGATTGTAAATTATTATTATTAATTTATATTAATAAATAATATCAAAAATAATACAATTTATTTATATTAATTATAAGTAAATGCTTATACAAATTTATTTATATCCAACCTTTCCCCCCTGACTCGGACTCAGGGCGGTTTACAGATGAGAAGAGCTAAAAGCATAGAGAGGAAGCATTGAGAAAATAATTAAACACTGATGGAATTAAAGCTGTATTTCCTCATGATTTAAATTATGAAACACATATGTTAGTAATAATAATTTTATTATTGACACCCTGTCCATCTGTATTTTATTATTATTATTATTATTATTATTATTATTATTATTATTTTATTTATATCTCACCTTTTTCCCTGACGGACTTGAGGTGGTGTACAGATAGAAATGTAAAGAGCTAAAAATAATAGGGGCTGGGGGGTGGGTGGGAATAGTTTAAAAAACAAACATTAATAGAATTGAAACTAACACTCTCGCTTAGCTGTTAAAAACATACGGACTATTACAGTAAAAAGAGCAGGGCGCCAGCAGCCCTTTTGGTAGAAGCACTCTGTTCCCCAAACCCTGCTGGAACAAGCAGTCTAGCTTCTCTAGGGAGGAAGTTCCAACTTTGCCCGGGAGTAGCCACTGAAAAGGCCCTCTCCCGCCGTGCCTGTCTCATTTTAATTCAGAATACACCCATGTTGTGCAATAAATGAAGCAACCCTAATGTAAGGGCACCCAAAAAAATAGCAAAACTGAAAGTAAAATTGGCCAGCCCAGGGGAAAGTCATCTCACATACAGTGGTACCTCGGGTTACATACGCTTCAGGTTACAGACTCCACTAACCCAGAAATAGTACCTCGGGTTAAGAACTTTGCTTCAGGATGAGAACAGAAATCGTGCTCTGGCGGTGTGGTGGCAGTGGGAGTCCCCATTAGCTAAAGTGGTGCTTCAGGTTAAGAACAACGGATCTCTGGAGCGAATTAAGTACTTAACCCGAGGTACCACTGTATTTTGAGGCTTATAAATGGTGCTGAAAGGTGGGCATTCCCCGGGCAAGAGCGTTCCAAAGAGACATTGCAATTGATGAGAATGTCCTGTTTCATATCCCCAACAACAGGTATAGGTAAACTTGGCCCTCCAGATGTTTGGGGACTACAATTCCCATCATCCCTGACCACGGGTCTTGTTAGGGATGATGGGAGTCGTAGTCCCAAAACATCTGCAGGGCCGAGTTTGCCTATGCCTGCCCAACAATCTCTAGCCAAAGTGGACAGAACAGAGTGCTTCCCAAGCCTTGGAGGCCAGGGGAGAATAAGTAGCTACTTAAGAGTTTTAAAGGCAAAAGGGGAGGTCGGACTTTGATTAGAGAGACTGGGGCCCAGTTCTTTGCGTAACCCTAATGCTTTGTGTTTTGTGAGGGTGGGCTGGGTCAGTCTTACAGCATAGCCAACTTTGCACAGTTATTGGGAGAACAAAAAAAGTACACTGTTCTGAAACACATATGTTAGTGATAATAATTTTATTATTGACACCCTGTCCATCTGTATTTTTTTTCTTGAAATACATTGATTTCCTAACCACCTCTCCATAGGAAAGTTCACAAGAACATGTAGATTTGTTATGTTGCTATCATATGCATCTCTATGCCAGTTATGGCTTTCCACTGTGTGTGTACCCAGTGGGGAAACTGTGAATGTTGCTCATGATAGAAAATTGTATGTAATAAGGGGAATATGCTGCAACGTAACCGCTGGTTACATAACCAACATAAGGCAGAAATAGCAAAAGTCTCTGAAGTGCGAAGGGTCCTTCATGTAAGTATTAATGTCAGAAAAATCCAGCATAACTAACCCTTTTGATTATAAACCTATGGGTATAGGGCAGTATACATATGTAATAAGTAATAATTTTTTTTTTAAAAACCTCACAGTTATTAAGACTGGTTAAAATGAATTTGCTCCTACTTGAATATCCCTTGAAAGCATGGGCAAAATTGTTGTCCCTGATTATTCTTTGAATATTACAAGTCTAGAGGTAACCCAACATGTATTAAGGTGCATTCTTGTCTCTAGGTGATAGCTGGCAAGATATGAGGACACAGAGTCATAACTTGGAGTAGTGTGTGAAAAGGGAGGCTTTTGAAAGTAACAGGTTAGACAAAAGCAACCTCCTGGTCATTATTCTCAGATGCTTGGAATCACATTACATTGATATATTGAAAGCAGTTGAGTTTAAAGGAGCTAACATGATCATGAAGGGTTGATTTGTTTATCCCTCCCCTCCCTTTGCATCTTCTCACTTCGTAGTTTGTGCCAAACCCTACCCTACAACTTGGGAGGAGCTTCACAGAGCAGCTTGCTAAATGGCCTACCTCGCACCTCTGTTAAAACCACTTGCCTGGGCCTGCTGGTTGTTCCTCATGCCTTAATTGGTGTTGCTGTCTATTGGGGGGAGCGAGACCCCCAAAGGCTTTTGCAAGCATTTGTGTATTTCCCTTTAAGACTGCACCACAATTGGGCTTACCAGGGAAGGCAACATAAGCCTTTGAGAGTTTCTACTTCCCTCAAAGATTGCAGGAAGATCAGGCTTAAAAGGGAAGCTAGCTAGCTAGCTAGCTAGCTAAGCAGGATCACCTTAGTGCACCAGTGAGCTCCTTGCCTGAACTCAGCAGAATCACTTTCTGTATTGGCTGGTTTGAAGGGGCAGCAGTCCTGCTTAGTGCTGGGTCCGGGTTTGTGCAGCAGTTCAAAGGATCCTGAGAAGCAGCTGGCTTTTACGACTTAAGGAGCTGCACAAAGCAGCGTCGGGCAAACATTGTATTCCTTGATTCATTACTTTTTGAATTGGGATGGAGCAGTCTTTAATACTCTAAGAATGATAGAATGTAGAATCATAGAATTGTAGGGTTGGAAGAGGGACCCAAGGGTCATCTAGTCCAACCCCCTGCAATGTTTTAAGAATGGTATAATATTTTGTAAATTATTAGTAAAGGAGTATTTGTATTGTATAAAGCTTAAAAAAAAATAATGGTGGTGGGGACCGAGAGTGAGAATCAGTATTGATTCTGTCTTAATGGTTCTTATCCTCTCATCTTCAAGAGTTCATAACACTTAGCTTTTCCTGCACACATATTTTAATGATTTGCTTCCGTTCTCTTTTAGGAACATGGACTCCATTCAATCCAGCAACTGTTAGATCTATCATATGTAAGTGATTCATAACATCATACTTTTAACATTTGGGGGGCGGGTTGTACTCGCAAGCAGCATTTTTAGGCGGTTCGTAGTATGTCAATAAAATAGTTAAACAAAATTGTATCAGTGGTGAGAACTGGAAGAATATTTTGTTTGAAATGACGTCCAGTTGCATTTCCCTCTTAGCCCATTACTATTTACATAGTTTAATATGGGCAACGGGGACCAAAATACTCCCTGTTTGAAATGCACTGCTTGCTTTTTTACTGAGTTGCTTTTGAATAGTCATATGTGTGGTTTTTCACATGGATTCTGCGGTTGCATAGAGCACAATTTTGAAACTTCTAGAGCTAGATGGCAGATTTTTGATGGGATGTCTGCCCTCAGGGCAGTGTGACCCCAACTTTCCACTCTTCCTTTACTGACTGCTGCAGTGGAGGAGTCTGGTTATGCGATGGTACAAATCACCAGTTGAAGAACCAGTTATAGGTAAGCATTCGGGGGTTGGTTTTTTCATGGTCTGTGTGTGGAGAACCATATGGGTAATGGCAACCCACATTATCCAGAGGTGAGGCAAGAGGGCAGGCAACCACTGACCTTGGCATAGCTCTGAAAGGTGTATCCTCTCAAGCTGAAACACTCATACTACAGGATTGACATTGAGGACTACAAACAGAGAGCAGTATAATAAACTTCAAGAACAGAGAAAACTAAGGAACAATGTGGATGAAACAACTGTCCTTGTTGAGTGTATACAGATTCCTAAGAAAATCTGAAGCCGAGCTATCCTGAAGCATGGGTTAATTGTGGATGGAGACCAAATCTTCCTGAACACCATGTCAACACTGCTTGCTCCCTCCAAAGACACATAGAAAGTGAAGAGACAAAAGCTGAGACTGAATCCATCTATTTTTATTGATAACATCACTTGTTTACTATACAACCAGTGCATGCAGGGAAGACTGCAGGTTTGACAAAGGGCTTTGGGCAGAAAACTGGCAGAACTGCCTTCAGTAGAAAGAACAAGGCAGGCAGGCTTGAGGACTCCATTATCCTAATGCAAAATGAGAGATTTAAGTATCAGCTTCTTGGTGGTTGTTGGCATCTGTCTGTCTTGAGACAGTGCCCTTATCCAAACCAAAATTGCTTGGAGAAATCTGTTTAGTGTTTCCGCCACCTTCTTCGGATTAGAGTATAGAAGATAAAAGCTTTGTGCCATCTGCATATTGATGGCACTTCTGCCCAATCCTCCAGGTGACTATACCCATGATTTTGTTGCTGGGGTTGATGGGAGTTGGACATCTGGAGCACTCAAGGTTTCCTACCTCTAATGTAGATATTGAAGAGAATAGAACCTTGTGGCATCCCAAAGGTCATGAAGTAAAACGGAAGTCATCTAACAGCATCCTCTGGATCCTACCCTCCAGGTAGGACCAAAGCCACTGCAAAAGAATGCTCCCAGGGTGATGTCACATAAGGATTCTATGGTTGATGTGGAAAATGTGAAAAGTTAAGATGAACCATCAGGTTTGCACTTTTCTCTCCCATCTGTTCTTCAGTGCTGGTCATCCAGGGAGATGACCAAAGCAGAGTCTGTTCCATACCAGCCTGGAAGGGATCAAATTGGGGTGTGTTGCAAAGTGTTGCTTTAAAATGGCGCATTAGAGATTTTCCAAAGGTGTAGGATCCAGATTTAGATTTTTTTTTAAATTGCTCTCTCCTTTTAAAAACAAAAGGGGACATCACCATTGCACAGCTGATATTCACTGAAGGTGAGTCAAGTTTTCAGAAGCCAGGATGGGCAAGGAACCTAGGAGTGCATGGTTGGTTTCATCCCTCGTCCACTTTCTCAGACAATAGTAGCTGAAAGGCAACAGATGGTATCTTTGCTGCCTTCGCTTCTAATGATGTTGAAATTGTGGCATCTTAAGTTGAGTGAATATGAGCAATTGAATCTGCGGAATGTAATGCAAACTGATCACAATGGAACTTCATTGGTTCCATCTGATGTTCTCTACCAGACCTGTATTAAGCAGATTGTTAACCACCTAACAAGGCCCCTTTGAGCTACATTAAGACATATTGGTGTAGAAATATGATTTTCCGTTGGCTGCAGTAACTGCCATAGAGTAGGCCCTAAAACTGGATCTAACCTGTTTGGTCATATTCATCCTATGTATTCATCCTGTGTTCTCCACCAAGAAAACTTTTTTAAGAGTGAGCACTTTGTCATGGGTTCATAGTTTGCCTGTGTCATATTATTTTAGATTCCATTTTGTGAATCTGTGGACTTCTGGTGCATTGAGAAGAGCCACCCTTTAAGAAACCTTTATTCAAGGAAAAGTGTTGACTATACTGAATTCTTTTTAGAACCCGTATCAGTTTACATAAGAGCTGCTTCTACCACTGTTCCTTGTTTTTCTTTACATTAAAAGGTAAAAATCCATATAGTAAACTTTTTAATGAGGTATTTCAGTTTTTCCTGTCTCTTAATCTTAACAGAAATGTAATAGAGAATGATTGGTGTCTCATTCTGTAACTTAAATGAATTAATATTCTGAATGTTTGTTTCAGCCATGTTTGACAGAGAGAACAAAGGTGGTGTGAACTTCAATGAATTCACAGGAGTCTGGAAATACGTATCTGACTGGCAGAATGTCTTTCGCACGTATGATAGAGACAATTCAGGAATGATTGACAAACATGAACTAAAGCAAGCACTAACAGGTTTTGGTAATTCATTTGTAGTTATATTGATCATGTATCACAATCATCTAGGGTTGTCAGCCTGGTTCCTACCGCCCACTAGTGGGCGTTTCAGGATTCTAGGTGGGCGGTAGGGGGTTCTATGGCACAAGCTGAATCCTTCCATTGAGCACTGGTGGGTGGTAGGGAAATTTTACCATCAAGAAAGAGGCATTAGTGGGCAGTAGGTATAAAAAGGTTGAATACCCCTGAACTAGACTGAGGATTAAACCTTATCACATTGAAATATTCCAAAGAGGAGATGAGCTTGTTTTTGTTGTGGTCCTTCTAGAAGAAGTCTGAAAATACTACCCCAACACTACCATTTTAGAGTAATTGTTTAACTGAGAAAAACTACAAGTCTGAAATATAAAAATTTCCTCCTAGTTTTTACAAATAGCTTCATATCACCTTTACTAATTTATTTAAAGGTCTAAGAACTTGGTTTAGTTATTACCAAGAAACAGCTGGAGAGAAAGTATTTATAGCTACAATCCTCTATTCACTTACCCCAGTATAAGCTCCACTGAACTTCGGAAGACTTCCAATAAGTAGGCATTTATTAGAATTGCACTGTTAGAATTAGTATTTCAAGAATTATCAAGGATATTGCACCCTGCACACTGAAAGTTGTGAGCTGGAGGGACATTACAGCTTACACAGCAGACAAGTGGGGAAGCAGCGGCAGCTGCTACTCTACTCCACATGTCAGCTTTTAGGCAGGAGGCCTCTGGAAGGCCCTGCTGTGCCTCCTGCCTCACAAAGGAAATCCTCCCCAGAGGATATACTCTGGGCTATGAAGAGGGTCTCCTTGGAAGCCAGGAGGACTCGCCAGGGTGCTCCACATTTCTGGGATCTACTTCTGGAATCCCAGCACTGTGCTTATGCATGGTCATGTGCAAATAGAGCACATAAATGGGGAGTTGGTCCACAGTTGAAGACCTTCGAAAAGACTGGGCAAATCTGAAGGATTTTTAATTTCTGCCAAAGGCTCATTCATTGCTTATTAGACAGTATGTTGTTCATTCCATCAATGAAATTAATTTGGTTTTTCCTAATTTTAATAAACCTTTGCCTTCATATTTGGAAAGTAAGGTGACCACACTATGCGTGCAGCTGCTTGTTTTCATTACCAACACATTTTTGCTATTGAATTTAAGTGGTCCTGAGTTTGCATGAATCTCCTGTAGTTGTTATGACTTTGTTGTATTGTTTTGTGGTGTTTTGTGTGGTTTTGGTTCATTCCATCAATGAAATGAATTTGGTTTTGGTTGCAGTGTCCTATCATTGCCTGATTAATCCATAACACAGAAGACTCGTAGACTTTCATTTTTTATTTACTTTGCTCCTGAATACCTTCAATTCTTTCAAGGTTATCGACTATCTGACCAATTCTACGATCTCCTCATTCAGAAGTTTGACAGACAAAGAAGAGGACAAGTGGCTTTCGATGACTTCATCCAGTGTTGTGTTGTCATACAGGTAACAAACTGGGCTGTTGAATAGTTACAATTTAGAACGACCAAGTAACAGTAAGTTTAGCATATATGTCAAATAATTAGAAAATCCATTGCTGATTTGAATTTAGTGATAGTGTTTTGTTTTTCAGTGCTTTTCAGTTTCTTCAGTATTTATTTTGTCACCTTCATTTGTGCTGTCTGTAAAATCTGATTTTTCAGGAAGATGCCAGTTACTGTTTATTTTAACATAGTAAGCAGTAAGAGTGTGGCTCTAAAGACTGCACCATCAGCATTTTTGTTCCAATGAGCAGCAAGCAGTGAAGAATTTTTCTAGGACTAGAAGTAGAAATAAGGAATTTATAAGTAGAATCCTCTAGATTATATACGCCTTTAGATTATGTATTCTAGTGATTCAGCTGACCATTGGCTCAGCTTCGATTCCTGTTTCACAAATGGAAGCTATGTTTCAGTAGAAGAACTCAGTGGTTTCATCTGTAGGTAAATCTGTTTTAACATCTTTTTTTCAGAAATGGACGGATGTCTTCAGACGCTATGATACCGACCAGGATGGCTGGATCCAAGTGTCTTACGAACAGTATCTCTCCATGGTCTTCAGTGTTGTATGACAGGAAAAACTGTTGCGCTAGAATGTGGACCAGAGTTGCCAGCTGCCTGGTTCCAAAACATAAGTGGATAGCTTCTCACTCTCTCAAATGTTGCAGAGAGGATGTTTAGAAGCATATCATTTTTCTCTATAATAATTACTAATAATCATGTCCAATATCACCTGCTGCTTCAAAACTCAGCATTGCATTATGTACATTAATGTTTTGGAACTTTTTGAAATGCCAAACAGTAGTAGCAATGCATGTGCCTTGTTTACCTTTTTATAGAGATTAAAAAAAGCCTGACTTGTATCCTGTGTCCATATCAAGGGTGATTTAAAATTCATGGGCATTTTAGCTGTACAGCTGTGAGTTACTTGGAGGGATGCATGCTTCTGTCCTTTGTTTGGGGGCAACATCATGCATACATTTGGTTGCATGGAGGCACTTACCCTCTAGCGGCTCCAGCTCATTCTCCCTGCATTTGTCTGCATACAGCAAGGTAGTAGAAGCAGGGGGAGATCCCATAGTTGTGGAACGGCCACATTTGTCATTTTGGTAGTGAACTTACAGAGTGCTTCGTTTGCCTTGGTAGCCCAGTGGCCAAAAAAATAATCCCAATATCCACCAAAGCCCAGAAGAATAGTGAGGTTAGGAACATGGGGCAGGGTATAAATAGACCCATCAGGAAAAGTCACTTTGAAAATAAGAGGAAATACAAAAGATGGACAGAGTGGATGGCTAAGACAAATTCAAGTGAGGGTCAATAACTTACTTATTTAGAATGTTATGAATGTCAGTTTGTGTGTCTGTTCATGAACTTGGTAATGTTTTAAGTGTAATAGAGACCAAGCACTTCCAATTCTGAATACACTATACACGTATACAGTAAACCAGCTAATTAGTATAGCTAATGTTATTGAGATTGAGATTTTTGTTCCTGGTGTTATAGTAGTTCTGTTTATTATTTAACCCTGCTGTGAAAAGTGTCATTCTCTTTCACATTAGAAGATTGACAAAACTTTAGCTCCACTCTAGAATATATTGTCTCACATTTAAGCAGGTGATGGAATTTATGGTTTCCACAGCTGGAGACTGTCACACGACGTCCAATGGAGAATGAGGGACAATGCTATACTGGGGTGTATGGGTGTGCCATTAAGATTAATCAGTATACAAGAACAGTAAACCAGTGCCTGCAGACTAGGAGCAGAAGAGGATAAAAATAAGGGGAAATAGCAATGCCACACAGACTCTGGAAAAGCTTTTTTAAAATTAATTTTTAATTGTAAATTTGTCAGAGAAGGCTTAACATTAAGCATGGTTTACCGTAAGAGTAAACAGAAAAGCAAGTGCTGAAACTTTAAAGGCTTTACCAGAATGTACTTTTGTTAATTATATGAACAGCTACCCACAGTTCAGGAATGCATCAGAAAACACTTTAATATTTACCTTGAACAGGCTTCAGATGCTATACAGATTTGAGCCATGTCTTCTCATGGTGAAACAATCTTTGCCAGTTCAGTTGATTGCGAATTCATTTCACTCAGAGTTTGAGCTAATGCATGAATATCAATTTCTAGGATAGAAGAAAACTTGTCAGTTTAATGTACCTTTAAAGACTACAACCACTTCAGTTTTTGTGTACAGTAGAACATAGCAGCCATGTTCACATGCCATGCTAAACATGTTTGGACCTCTAACCACATTGAAATTTTACAAAAGTGTTGGGCACATAAATCAGTCAAAGATGGGACTGGCAGTGCTGCCCCCCCCCCCGAAAAAGAAACAAAACACAAAGGAGGAAGAGGACAAGGATCATTTAAGTCCAGCAGTGGAGGCAAATCCCACCAAAACATTAACTGGGGCAATTCTCTTTTCTGTTCAGCACTGTAAACAGAAGAACTTCATGTATGTTATACTAAGCCATGGTAATATGTGACCAGTTTTTCCTCCCCATCTGCTTTTCCACTGCTGAATCCAACTGCCAACCACCTCCCATTAAGACCACCTTCCCCCCCCCTTCAAATCTATTCTTCCAACCAGATCTATGATTGTATTATTTTCTGCACTGCACACACACTTAAGAGCTCCAAGCATAGATACATACTTAGACATTCAAAACTCTTGGTTCTTGTCTTATGGCACAGTTCTTCTCTAAGGGAGATAATACTCAGCCTCCTTTGTGTAAACCCAATAAAGTTACAATATGGCATTATACTTCATGCACTTACTTTGAAGGTCTGGATAATGGGGAACCAGTTGTAGAAGCATGCTTGTCAATGTAACTGCATCCTTTCCTCGAAGTTGACTCATGATATTGGCAGTAAGGTCACTGCCACATTCACCCCATTACATTATTCAGGTGTGTATTTGGCTGTTGATGAGCTACCACCACCAAAGGATGGATAAGGCCTCAGATCACCTTCCAAGTTTGATTGCTGGAAGCCCAATTGTTGTGGCCAGCCAGGTCCACCACTTTCTGAAGAAAAGAAGGTACAGACATCTGATTACCACTCCCAGGCCCATCACCATACCAAGAGGGAAAATTCTCTTGGTGGTTTATTGAAGGAAGCTGTGAGATGATGCTATCCGGATATGTTCTTGAGTCACAAGAGTCTTGCATACTATCCCAACGTCTTGCTTCACTACATGCCATTCTGTTACCAAGTACTTTGCTACTGTTGAGTTGGTGATATATTGTATAACTGTTTTGTGTTAATGTAAAGCAGGAAGGCTTTTCTACAGCTGGAGTTGACTGGAAATAAGCAGAAGCAGATTGGTTGAAATTGCTTTATCCATTCATTGATTCCACCACCTAAGCCTGGCTGATGGATCTTGCCAAATGAACTCTTAAGGGCAGACATGGTTGCAAGTTCATTCGAACTCATGGCAAACGAAGAGGCTTCCCCTCTCATTTGACAGCTGTACAAATCAGTAGGTGTGTGCAAAGTACTTGATCCATGCTGCAGTAGGGACTGTAACTGTGCAAGTCCATTAGACGGACACCCATGATTCCATTTACTGTCTCCTACAAAACTTTTTTGAAAAACATGACAAAATGTCATTGCTATTAAGCACACACACCAAATCATACTTTTCCAGACCAGCATTTTCCAAACTTCTAGAAGACTAAAGAAAATAGATTCTTAAAATATAGTAGCAACACTCCCAGGGCACTATTTGGGAATGACTGCTGTAGAGCAGGTTTGCACATAATGCTAATACAAACTTATGATTTGAGAACATGCAGGTTCCCAGGAGAGACTCTGACTGTATTTCTCTAAGCAAAGCCATGAGAATTTTGGCAGGGTGTTTTCCAAACTAGGGTTTGAGATAAATCACAAAATGCAAACCTGTGCTTCCCTGCATAGATTTTATAGCAGCTTTCTAACCATGGAAACTCCGCACTAAGTCCTATTGAATTCAAAAGTTCTGTTGCCATACAAAGTGTAGACAGGATTAAATGATTATGAAAGCATAAGCATACATGGTATCTGAATTAAGATTAAATGAATTTGGATTGGATTGAATCTGTGGTGCAACACTCTTTGTGGCAAGGCTGGGGGGATGATTGTGTACATAGCAGTTCCCTCTATAAAGAGCTATAGCCAAACCCATCTGGAGAACAACTAGAGAAACAGCCAATGCTGGTAATTGAGCTAATTACCTGGGGTATTTCCGCCCATCATTATTTCACTGAAGACATCTCTACTGTGATAATCTTTGTATTTTCCAAATGTCTTCTTGGGTTTACACTGCTTTGCCATTTTTTGTACTGGTGCTATCAGTGGTGGAATTGCAAGTCGAAATTTGGGAGTTGTTGCTATGGCTGAACAAGTATGACCTGGCCTCCATCTCAGTTATCTTTTCTAGAATCTGTTAATGGCTGCATAAACAAATTTGACACTTCATTAATGAAATAGAGAATTAATTATAAGTTTTAAATCACAGGCTTTATTGTTTAGATTGAGCTTTTCAATGTGCTTTTTTTTCTTTTTTCTTTTTTTTACCAAAAACTGAACGTTATAATACTAATGCTAGTAGAAAGATTACCAAGAGAAATACTCACCTCACAATAATATATCTTAACTGTTTCTCAGATTCTGGTTTGGAAATTTCTTCAGACTGTAGTTTGGTGAACTCTTCACTGTGGGTGCTCCTTTTGCAGAAAGTGCTTTGTTCAAAGGGCTGCTTTAAAGGACTGTTATTCAGTTTAATCCTGTTAATGTATTTTTTTATAAAAATCAAAAGCTTGAGGGTAGCAGATTGCTATTCTTTTTGACTTATATAGACACAGCACTTTACAGAGTAAAACAGCAGAAAAACCAGTCTCTGTTCCAAAGAGCCTATAATCTAAGTCTTGACTGAGAGAAGTAAAGGGGTGGGGTAAATAATGGTAACAGCTACACATATTCAAGTTTGGTTTATGTATGTAGGACTAAGGCAAAAGTTTCACAGAAAATGTATAATTTGAGGAGCATTTTAAAGTGGGAAGAAGAGGTGGCATGTACAGGAAATGGTAAAAGAGGATACCGGGGCTGAAAGGCGGTGAAGGCCAAGCCTGGTCTTAACAACAACAGAAGTGGTTAATGTTGGCTGCAGACGTGAGGAGACCACAGGGTGGCACCAAAACAACGCAGTTTGACCAAATGCTGCAACGATAGCACACACGGGCATGCAAGCAGGCAGCATAGGGCCCAGCAATGAAGCGAGAGGCGCTCTCCTCGATTTGCCACAAACACAAGCCATCGCGTGTCTTCAAGGACTGGGCTCAGCGCCTGGGGGGAAACCAGCAAGACGGTGAAGTGGCCCTGAACCAGGTCCAGAGTGAATTCGCCTCAGCGCTAAAGTCTCCCACATAACTACGCGAGGCAACAACTTCAGAAGGCCGCTACCCAAGGAACGGGCACCTACTGAAGGTCTCCCATTGCTGCGCAGGGAACAAGCCCTCTTGTCCCGCGGACGGAGCTCAGCGGAGCGTTGCCAAAGACCCCACTCCTGCCGTGCCCTCAGCACTGCCCCTTCGCAAGGTGCTGCAGGGCAGGCGGCCACACTCATGCCTCTCATTCGCCGAGGCCTGAATGATGTTGTTTAGTCATGTCCAACTCTTCATGACCCCCTGAACCAGAGCATGCCAGGCCCTCCTGTCTTCCACTGCCTCCCGCAGTTTGGTCAAACTCATGCTGGTAGCTTCAAGAACTCTGTCCAACCACCTTGTCTTCCTCTGTCGTCCCCTTCTCCTTGTGCCCTCCATCTTTCTCAACATCAGGGTCTTTTCCAGGGAGTCTTCTCTTCTCATGAGGTGACCAAAGTCTTGGAGCCTCAGCTTCAGGATCTGTCCTTCCAGTGAGCACTCAGGGCTGATTTCCTGTTTATCATGGTGACAAATGTCTGCTGTGGCTAGAGTTGTACTCCCTCTGAAGAAGGAGGTTCACAGTTGGGGGGGGTCCTGTTCCTGGGCAGCTGGCAGAGCCCCTCTTCGCTGGGCATGGGACTGCCACATTCCCTGGCCTCCATAGGAGACTCACAGTCCCTCTCTGTGTCTCTGTTCCTTTTTGGCCACTGTCAAATGAGGGCGATGGTGACTGGACTTCTGATCCTAAACTGAATAGCTGCTCAGCTCAGCTTCAGTTCCCCCACCAAGTGCCCCCTTCTAGAACCCACTGCTCTCAACTGACTCTCAACTGCCCCCCCCCCCCACATTCAAACTCCCTTTCCAAGCCTCCTCCAATCATTACTCTCAACCAGAATTCTGGAATCCAACTTGGGAAGGCTGGTTGCCCTGCTGTGGAGAAGTCCCTCTTGCAAGGACTCTGCTGTACTCTTTAAAGCTACAACAGTCCCAACTTTTGAAGCAATATTTTATACATCCTGCTCTGTCAAGTCATCCTATTAGAAGCACAAAAGCTTCCAGTTCCTGCTTCCTAGGAAATTAGGGAAAGTGAGCTGCAGGTTCTCCTCTGTTCTAAAAAGCAGGTGTCTTCCCCTAAATGATCCTGGGAATTGTAGCATCCATGGCAGATGACCATCTCACCTCTGCTGAAAAACCTCCAAGGAAGGAGAGTCTACCGCCTTCCGAGGGATTTCTTCCCACTGTCAAACAGCTCTTGCTGTCAGAAAGTTCTTCCTGAAGTTGAGTCGGAGTCCCCTTTCTTGTAGCTTGAAGCCATGGCTTCAGGTCCTGAGGGCCACTGGAGCAGGAGAAAACAAGCTTCCTCCCTCCTCCCTGTGACAGTCCTTGAGATATTGAGAGGGCTGCATGGTGTGGCTCTCATATCCATGTTCTGAGAGAGAGAGCAAAATGGTTCTCTGTCCCCTTTCTCCACCCCAGGCAGAATTGTAAGGGGTCAGTGCATCTGGCTGGTAAGAAGAGGGTCGGAGTTTGGAGCCCAGCCAGGGCTGGCTGTGGGCAGGATCCTGACATAGTTAGGGTTGGACTAGATGACCCCTGGGGTCCCTTCCAAATCTACCATACTATGATTCCATCAAGTAGCTAAAGGAACGGTCAGAGGAGCAAGATGCAGAACAAGGGGAGGCACAACCACACACCCCAACAGCACCCTCTGGCCTGACCCACGGTGGCCTCATCCCAGCACACTTTGAAACCCCCCTCCCATTTTATTTTTATTAATTCAGCTGCCTGGCAACCCAGCAGCCTGGCCCCTGTTTGCTAGCTGATGTCACAAAGTGCTGCTTTGCAAGCAAGCCTTACAGTGGCCTGCAAGATGCCTGTCAGATGATGGTGAGAGACTTGCTGAGACAAGTGATAATGAGAAGGAACTCTGAAGGTAGGAGCCCCAGAGGAGATGAGTGGCAAAGAATTATTTATTATTATTGTTGTTGTTGTTACCTGTTACAGGTACATGTGGCTTGGCTCCCTGGTTTGACTTGTCCACAGATGTTGTCAGCTTGGCAGGTTCTCAGCTGTGGTCCAGATTATATTTTCTGTTGTGAATATCTGGTTGCTTACAAGGTTGAACCACATGGCCTTTCCCTGCCTCTATTTTCTTAACTCTAAGGCTGCGTACACATCACACCTTGAGGTCATGGGGTAATTCCATTCAAATGTCAACCTACATTTCCTAAAGATGTTGCAGACCATTTTAAAGAGAATTTCCCAGAGTTTCAGGATCTTGCCTCTGTGTGGGATGGGTTTTAACAGGAAGGAGAGTATACGATAATTGAAATTTATCCCTCCATATACCCACAAATGTGAGATGAATAGTTTAAAAATCCTCTCTTTGACAGCAAAACTAAAAACTTAGGAGCAGCTGCCAGGACCATATAACACCAGTCTTAAAGGATCTATGATGGCTCCCAGTACATTTGCGAGCACCATTCACAGTGTGGGTCCTGTCTACCTGAAGAAGGGTTGCCACCTGGTCCTTAAAAAACAGAGTTTTAAAATCCCATCCTTGACAGCAAACTTAAAAGGATAGGAATCAGGCTGCAAAACCTTGTTTTGAGCAAGTCCAGCTATGAAGCTAGCTGCCTTCGCCCCTATTGCCCCACTTAAGAAAGAATCAGGCATCAACATGGGAACTTTAAAAATAAGCTTTACTTACTTTATAATCATGCATCGGTTCAAAGCAGTAGTGGCATTAAAAACTGTGCAGGAAAAATACTGTTAATCATTTGCAGGAGGCCCATCCCCCGAACCCTTGAAATAGATAAAACGGTAGAATTTTGATTAATTGGGATTTCAATGAAAGTACAGGCTGCAGAACGGTGTCAGACAAGGAATTCCTGGGCTGACTTTTGCAAACCAGGCCGGGGGGTCTAGCAAAGAGCAAATCTGTTAACACACCTGAGCTTGCTGGGTACACAACCCAAGGAGAAGTGGGGATGAGCCCCTAAGGTATGGTGGGTACACAGCCTATGGTTTTAAGGTCTCTAGCGGGTGTTAGCTTGCACGATGCAGAAACATAGTGAGATTTATTTTGTATTATTTGTTTACACCATCACTGCATTTGACCCTTTACAAAGAGGTTCCTTAGACTCCTTAATTTGACGCAAAGAAGTAACAGCGAAAGGCTGAGGGTCCAGGATGGTCCTGGAGTCCTGCGGAAAGACATAAGCCAGGATCCGTCAGTTTAGACTTCTGGGTTCCCTGGTGTTATGTTGTGGGCAAACATAGCAGACGACACAGTGATTTCTCCAGAGCAGCTCTTTATTGTAAGCTGGACAGAACTGAGCAGCAAACAGCTCAGCCGGCCTGCTTTTATAGGCAGCCGGCTGTCAACATTGTAGCAACAACAACCCAGGGTTTCCCGCCTAAAATAACTGACATGGACCTGAGTGAAAACTATCTACAGTATCCCCCTGCTGGCCCAGGGTGAGAACTTCAGTACATAACACCCCTCCCCACCGAGATAAGGCGTTAGTTACAATCGTAATGGTTTCCTTATATACAGCACTACACGTAATGGTTCAATGAGGCACAAAAGCATATCGGTTACATTTCCCATACTTAGACCAACAGTGATACATGTCCAACAACATAGTCCTTTAAATAAGTTGGGAGCTTGGAAACTCTGCCAGACCGCCGGGGACTGGTAGCCAAGTCCGGGGGGCCACACAATTCTTGCTGAGGCTGTGGTGCGACCCTAGGTGGCGTTGAAACCAAATCCCCGGGATCCGCTGCTGTGGGTGGAGCCTCCGCAAGTGGAGTGGTCTGAGTCTGTGGTAAGTCTGGCAGACCCTCTGAAGCGGCTTGGTTCGGCTCCATGCTGGCAGTTTGCGAGGGAGGTGTAGGTGGAGCCTCACC